TGCTATTGCTATTGCTTACTATTGCTATTGCTATTTCTATTGCTATTGGCTATTTCTATTGCTATTTCTATTGCTATTGCTATTGCTTATTGCTATTGCTATTTCTATTGCTATTGCTGTTGCTGTTGCTATTTCTACTTCTATTTCTATTTCTACTTCTATTTCTATTTCTATTTCTATTGTTGATAAAGTACTTTAAATTGATCACTAAAATCTACTAAAAGCTACTTATAGAATACGTAGAATTCTCGTACTCGTACTCGTAATTCAACGTAATTATTATCGAAGAATCCAAAGATTCCAAGAATTGGAAAGCTTAAAAGAAGAATTTTTCAAAGAAGAAAGAAAATAAGAAGAAAAGAAGAAAGAAAATTGATCTCTTAACTAATAAAATAGCTTTATTTCATATCAAAAACAATTTCGATAAACTAAATAACTGAATAACGATAAACGATATCGAATACGATAACTGAATACTCTAGATTCTTAATTTCATCAAAACAACTGATCGAGGAGATTCTCTGGAAAGTGAGAGAAAAACTTTATTTAAAACCTATCGCACAATTGCATTAAAACCGAAAATCGATTAAAACCTATCGCACAATTGCGATTCCTATCTGAATATCTTTTTATTTGATATTTGAAGATCTAGCTATTCGAATCTCTTTACAATCTCTCAGGAAATTCTTTTCTTTTCTGTCCATTGATTGAATTCCTTTCTCAGCATTACTCTAAACAATTATTCATCAAATCTCAACAATTTTCATAAAAAACTGATTCACTGAAGCCGTTTCTATCAAATCTATCAAATCAAATCTTCAAATCAAATCTATCTATCAAATTAAATCTTTCTATCAAATCAAATCAATCTATCAAATCAAATCAATCTATCAAATCCAATCAATCCATCAAATCAAATCTTTCTATCAAACTATTACGCAACTCGTTCATCTCAAAACCGGAACTTCAGAGAAAGAAGATTAAATTTTGTTTGAAGAAGTGGAAAAGAGACAGGCACTTGAGTGGGCCATTTGTTCAATTTCACAAAACTCAAAAAGGGCAAAAGGGGTTTTAAAGAGGTTAACTCAATTTTGGTCGGAGAAGAGGTGATCCCCAGAACGTCGTGAAAAACCGAGAAAAACAAAAATACGATCTTTCTCATTTCTTTGCCTTCATTTCTCTCTTTTCTCCTGCCGAGTTTCGTCACATTATCTGAGAATTTCTTTCGGCTGAATATCGCTGAAATCCTCAAAAAATCAAATGCCTGCTTTATTTTATAGAATGGATGTTTTCTTCATAAATGACACCTTTACACGAGAGTGTAATCTACGGCCACTCGAGCACGCAAACAATTTTCGCTTCATTTTTGGTGGGAGTGATTGGAGCGGTGATTGCAAATGGTGAGTGTAATGAAATCAAAAAATCATGACTAGATTTAAGTATAAGATAATTAAAGTTTATTAAACTAATCCTTATTTAACTTTGCTGATTGTTAGTGGCCTTAAAAAAAGACTTAAATCAGCTGAAGAAAGTAAAATGAATTGGGTTTTTAAAGAAAGATTTGTGCCCGAATTTGTGAACAAAAGATTTGTGACTTGAATTTGTAAACAAAAATCATAATCAACTATATATAAAGGAGAAGAGAGATCTGTCCGTTTGTCCGTCTGTGCGAAGCCATTGGCAAAAAGGGGCGGGGTTTAGATTGCGTGGAAACGAGAACGTTAGTGAGTGTTTTCCACTTGGGAGGTCTACGTATTCGGGGCACAAATTGTACGTACAAATTCGGGCGTTAATTGCGTCTGTCCGTTTGTCCGTTTGTCCGTCTGTGCGAAGCCATTGGCAAAAAAAGGGCATGGTTTAGCTTGCATGGAAAACGTGGACCTCCCCCAATAGAAACTCACTAACGTTCGCGTTTTCCACTGGAGAGGTTCACGTATTCGGGCAATTGCACGTACAAATTTGGGCACAAATCGTTCTTTAAAAGTTAATTATAATCCAATCATAATTTATGTCTAATCATAGTGATAAAGTAAAGAAATGAATGGCAAGAGTTTGGGGACCGAGGGGAATCGAACCCTCGGCCGTTTGTTCATCGCGTAGACGCTCTGCCAGCGAGCCATTGGCGCCAACTTTGCCCAAGAAGAAATAAGAAAGGCATAATCATAATCGAAATTTCAGTTGGCCATTCTCTTCAACATCATCGTTTGCTATATTTTCTTGAATTCGCGCAAGTTGAGGCGACAAAACTACGCGAATCCAGTCCTATTAGCCACTTTCGATATCATCGTCTCATTTTGTTATATAATTCTACAATCGATACAAGTTATTGGATACAGGTAAGAAAAAAAAAAACTCTAGATATGTAAAGATCTATTCAAAAACTAGAGTGTGTTCCTCGCGAGTAAGTAATTACTCGAGTAATCTCGCATAAGTAATAGCTCGAGTAATGCGTTTTCTAAAAAGTGCGCCTGCGCGAAAAAAAAATATAAAACCAATTTTTTGCGCAGGTTTTTCAAAAAAAAATATCATTTTCTGCATTGGAAGGGAATTCGCCACCAAATCAGCTAAACGGCTGAGTATCTTTAAAAAGTGTCGTATATAATGCGAGGCTCGTGACTTTTACGCCATTTTTTTGCAATAATTTGGGGAGTGGAACAAATGCGACCTTTTTTTTTGCGCACCCGGACATTTGCGCACCTTGCCCATTAGCGCACCTTTTTTCGCGTTTTAAAAAAGCTCTAAAAAGCTAATATTAACCAATTTCTATTCCAAAAGTTCTTTTTCTAGGTAATTTGAGGGTGTCGAATTCAAATTTTGGTTCTTTTTCCAATACGGGATTATCGGGGGCGGAACGAAAACGGGGAAGAAGGAAATCCGGGGAGCAAAATTTATTTCCCGCAATGTATTTTTGGGCCTTTTTTTTTAATATTTACGTAATTTTAATTTTAAATACTTGATTTTTTATTAAAATTCTTTTTATTATGTTTTAAATAATTTTTAGCCATAAACCCCTCTTCCCTCCCTTCTTTACCCCCCAAACAATAATTTACCATTTTAAAAACACAGAAAAAAAAGTAAAGAAGTAAACGCATCGCAACGGAGAAGCGCATCGTCGTTAAAATTTTAAAAAAAAACGTTGCAGTTAAAATAAAAGTCCCAGAAATGCATTTTTCGAGGGGCAAAATTTGCTCCCCGATTTATTTCCCTTTCGCTCCCCTCGATTTTCTTTCCGCTCCCCCGATAATCGGACCGCTCCCCCGATATTGGAAAAGAACCCAAATTTTGATATAACAGAGCGTGTGGAACCAATTTCAAAGACAAAACGGCTAGATCAAATTACAGAAAATTTTGGTTGATGATTTTTCTCTTTGTATAACTCCGTCCGTTTGTTTCCACAAGCTCTGGTATGCCAAAATTTCGATTCTACGCCCTAAAATTACCTAGAAAAACAACATTTGGAATAGAAATTGGTTAATATTAAAAAAAAAAAAGGTTTTTCAAAAAAAAAATATCATTTTCTGCATTGGAAGGGAATTCGCCACCAAATCAGTTAAACGGCTGAGTATCTTTAAAAAGAGTTGTTTATAAGGGGAGGCTCGTGATTTTTGCGTCATTTTTTTGCAATAATTTTTGCTAAAAGTACGGTAATTTTTTCCAAACTTCGCTTTTTAAAAAACGCATTACTCGCGAGGAAAACACTATCAAAAACTATTCAAAAACTATTCAAAACTTCAAAAACTTCAAAAACCTCTCCAGATTTCGTTTTGAGTCAATGATCATGGCTTGGATTCACTATGTCAGAGTTGCTAATTGTTTACAGGTGAAAATTTCTCATTTACAGATAAAAAGACGATATTTAGTTCGATATTTAGTTCAATATTTAAAAACTTTTAGCATATTTGCGTGAATATCTGCAATTTTTGCTAGTGATCGCCAGTATTGAGCGCCTTTTCGCTAACTGTTCTGATGGGGCACAGGTGTGTCAATTTGAGCTTACTTAGATAATATTTTATCAAAAAACAAAAGTCTTGTATTCATTTTAGAAAAACCTCTTGGTTTTTATGGTGAGACGAAAAGTTTTCGTGACATCTGGCGCCGTGCTTTTTTCCATCATTTTCAAGGGGACACTCTTTTTAGAGACAACTATATTGCATTTACCGAATTGTGAGCTATTGGAAAGGTGAGTTTAATGCCGTAGTCTAATACCGTAATCTAATATTTATTCTTATAAAAGCACAGCCTCCAATAGAAGCGAATAACTATAGATAGTCAGCTTATTAAACCGAATACCCGAAGTTTTAAGGGTATATAAGGAATTTCTTTGAGAAAACTACATTCTTTATCATTTATTTTGCAAAAGTAATGCCAATTTTGATATTTTTTTTTTCGCAATTAGGTATTTGAAACGAATTTTGAACTTAAAGTTGAATGTGGTGGTCAAATGAAAGAAGCCATAAACTATTAGACGCACAATTTTGCGCTGATTCCGAATCTGCTTTCCGTTTTTGCAAAGTAGCACTCTGTCAAAAGTTATAAGCGCTCAAGGTTTTTGAGAGGCTTTGGAGGTTTATGACTAGATTTCTCAGAAGGGCTAGCAAGCATTGCTGGCCGAGTGCTAGTCGGCTAGAATAAAAAGCGGATCCACTTGGGTTCGAGTCTGCATTTGCTTCTTTCTTTTGCTTTTTAGGAGGTAATTGATCTCCATTTCAAATACAAATCTTTTTCAAACTACTTCTCATTTGTTTTTTAAGAATTAACTATTAAAGAGTAATCATTAAAATCTAAAATATCAATTCTTCGAGTCATTGATGAATTAGAATTAGATCTATTAGATTATTATTAAATTATTATTAGATTATTATTAGATTATTAGAATAAATATATTAAAAGAGTAGATCGCTTCTTTTGATCGTCTTTTTTAGTCTAAATCCAATTTTCAAATTTACTAATTTCCCTCCTAATCCCCAACAAATTGCAGCTACATTCCCGTTTGGGCTGAGATGAACTCACACTGGGACACGATGAGATTCTGGTCAAGAAAGGTGCGTTTGTGATCGTATCTGTTCGAATCTCGAATCGTGATCTATTGCAATGCTCGAAAAAGCGGGAAAACGATCATTGAATATGTTTTAGATTTTCACCGTCTTGGTTCCATTCATTTCGTTGATCTATTGCAATGCTCGAATCGTGATCCAATTACGCGAAAAGCACGAAGAGACACGCGAACAATCGATGAAGAAACGATCACTTCGAGGAGCACTGCTCACAACTGGGTTCGTCTTAGTGTTTTGTTTGACGTTTAAGTGCACTTAAGTACAGCTTAAGTACAACTTTCATTTGAAATTTGTGCTTTAGCACAAAATATAAGTCTAGTAGCTTTATATAAGTTTGAAAAATAGGATTTGACGTGCATTTTCTCAAGATCTTTTAATCTAATAAGTAGAGTTTTGCAAGTAAAACAATAAAAAACTGTTTTCAAAGAAAGATTCGTTTTTTTTAAATCCTTTGAGAGTTTAAAAGCTCATTAGGCGAGAGTTGAGAGAAAATTTGGAAGGAAATTTGAAGTTTTAAAGAAATTTTGAAGTTTTGAAGAAAATTTAAAGAAATTTTCAACAAATTCTCTTACAAAGTAACATTTGATAGTTTTCAAATAAGATTTTAAGGGTTTAAATTGAATAGTGAGTAAACTTTTGTCATCAATATATCAATATATCAAATTTAGATCAATTCGCAAACACTACAATGAGAAGAAAGGTGTCAGAGTTGCAACAAGAACCCTTCTCTTGGTTGTTGGCTGTTATCTGATCTCAAATCTCATCTCAACCATTGTCAACTTTTGGTTGTTTTTCGATCCAGTCACTCTTGAAAGTAACTACTATCTTTATTTGGTCATCTCCGATTTCTCGACTTTGGTAAGTTAAAGGTTTTGCGAAACATAACTACTGTAAATACCCCACCCCTATAATGACGGTGCGGAGTGTTGTGTAGTCTAGCTTTGAACGGGTTTTTCTCGACACTGGTTTATGCTACAATGCGCGCTTAGGTATCAAAAAATAGCCCTGAATTTCAGCTATTTTTTGATACCAAAGACGCATTTTTTGCAAGTACGGGCGCTTTGAAAAAATGAAATACTAAAAAACATTTAACATTTGCGACTACGCGACTGTACGAGGGGCGGTGGGATACTATTACAGTATTTACGGTATTTTCTTTTAGCTCACAATCTGTGGCTGTGCTTGCCGTTTACCGATCTATTGTGTAGCGGATAAAAGGATAAGAAAAGCGCTGATGAGAGCTTTACTCAGATGGCAACATAAAGCACGACCAATTGAGGTAAAAGAAATCAATCAAATCGTTCAATCAATCAAATCCAAAGTCTAGGTGCTCGAAAGAAACCTTGAAAAGTATTCGATTGTTGTCGTCTCGAACAGTCTTCGCAGTAATCTCACCAATCAACCACAAATGTTTAATAGTCAGGTAAAATGATTGAAAATGATCGAGTGATTTAAGTAACTTTAAGTAACTTTAAGTAACTTTAAGTAACTTCAAGTAACTTAAGTAATATATTAACTCCATCCCTTTTTTTCAACCTCTTTGCCGTTAGTAATCTACGAATTTTCCTCAACCATGACTGGTTTTGTTTGTAAAACAAACCCAGTCATGGTTTGTTGTCACCCAATTTGAATTTTCTTTCATTTGACTCGAAATCAAATTCTCTATCGAATAAAAGAAAATTCAACGTTATTCAGACAAAACTGAATAAGATACGAGCAAAATCTGTAAATTGCTAATGGCAAACGGTCCAAAAAGACTCCAAAACATCTCTGCCAGCTCCAAAACATTCAGCCAAATAAAACTCGTAGACATTGTATCATTTGATTAAGCTATAGAAAATAAGCGATAATTAAGTGTTATGTTTATATTCACAAAATTCATTCGGTTCGACTTTTCTTCACTTCGACTTCGAATTCATTCATTCATTCACAAAACTCATTCGATAAACCATCACCCTGAAATTTCGGAGTATAAAATACTATTTTGTGCTATGAGCGTAGAAATAGCGTAATGGAAATGAAGCTTTCGAAGCGAAGCACAAAATGATAATTCATTAACCCCCCACCCCCAGTTAATTTAATGTTCTCATTCAGGACTTGGTGAATGGTCGACCGAGAGCCAGAGACGAGTTGGCACTACTTTTACAGAATCGCCGGAAGATTCTTGTCGACATGACGCTCATCCTGGGCACCGATCGGGTAAATTTCGCCTCAAACACACACAAAACTTTTATATATATACCAGCCGAAAAACCCGCTTAACAGCTGCTTTTTCTGGCTCGATGCTTTGTCGCCGTGGCGTAGTCGGAAGCGCGCTTGTCTAGGGCCCACAAGCCCCGGGTTCGGCTCCCGGGTGTTTCGCCCAAGTTTGATTTTTTAAAAATTCTTCTTTAAATGACACAACTACAATACATTTTAAGGTTTTCTAAAGAAGTTTTAGCTTTATTGGTCAAAAAACAGCAGAGAAAATCCTCGTACAGACAGCTGGACAGACACTACTTTTATATACCGCATTTTTTGTAATAGTAGTGTGCACTACTATTTTTTTTCAACCCCCCTCATGCCTGCACTACTATTACAGAAAATACGGTATAGTAGACTTTATTCGGCAAATGAATAAGTGAAACATCAAAATTTTTCACAGAATAGAAAAGCGGGGAAATAGTACTGACAATAAAGAAAATCGGGGCCCAGAAAGGGAAGGGTCTGTGGTCGACCCCGTCCGATCTGCCAAGTTGAGCAACGTCGGCGCGGGTTAGTCGTGGGTTCGACTCCCATGGGCTCCCCTCCGAGCGCCCCAGCCCGGCCATCGGAGTATCATCGGCTACGACAACTACACTTCTGCCTCAGTAAATGTGGAAGCGGGTTGTGATCTGCGCTAAGTGCGAAGACAGATCAAATCATTATTTTATTTTTTTTTTAAAGAAAATCGATCGAAAACGATCGAAAACGATCGAAAACGATCGAAAATCTAGATCGAAAACGCAAAGTGAATGGTAAGATAAACTAGCTTAACGATAGGAATTTCAATACGAAAAATCACAATTATTGTGCTAGACAGGAAATTGCTTGGTTATCTATACAAAATTGAAGACTGAACCTGTTTTAAATGTCTTCAAAGTGGACTTTCAAAAATTAAAAATACAATACGTACAGTAATGCTAAAAAAGAGCTGAGCCTCGCGCAAAGTTAATGCTAATGTTGCGCTGGTTAAATTCTAAATCGTCTAAATGTGCTAAAATGCAACTCGTCGCACATCCCTAGACATGAAATTGCTTGGTTATCTATACAAAATTGAAGACTGAACCTGTTTTAAATCTCTTCAAAAATGGACTTATTTTTAAAAGCAATACTAAAAATCTTTTCAGGGTCCAATAATTGAAGAGGAGACTACGGCCGAGGTCACCTATTTGACGGATCTCCATGAGGAGCATCAAGAATTGCTCAAACCGCGTCGACCGAGCAAATTTCGAGAAATGCTCGCAAATATCTGAAAAAAAGGATGAGAAATTTCAAATTTCTGTATCTTTTTCATGAATCAAATCAAAAACAAAAAAAAAAAATCTTGCCTAGCAAAATTTCAGTGATTAATTCTGTGATTCATCTTCTTCGTCTCTTGTAAAAATCTCCTTTTTCCAATCGGGTACCAATATTTTTTACGGCAATAAATCTTCGACTTTTTATCAAAAGCAAGAAATCAATTCCAACAAGACAATGATAATTTCTGATGGTATTTCGACAATTATCAAGAATTGAGGTTGAACTTTGTTTTGCAGAAAAGCAGAGCTAAGCTTTTTAAGCTAAGGTGCGTATGTTAAAATAACTAGGTTTCTATTTTATCAATCCAATTACCAATCTTGCATCTGGCACTTGAAAATGATAATTTTGTTAATCCAAATCATTTTTTTAAATTAATGGCTTGTACTTTTGTATTTGATTCAGATTTAATCAGCTATTTATGTACTTTTTGCTCTTCAAATCTAAACATACGTCTTCTGACACATCGATTTTCTTCGTTTTCTTACAGCAATTCGACAGAGAATGAAGAATTTAACTTGTAGTGTGCCAAAAAGAGTTTGTTTATGCAGAATGATCTATTTTTTTCAACCCCCTCCTGTCTGCACTACTATTACAGACTGCACTACCATTACAGATTACACTACTATTACAGATTGTAGTACTATTACAGATTACACTACTATTACAGATTGCAGTACTATTACAGACTGCACTACTATTACTGACTGTACTACTATTATAGACTGCACTACTATTACAGACTCTACTACTATTACAGTCTGCACTACTATTACAGACTCTACTACTATTACAGAAAATACGGTATAGTAAACTTTATTCGTCAAATGGCTAAGTGGAACAGCATATTTTAAGAATGACGCTAGCTTTGGCAACTTATAAAAGCCATAAGTTAGCTTCTTTATGTGAAAGTATTCTTCTTATATGTCAATTAACGCTTCTGTGTTAGATTTGGGAAATCTATAGTTTTGCAATCGTTTCTTAAATTCCCCTTTTCTGCATTCTAAACCGTGCCCTCTCCGTCGTCTACCCGACTTTCCCAATCTTTTCTTCTCTGCGCTCCTCCCTTCGTATTGAATTATCGAACACAAGCAAAGCGGGGAAGATCTTGTTTAATTTTGGTCAACTTTTTGATCAATTCTTTTCAAATGAAATTTTTTCATTTTCTTAAATGTGATATAAATTTAAAAAGTTTTCAGAAGAATGCTTCCATTCAATCACAGCTTTTTCGGGACTCCCCTCATTCCACCCGGGCTTCGTCTTCTCCCGGGAGTTGTTCCAACAGGTAAAGAATTAAGCCAATATAAGAAGAATTTACGCCTTTGAAAAAGTCGTAAGCTTTTAAGAACAGGGGACCTTTACAACTTACAGACGTAAGTTGTAAAGGTTTCGATTCGATCTTGATCACACTACGGTTTAGAAAACGGTTGGAACTTTCATTTTCATGTTTTCAAGATCGGATTAAAAAAACGATTTCTATACTAACTCGCAGACAATCTGCTCTAATAGTTTTCAATAATGGTTAGCATTTTCGCGTCTCTTGTAGTTTTTCTATAAAAGTTGCAGTGCCGGTGTCAGGTGTCGAAGGTAAAATCAGTAAGCGTGAATTCTCTCTCGCACTTTTCCTTTGTATATTTTCATTTTTGCTGGCTTTTAGATGTAGAGAATGGCACTAAAAAGTACGATAGTTTTGGCAATTTTATAAAACGGTGCTTTTCTTTTCCTCTTAATCATTCTCGGATGGCTTCATTTTTTTTGATTCTTTTTTTCTCTTGTCATTATCTTTTAGCTTTCTTGAATTGTGGGTTATCAAAATGGGAAGAAACTGGTTAAATTCTAAAAAGTGGTCAAATTATCGTAGAAGAGTTGCGAGATTTTCGGCGTGGCTAGGGGAGTGGGACAAATGCGACCTTTTTTTGCGCACCTTTTTTCCGCATAGCCCATTAGCGCACCTTTTTCGCGTTTTAAAAAAGCTCTAAAAGCTAATATTAACCAATTTCTATTCCAAATGTTGTTTCTCTAGGTAATTTGAGGGTGTCGAATTCAAATTTTGACATAACAGAGCGTGTGGAACCAATTTGAAAGACAAAACGGCTAGGTCAAATTACAGAAAATTGTTGATTTTTCTCTTTGTATAACTCCGTCCGTTTGTTTCCACAAGCTCTGGTATGCCAAAATTTCGATTCTACGCCCTAAAATTACCTAGAAAAACAACTTTTGGAATAGAAATTGGTTAATATTAGCTTTTAGAGCTTTTTTAAAACGCGAAAAAAGGTGCGCTAATGGGCTAAGTGCGGAAAAAAAGGTGCGCAAAAAAAAGGTCGCATTTGTCCCACTCTCGTGACTAGTTTTGTCACGGCATATTTTGTTTCAAAAATTACAAATACAATACTAACAGTAATGCTAAAAAAAGAGCTGAGCCTCTGGCAAAGTTAATGCTAACGTTGCGCTGGTTAAATCGTCTAAATGTGCTAAAATGCAGCTCGTCGCACATTCCTAGCCTAGTTAAAGTCTTTTCTAGAGCTGAATAAAAAGTAAAAATGACCCTGTTTTGCTTGTTAAAACACTCCTTTGCTTAGCTCGTACAAAGATGTGATCAAGTAGAATAGTAATTAAATGTCCCCTTCCCGATAGCGTGTTCTTCCCTCATTTGTGCACTTTCCCCACCATCGTTCCAATTCACTTAAACAGCTAATTTTATAGCTTTTCAAATCTAATTTTTACATTTTAGTGCCCTATTCATTGGCTCAACAAACACAAATGTTCCAGGCGCAAGCACAGGTAATGTTCCAGGCGCAATCACAGGTAAAATTTTTACGTAATTATCGTTGTTTAGGCAAAAATTTGTTAGATTATTTAGCGAATGGGTTTCTTTAAGCAGTTATAAGTTGTTTGGATAGATGAAATTTAAAGTTATCAATTCATTTTTATGTTTTCTAAGGTTATTGCGGCGGCTCGAGCACAACAACAAGCGGCGTCGACTACTCCACAGCCGATGCTTGTGCCGACTGGAATGGGTGATGCGGCTGCTGCAGGGATGGGCGGTGATACATCGGCTAGTCCAAGAGCTGATTCACCGGTGAGTTGAACTTTGTTTTGCAGAAAAGGAGAGCTAGGGTGCGTATGTTAAAATAACTAGGTTTCTATTTTATCAATCCAATAATAGTTTTTCTTTAGTGGACCGCTCACAGGGCAGAGGATGGTCGAACATTCTACCACAACAAAATAACGAACAAGTCGACGTGGATAAAACCCGATGAGTTGAAAACACCAGCTGAGGTAGTTTCGAGCACATTTATTTCCTGAATGAAATGCTTTTAGAGACTAGTGACTGGCAAATGGAAATTGGCGATGAGCGAGCAGGGAAAGCCGTACTACTACAACACTGAGACGAAGGAAACCACGTGGACAATGCCGGAAGGGTTAGTTTTATTTTAAAGGATTTAGAAAATTGAGAGTTTTTAGTTTTAACGACGCTGGAGGAACGCCGTCTACTGCTGCTGCGACAATCAGCCCACCAAATCCGCAAAGAAGTTAGTTTCATTTTTACAAGCTTTTAAAGTAGAATAATTCTTTTATTTGACTAATCATTCAAATAGATTACCTGGTGGAGTTCCCACCGCCAATCTGGCCAATGTTTCACCCGGAATTTCTCTATCAAATTCCCGTCCATCAATTCGGTTAATTCGAGTTTCCCAAATTTGGCACACTTTTTTTCTTCGTCTCTTCAAATTTCTCCTTTCTTTACATTAAAACAAGGTTTTCCTACGCTTTGCGCATTTTTAAGCACTGCTTGATAGATATTCTTGTCTTTTTAAAATTGATCCTTTTTAGTTCCAATGCCGGGCTCATCGATGGAAACAGTGACGGTGAAAGAAGAAGTGAAAACGGAAATGGACGACATCGACAAAGCAATCCAGGCAACGCTGGCCGCTAATTTGGACCCAATCCTACCGCCTGAGGCACCGAAACCCGTGAGTTGAACTTTAGAGATTGATGAACTTAAGTGAATTCTGAGGGTTTTCCTACCACAAACGTATTATTTAGAGAACCGACGTTCCGTTAATGGATGAAGAACAAGAGCTGAAAAAGCGACAGGCTAATGTTTTTCGCGAACTCCTTCGAATCAAATATGATGAAGGTACAAATTGTTAAATGTAAATGATACAACTAATAAATTTAGGCAAGATCTCGTCCACTGATTCGTGGGATCATGCCGTGAAATTTATTGGCTCGGATCCACGTTTTAGAGTTCTTCAAAAGGTTGGATTAATTTTGTTGAATGCTTTTATGTTTGAAATTTAGGTCAGCGAGAAAAAGCAAGTGTTCAATGCGTGGAAAGTACAAAGACAAAAGGAAGAAAGGGTTCGTTATTGGGTTTTTATATTTTCTTGTTACATTTCAGGATGAAAAACGATTAGCTGTGAAGAAAGCGAAAGAGGATCTCGAGAAATGGTTGCAAGAGCATCCAAAAATGAAGACAAATATCAGGTAAGGGATTGAGTTGACTATTTGTAATGTGCTTTGTTTAGATATCAAAAAGCTATGGAAGTTTTCGATAAGGAGCCAATCTGGAAAGCGGTTTCCGATGCGGATCGTCGTGATATCTTTTCTGATGTTCAGGTTCGTTGACTAACTCCATCAATGCTATGTGAAGATATAAAAATGGCATATTAAAACTTTGTTTTAGGCATTTGTTCACAAACGAGAGGCGGAGTTTGCTGAGAAAACGAGAAAGAGAAATATTCAGGTATAAAATGCAATATTATATTCAAGATCACAATTTTTTAGGCCTTGTCCGATATTCTTGATGGAATGCGTGACATCACCTATCGAACCACCTGGGCCCAGGCGCAACGATTGTTGATTGAGAATCCCGCCTTTGCTGATGATGTCACACTGCAAAGTATGGATAAGGAGGATGCGTTGATCGTCTTTGAAGATTTCATTAGAAACGCCGAGAAAGTTCATGACTCGCAAAAGGTTTGTGAAACTTTGCGAATCAAATCATTCGCTTGAACTTTTAGGAAGTCGAAGAGCGACGATTGAAACGACAAGAGCGCAAAGTGCGCGAAGCTTTTCAACAGTTTTTGGAGGAGTTGCACCAGAAAGGTAGTTTTAAAGTTTTGAAGATTGACTGTTTCTCAATAATTCGTGTTCAGGTGTTCTTCACTCAATGTCACTCTGGTCATCACTATATCCGACGATCTCTCCCGATCCACGCTTTGATGCAATGTTGATGCAATCGGGCAGCACACCACTTGATTTGTTTAAGGTGAGATTTTTTATGTCTTGTAGATACCGGTGTAAAGGTGTTCAGTTTGCTAGATCATTGCATTACAGCACTTTAGTAAAATGGATTTAAGAAAAGAGTTCAAACTGGTATTTTTATTTATCATAACTGGCCGGGGGAAACTAATATTGATTCCATTTCAAAGTTTAGTTCTATGTCGAAGAGTTGAAAGAACAATATTCGGAACATCGCCGAATCATCAAGGACATTCTCACCGATCAAGGAAAGAATGTGAAGGTGAGTTGTTGAGCGAAAAATTTAAAACTGTTTACATTTAGATAGACACAGCCTACGATCAATTGGTCGAATGGGTGCAAGCGGATGAACGGGGGAAAAAAGTCGATGCGGGCAATATGAAACTATGCTACAATTCACTGATTGAGAAGGCTGAACAACGGGAAAAAGAATTGGAAAGAGAAGAACAACGAAAAAAGAAGAGATTTGAGGGAGAACTCAGGTAAACAATCACAAAAGCTATGATTGTACGTGATTGTTTAGAAATTTGTTACGTTCGATTCAACCGCCTGTCGATGCCCAAACCGAATGGGCGTCGATTTTGCCAAAGATTGAAAACGAGAGCGCATTCAAAGCGGTGAGCTTTTTTTTTGCAAAGATCGGTTGCTTTGTTAAAATAGCTTTAACTACAGAATGATCAAATAACTTTAGGTTGATCCCGAGCTGCGTGAGAAATGCTTTGCCGATTTCATTCAACAACTCGGCGAATCATGTGGCCATCATCATGGCGGAAAGAAGAAAAAGAAGGAAAAGAAGAAGAAAGCCGACAGTGTGGGTTTTCTGCAAAACACGCGTGTTAATTAAAATTATCCCTTTTCAGGTAGTGTAAATATGTAAAAAGAGAAAAGTGAGTGTATATTTTAAGTTTTCATGTTGTTTTGACCGGAGAGAGCATTTTGACGTCTAGGAATGATCTTTGATTGGTTTAGGGATCGGAAAGTGACGAGGAGAAGCCGAAGAAACGAAAGAGAACAAGAGATGGAGATGATGATGATGCTGAAAGATCGGGTATGGTTTTGGTTGTGTGCTCTTAACGTATAAATTGTGGGTCTAGTCTAGACTACTTTTCACCGTCACCGTTCACCGTCAACAGTCTAACTTTTATTTTTTAGAAAAGAAGAAGAAAAAGAAGTCTCGGCGACACTCGCGAAGTCGATCGAGAAGCGGAAGTGACGATGATGATAGACGGAAACAAAGGGTAATAAGTTTTCTGGTACTATGGGCTAGAGAGCTATCCTTGGATTAATTATGAGGCGATATTGATGCAGTACCCTTAATTAGTTTTACACAACTTTAAACCACATACTTAGCATAGATTTTGGGGTCCTACTCGGAAGTATAACTTTTGACTTTCTACTGCATATTTTTTTTTGGGTTTATCGCTTATTATACTAAAAATTTTACTCATTTCTTTTCAGGGCTCCGAGTCAGATTGAGGTGATGCATATGCATAATGGGAGAATCGACCGATCTATATTTGTATTGTTTTTCGTTTTTGCTATTGATACGCTTTAAATTATAATATTTAAGTTCCAATAACATTGAATATTTCTCTTTTTTTCTTGGGTGATTTTGTAAGTTGTTGTTTTTATTTGTCTTCCCAAAAAATTATTTGATGTTGAATAAATTTTTAAAAGGCAACTCCTAATCAAAAAATTTCGAGCAAAATTGCGAAAAAGCGGTTTGTCAACATTAGCGAGAATTTTCGCAAATCCCAAGAGAATTCAGAAGTTCGAGATTTCGCTTAAAGTACGTTTAATTTTATAAAACTTTCTTTATATGCGAATTTTTTCCTCTGAATCATTCTGGTATTTATGACTTGATTTTTGGATAAAACTTTCAAAATCCTCCGTTGTAAACAGATTAGCCCTTTGTTTATAGACTTTTTCAAATTTAAACCGCGGTCAGGGCCCAGAAGTGGCTCATTCCTTTTGCAAATTCCCTTTGCTTCCAATGCCTCTTTATCAAATTCATTCCCCGTTAGAGCCGCTAGATTATGGAACTTGCTCCCAAACGACATACGAGAAATTCAGTCGCTTTTCATATTCAAGAAACGTATCGATGCTTTAGATCTAGTGGCTCTTTGCCGTAAGTAATTGGCTTATTGATTTCAGTATGTATTGTATGATTAAGTATCACTGTGCATTTCTCTATGATTTCTTTCACTTTATCGTTTGAATAAAGTATTATTATTAAAACTGGTTAAATTCTAAAGTGGCCAAATGACCGTAGGAAAGTTTCTCTTGAATGAATTGAGAAATCGACATCGTTCATTAGTTTTATGTGTTGTGCTAAATGTAGTATTGGACGATTTTTTTACTCATTTCATCGATTGTTGTCATCTTTATTATGATATTTATATTATTTATATTATGATATTTATATTATGATATTTATATTATTTGTGAGACATTCCGATTGGCCATCTTGAAAGAGAAATGGCATATTAAAACTTTGTTTTAGGCATTTGTTCACGAAACGAGAAGCGGATCTTGCTGAGCAAATCTCCGATCGAATCACCTCGACGCCGCAAGCATTCTTGATGGAGAATCCCACCTTTGCTTTTGTTGATGTTGATGATCGTTGATGGAGAATCCCACCTTTGCTGCTGCTGCTGGTGTTTTTTTTTTTTCTTTTTGCTCTTGATATGCTTTAAATTATAATATTTAATTTCCAATAACATTGAATATTTCTCGGGTGATTTTTGTAAGTTGTTGTTTTTATTGGTATTCACGAAAAAAAATTGATTTTAAATAGATTTTTAAAAAGCAACTTCTAATTAAAGAATTTCGAGTAAAATTGCGAAAATTGATTTGTCAAGAATTAGCGAGAATTTTCGTAAATCCCAAGAGAATTTAGAGGTTCAATTTTTTCGAATTCTTTAGACAAAATGAATTCTTTATATTTTCTTTTCTTTCTATTTTCTTTTCTTTATATTTTCTTTTCTTTAGACAGTTGAATTCTTTTTATTTTCTAGATTATAAAACTCGACTAAACTCCTTTTATTTAGTATTTAAATTGAAAACTTTTCTTGAATTTATAATGGAGCTTATCGAGGCTCTTTTCATCTTCCAAACGATCGTTGATATCACGGCGATTTGTGTGCACGCGTGGATTTTCGCTTTATGTTTCAAAAAGGGTCTCTACATTGCAAAGCAGTACATCTATGCGTCGTGTGTTACGGTAAGGGGTTTTATTTGAAAACGTTTTCCTCTTATATTGGGTTGGTGAATTGAAAACCGCCGCCTATTGTCATATGTGACAGTTTGAGCACTTTCTTCAAAAGAAACCTATTTTGGTGTCAATGGGAAAGTTGTAGAGAATCAAAAATCAAGCTTATAGCCAAATTTTCAGAACGATTTAAAAACTGGTTTTCAAGAAATGCCAAATTTACGAATTTTCGCAAAACTTGCATTTTAAGCGAAACTACTAAGTGTATCTTTTTGGAAATTTGGCTATAAGCCTAATTTTTGATTCTCTACAACTTTTCTATTGACACCAAAATGGGTTTCTTTTGAAGAAAGTGCTCAAACTGGGACATCGGACATCTCCAGTCCTCCATTTTTGAGTCTCACACTTGTCTCACACACAAACCAAAATCCTACCGCGAAAGGGGAATCCTCAAATTGCCTGTAAAATGGGCAGAAGTCGTCAATAATAATGGAAATTATTTGGAATGAATTGATGGTTTTATGTTGAATAAATTTTAGTTCAAAGTCCCGCAGTTTTCAATTCACCAACCCAATAGATTTACACTAACGTAAACTGGAGTAATAGCTAAAAGTTGACATACTGGATCTAGACATATCCCTGGATGTTCCAATCGAGCCCCAGGGCCTGTAAGATAGGCCTAGGCATGGCTGATACGCCTGGATAGCATTTAGAACAAAATTGACCTATCAAATCCGATGAATTCTAGTCAACGCTTATCTCTTCCTCAACGGGATCTTTAATCGTGTCCGTGTCTATGCCATCACCGCTCCCTGGCTGGTTTGGATGTTCCGTTTAGTGGCCGATGCCAAAGTGGCCCTCGTCGAATATGTGATCATTCATTATCTTGTCAAGTCCGCAGTCACTGCAGCTTTCGCCAATGCAATTGTCAAATGCTTTGCACAGAAGTATCGCAAGAAAATGGCGGGTTTTTGGAATGACTAATCGAAAGTTTAAAGTGAAAATTCGATTTTCAGGGTAAAAATCTCCCCGACTACACGATTTATCTGATCGCTTTTCTTTTCCCACTGCCTTTCTCGATTTATTTAACGGTTTACGTGTTGAGGCCGCTTAATGCAAGTAGAGTAATGCAGGTGAAAAGCATTTTGCTTGGTACATTAAACATTTGCCTTGTGTGCTTTTGAAATCATCAAGAATTATGTTTGCGTTTTTTTTTTCGTGATTAAAGTTAATTGGATCTTTTTCTAAACAATTTAATGATCAAAAAGTTCATAGTAAATTGGGGATTAATGATTGAAATCATAAACCGTATTTTCTCTAATAGTAGTGCACCGTGAGCGTTGCCTAGATTTCTTGAAATCTCGAAAAGCGCTTATCAGAACCTATCGATGTGGGGTCGGAAAATGTAGCTGACGATCAGATCTAGTGGAAAAAAACCCACCCCCCCCCCACCCCACCCCCCACCCCCCCCCCCCCAACCCAAAAAAACAAAGAAAAAAAGAAAAAAAGAGGAGAAAAGGAGGATTTGAGTGTTGAGCTTCTGGGAAAACTTGGAAACTGTAAAATCGTCATCAACTCGGCTCGCCGGGGTGCGCTACTATTAGAGAAAAGACGGTACTAGAGTCTTCAGAGCTATCAACAAGTACAAGCTGTCTCGGGCACGTATCTCTTCCTCGTGAACGTGGCGACGGCGATCCTTTTATACTGTCGAGCCATTTATCAATCACTGCAATACACGATTGGGCACAAATTGCAAGCGATCGGGAAAGTGACAGCGATTATGGGGTTTTATTTTGCGATTAATGCGATGGAGGTGAGCTGATGAAATTCGTGTGTCTCGTTTTCTATATAGTGCCCAACTTGGAAAGCTATCGTAATCTTTCTTTCGGCTTTTGCCAAAGAATCAAACTGTGAATTGAATTAGAAGAAAATTGAGTAGAATAATAAAGGAAAGACTATGGTAGCTACGGTAGTTTTCTATGAACGTTTTAAGAAAACAATTCAAATCTGATTCCTATCTGATCCTAAGAAAAAGCGCTCAAAGAAAAGAAAAAAAGCGAATATTTCCTGAATTGCAGATCTACTCATCAACGGTGTTCACTCAGCCTCGTCTCATCATCCTCCACAATGTGCACTATTTCAACACCGGCTACGAGTTGTTCGCCATTTTTGCGCCCTTATTTTCCGTCTACGCGAACAAGGAGAAAGTTCGGCTCACAAAAAAGCAGCTTATTAAATATTAAAGCAAATATTAAAGCAAATATTTCAATCTATTTGGTTTAACAATAGAAATTAAATGTCTGGATTTAAAAAAAAATTAGTTTTAACTTTAAAAATCTCATCATGATCTTTCAAAAAAACGTAATTTAATCAAAAAAAATTTTAAAATTTTGAACTTTTTAATGGCATTTTCAATTTCTTTCCTTCAAGTACGAGAATTTTTTTTTCACTTCAACAATTCAAATAAAATGATCTTTGAAGTCTTTTGACAGGAAATTCATATGAGAAATGATTAGTTGAAGATCAAAAAAAAACGAAATGAATTTGAAAGAGTTTTATAATTTGTGACCGATTTTTTTTCCCAAAAGAGATGAGATTAGAAAAAAGGGAAAATGAGCAAAAATGAATCCTGGAACAAATGAGTCCGAAGAGTCCGTTTTGCGTAAAAAAACAAAGAAAAATGTATCAGTATTGAAAAGTTTTCGAAATTGAAATAACCAGAGTAGCCGCAAGGAATCCCGATCATTTCTTTTGGAAAAGAGGGGAATTTGGTGAAAAGGGAACTCTTATCTCAAGAAGAAATCCGAAATGTTGTTAATTAAAGGAAATTCAAAAAGAATTATGATCATTAGCTTTTAAAAAAGTTTTCGGACTTGCGACCTTTTTTCCGAGAAAATCCTGGGTTGGTGCTTTAAAGCGTGGTAAACCTACCGTACCGCTCTTAATTTGCAGATGGGAAAAGGGGTAGGCAAATTTTCGCAATTCTTTTTGCGCAACAGGGTCATTTGCGCAACTCGCCGTAACTTTCTTCTAAGTGGACCAATCTTTATGCTTTTGGTTTCATTTTGTTGCACTTATTAAGATCTACAAAATGAAACCACAAATCATAAAGATTGACCGACTTAGAAGAAAGTTATGGCGAGTTGCGCAAAAAAAATTGGAAGAAATTAGCCTACCCCGGGAAAAGAAAGCGCGCAATTTCATTCTTTCATTCATGTTCTTCATTTCATTCTTTTTCTGTCTTTCTAATGTGGTTCTTTATGAGTGATGTTAAACTTAAAGGACTCTTTAAGATTTCGAATCACGCCAGAAGAACTCGTAGTCACAACTTTCAGATTACCCCCTTTCAAAGCTTTCATAACCGCCAACTGTATCATTCTTTTGCTTGTCGTGTTCCTCGTATTTGGAATAAGTTACCTTGTGATATTTTTTCGTCTCTGAACTATTTTAAATCCATAAAAAATTATAACGAAAATGAAAGTGGTTGCAAAACAATCAGATCTGCAAGCAAAAAGAGATAGTGCATTTTAGAATGTCATTATCCAACAATTAATTGAGCCATTTGGATAAATAATTATTCGCTCAAAATTATCCAACTAATTCTTTATCCGATATTAAATAATCACCCTAATCCACACATGGGAGCGCAATTTTAATCGTCTTACAAAAATAGTTACAAAAGTTTCACAAACGAACATCTATATTTTTATTTTTTTTTTTGCCCTAAAATGCTTCGAACTTTAATTAACTTGAAACTAAAAGATAGTTTTATAAAAGAAAAAAATGAAACTCAGGGAATTCGTTGCAGAAAATAAAGAAATATCTTTCCTTACATTGCTAGAGGTTGCTCATTTAGTTCATTTAAAAAAATCATGGCTATTTCAGAATAATTACTGAAAGACTGAATCAGAATGGGCAATATGAGAACGGTTAAGTGCAGAAATACGCAAAAAAGATGAAATTACGCGCTTTCTTTTATACCTTCAAGTTAGGAGAGGTACGGTAGTTTTGCCACACTTTAAAGGGCCAATCCAGGATTTTCTCGGAAAGCAGGTCGCAAGTGTTTTTGGGGTTTCATGAAGCCTTTTTGCCTCTAATATTATATCATAGTTAAGCCTGATCAGTGACATAAATGACTCAAAGTGATTTTTGCGCACAAGCATAAGTGTTTTTGAATACAAAACATATTACCATTTGTGCCTGTAAACCTTTCTCTGAGCATACCGCGACACCTGAACACTTGGATGCTGTTTTCCACCGATCCTTGACTTTTGTACCTTATCAAAAGTGTTAAATTACATGAAATTTTGCAACTTTCTTTCAGAGCATCTCAATATTTCTTTCTTTATTTCTCGATTTGATCGACGCCATTGCGTTTGTCTTCGGCAATTGCCTGAATTTCAGTTTTTCGATCAAAATGATCAACAAAATGATTGTTTCACATCGAGATTTCGAAGAAATTATTTCCACCGTAAAAGTGATGCATTTGAACACAAAAGCGAGTCATTCTAAAGACTATTTTGACTGGCTCGAATTGATAGGAACTGTTAAAGAAAAAGATTCTATTTTTTTCATTATACGATTTTTCCAGCTTTTAGAAATGTGGAACTTTTTTGTTTTTTGCCTTTTTCTTTGTGCTGTCGTTGTTGAGAGTCAAAAAGGGGACTCGGAAAATGCGCTGGTCAGTTGAATGGTAATGAAAAGTAGGGTAGCTTTCTAAAAGATGCCATTTTTGGTGTCATTTTGTAGATCTTAATAAGTGAAACAAAATGAAACCAAAAGCATAAAGATTGGCCCAATTAGAAGAAAGTTATGGCGAGTTGCGCAAAAAGAATTCCGAAAATTAGCCTACCCCCTTTCCCACCTGCAAATTAAGAGGGGTACGGTAGTTTTACCACGCTTTAAAAAAGCAACCCAGGATTTTCTTGGAAAAAGGTCGCAAGTCCGAGAACTTTTTCTTAAAAACTAATGGCCGTAATGATCATAATTCTTTTTGAATTTCCTTTAATTAACAACATTTCGGATTTCTTCTTGAGATAAGAGTTCCCTTTTCACCAAATTCCCCTCTTTTCAAAAAGAAATGATCCGGATTCCTTGCGGCTACTCTGATTATTTCAATTTGAAATTGAACCTTTCAATTTTCAACAATTTTTGTCCAAACTTTTTCTTTATCTATTATAATGTAAAATCCCTTTCTTTCTATTAAATGAAAGCTTTTCTTTTGGGTGTAAACGATGAGAAGTCTAATCTTCTCACTTCTCCTCGTCGGTGTCTACGGCGGTGCATCGAACACCGTAAACACTTGGAATGGAACTCTCTCTTACATTGAAGATTGGGGATATGTCAAGGTAAAGAGATTAGCTTTATTCTCATAAGAGACTGACAAAATATAAGAAAGAGACTTTGAAAAAGGACAAAAGTTGATTGATAGCAGATGAACGAGTTCCAGGTTATTTTAAAGACTATTTTAGTGTAAGGTTTTAGCCTCGATTTACTGCAGACCTAGCCAGCTTATAGATCTGGAAGATTCCTTGTCTAACTCTTGTACAACACATTTATTGAAGTGCCTTATTATTAAGGGATTTCAGATTCGTGACAACGCAAACACTTTCTGGTGGCTCTACTCCGTGCAACCGTCTAACAATCGACCGCTTTTCCTTTGGCTCCAGGTTTTCGTTCTCTATTATTATCAGAAAAGAAAGCGGAAATTAGAATTTTAGTTTCTGCTTTAGTAGTTTTATGAGAAGGCCTCGGATTGATAAGAAGCTTTTCATCCATGCAATTTTTTGATATTGTGATATCAGAAAGATAATATGGAAACGTTTATTAAGCCTCTTTTTCTAATCAAAACTTATACGATAAAGCAGTAAAAGCTATTTCAGAAATTTGTTTCATTTTGAATACTAAACTTCTGAAATCGATGGTTTTATAGTTTTTGGATTTCGAGAGGAGAACTTGAATAGATTTATTTTACGTTGCTAAAGAAACATTCAATAGAATAGAATTGAGAGAATAGAAGAAAGAGAACAATTAAAGAATCACAGACTTCTGGTGATTCCCACTCGCCGATCCTCTGGATCCAGAGCTATTTCACTTCTCTCTGTGTTCCTTCTCTATTTCTCTGATTTAACACTAGCCAGTTATCTATGCTTCTTGCAAAGAACTTCTTTTTTTCTATTCCTTACATGATAAAGTTACTTAGGGAGGACCCGGCTCGTCATCATCTGGCTACGGTAATCTCGAGGAACTCGGCCCAAAAGATCTCGATGGGAAAGATCGAGCGAGTACTTGGGTGAGTGCTGAGCATGATGAAATTCGAGCAAAATCAAAACAAATATCTATAAATAACATTACATTGTCAGCTAGACATTCGATTCTGTCCTCGACAGTCAATGCGGTGGACTAAAAACTGAGCTAAGACGCAATTTCTGGTTCGATTTCGAAATCTAATACTACTCTGACTATAGGCAACACTATATCATGGCTACATTTCAAGTATAATCATATAAAATGATATAAAACTTATCTAAAAGTTCATTTCCAGCTCCAAGTAGCCGATTTGGTCTTTGTCGACAATCCAGTCGGTGCCGGCTTCTCCTACGTGGATGACTCGAGCGCTTACACAAAAAATGTGACACAAATTGGTGAGTTTCTTTAAGCTTTTCATCAATTTTAATTATTTGGCTTATGTTTAACATCTTTGTTTAACAAAATGAAATTTCAGGCCAAGATCTTCTCGCATGGGCGAGAGCCTTTTTCACTGTCCATCCCGAGTACCGAACTCGTCCCTTCTACATCTTTTGCGAGAGCTACGGTGGAAAGATGAGTGCCGAGTTTGCGAGAGTCATCGTGCAGGTGAATTTCACTCAAAATCAGCTTAGCTTACAGTAGTTCTTTAGAACAACAACATCTTGAGGATTAACTTTAAAGGAGTGGCGCTTGGCGACTCGTGGATCTCGCCGATGGACTATGTGAATAGTTGGGGGCCATATTTGTATGCTAATGTAAGTCGGATTTGGCACAAAACCTTTAGTAAACAATTCTCTGAATTGGTCACTCTATAGAGTTATCTTTTAGTCCTACCTGGACGATATCCAGTTGAAACAAGTGAACGCTCAGGCGGCTCATTGTCAGAAATTGGTTGACAACCAACAGTGGAGTCAAGCGACAAACTGTTGGGGAGATATGGAGGATCTGATTGGAACGGTGAGTATAACTAATACCAATACAATATTTTAGAAAAGTTCTTGTATATTTGAAAACATTTTATTTACAGGTAATCGGTGGAGTCTCATGGTACAACATTTTGAAGTACGGAGATCAAGATGATTGGTCAAAGAAGAGAAGAAAGAGGGAAATCGATCTGGATAAGGACAATCACGTGCTACCTGAGACAATTCGTTGGTTGAAACAACGATTTCACAGATAAAATTTGTGTTTAGAACGCTTGTACAACCGTCACGTGAAACCGATGTACGATGTGGATCTAAATGATTACATGGACACGGTGGTCAGACAAAAGTTAGGCATCATTCCGCCAAATGTCAAATTTGGACGTGAGTTTTCGTTTCCGCAAAAGGGTTTTATATATTCTTTCAGGTCAATCCAGGCAAGTCATCTGGAAGCAACAGGGTGATTTCATGGTGCCTAACTATGATACAGGTTTGGTAATCTTTTAGGAAACTTTCTTTCCATTTTTCTTTACTGATTCATTACCTTTCTTGGGCTTTTCTTTAGTTGATTGGCTTCTCAAAAATCAAACGAATGTCATCGTTTACAATGGAAATCTTGATCTCATCTGTGACACGATTGGCACGGAAATGTGGGTGAATCGATTGACGTGGACGGGCATGCAAGGATGGAATACGGTTCGTTTTGAGCTTTTATTAATCTTATGAGTTTAGAAAGAAAGACTGAAAAAAGCTGAAAGCAAAAACCCTAGAAACTCTAACAAATCTTTTGCGGGAGTTTTACGAAAAAATACAGAGTAGAGAGAGGAACCGGAATGAAAAGCCGCATTAGCTTGGTAGCCTATAGCACCAACCCCTAAACCACTACTGCTTTTCTTCCTCTCGGCGTCTCACCCTCTTATAGGTGGAACCGGAACCGGGAGGAAGAGCTGAATTAGCTTGGTAGCCTATAGCACCAACCCCTAAACCGGCGCTACTTTTCTTCCATTCGGCTTGGCGCCCTCTAATAGGTGAGGTGCTTGCATCTCATCGCCGTTTAAAAGTCTCACACACTCTTTGGAATTTTTTAGTTGATCTTAGCAAGCAAGATTTCTGAATCTTTTAATCACTTAACTCCCTCTGGAGTGAGGGAGATCAAGTTAGTTGTGGTGTAGCGGTTAGCACGGTTACCTGGTAAGCGAAAGATCGGGTTCGAGTCCCGCCGCCGCCCAATTTTTTGATCTACCCTAGCTCCAACTAATCAGTTTTTGTCTAAAGCAAAAATCTCACCTCTAACTTTGTAGCTAGAGAAATTTTGAGTATAATCAGCCAATTCTCGACATCATTTCAAAGTGAACGTCAAAATTGCAGTCAACTCGTACGCGTTTCGGCACAAAGAGCTTCCCATTGGCCGGCTACGTGAAACGCTACGGAAACTTTCAATTCTGGTGGATTCTCCGAGCCGGGCACATGGTTTGTTACACTTTTACTGCTCGACGTGTTCAAAAGTCACACTCGAACACCCGCAAAACATGACTGTTCCCCAAAAATTTGCAGGTGGCTCACGACACCGAGGAGTCATCAATCTACATGCTCTCACAAATCCTTAAAACAACCTAAAGCTCAAGTCTTGATCGTTTAAATTATTCTCAAAAAAAAGTCAAATTTTGTATATAAAATCTTTTTCGAATTCGATTTTTGAAAATAATCGTAAAATGACAAATACAAAAAAAAACATGAAACTGCCTTTTTTCTTTTGGCAAAAGGTGACAATTTAGAGCCGAGACTTGAGTGTTTGGACTGGAAAAGTGTTTTCGGGGAATGTGCTGAGCGTAGTCAAAGATAAACTAGAGTAATCTGAGAGTTAATAAAAATTAGTAATCCAATAAACTGAAAGAAACTCAAATAAAATGAATCTATTGCCTCCTGAAATTAAAAAAAAACGATCAATTTGTACTTTAAAAAACGCGGAAGCTTAAGGCTGAAGTTTAAAGCTGATGAACAAGCTCACTACCGTCTACCTTCGAAACTCGTCCACAAGTTTTCTGCGAAGTTTATGGGTAAAAAAAATACAAAGAATAAATCGAATTTCAGCTTTTGGCGAAACTAGATGAAGGTCGAGGAATGCACTCGACGGTTGCCAACTCAAAAACAGCAAAAATCGACGACGATCTCTTGGCAAATCCTCGTCAACTCCGAAAGCTTGTCTCCGTCTTTTACTTTGATTATCTCATTTTTCAATATGCTCTCCCGAAATCGAAGCATCTTGTGAATATAAATGAATTCCTCGCTCAATAAATGTAGAATTCGATAGAGATATTCAGTTAAATATTGAACTTTTCAATGAGTTCTCCAAACCCCCCCCCCCCCCCCTTTTTCCCTTTTCCCTATAAAGATTTGCATTTTTGATTTGGAAACACAGAAACGAATGACCCAAAGTGCATAATTTGATAAAACTTTTCAATTTAAAAGTTGAAATCTTTTTCATAAACTATTATTTTTTATTGAAATGACCACAAAAAGATCTTTCTGGAACAACCACAAATTTGTCATTCTAACCATTATTTCCGTTTTTTTTCGGTATTTCAATTGGAATCGCGTTACGGTAAGCGAAAATTTCATTTTTTTTTTTATAATCAAGCAAAAGCTAGCTAATGCTAGCTTTTCTTAAGGCATTTTTTGATAATCAAACAAAAGCCAGCTAATGCTAGCTCTTCTAGAGCCTTGCTAGCTCACCTCAAAAGCTAGCTACCAAAAGCTAATGCTTTATAGAGTTCAAAATGTGAGCCCTTTCGTGGAAACGTTGATCTTTTTCCCTGGCGAGATCTTCATGCGATTGCTAAAGTTACTCGTTTTACCGCTCGTTTGCGCCTCGTTGATTTCAGGTGACTTTGTGCTCGCTTCTCTGGCGACTTCACTCATTCGTTTTTCATTTCAGCCCTGTCTCAACTAAATCCGGAAACGGCGAAACAACTAGGCCTTAAAACTGTTCTTTACTACCTATGCACAGCCTCTTTAGCCACAATCGTGAGAAAAACTGAACTCTTAACAAAAAAAACGATTTTAGATTGGTTTAGCCTTAGTGATATTGATTCATCCAGGCGATCCATCGATTAAGGTCATCAAAGCTCACTTTCTCGTCAAAAGTTATCCAGATTTTAGGCCGGGAAAGTTCTGAAAAGACCCGAAGATTTAAGCCACGAGGCAATTGATAATATTTTGGATGTGATACGGTAAGTAAGCTGAATGAAAGTTTAAAAAAGCAAAACGACTTGGCGATTGGGGGAATCGAACTCCCGTCGAATGGTTTGTAGGCATCGATACTAATCAGCACATCACGACAAGAGCAAAGTGGCGACTGATTTGAGCCATTAAGAGAAACCTAGTTACGTTTTCAGAAACCTGATCCCAGAGAATATTATCGGTGCAGCGACAAGGAGATCGCAGACAAAAATGGTGAATGAAACGCTGACTGGGCCATTGGTGAAACGAGTTGATCAAGTTGATGGACTGAATATCCTTGGGATTATTACCTTTTGTGCACTCATTGGAATCGGCACTTCTAAGGTGAGAAGCGATTTCGACGATTTCAAACTTTGTTTTTTATAGGTTGGTGCCACGGGAGAACCGGTACGCCAATTTTTCGCTAGTCTCGAAAAAATCGTGCTTCTACTTATTGAAGGAGCGATGTGGTAAGCTCCAGAACAACGAACACTTTTAGCTTAAAGCTAGGTTTGCTCCATTTGGCATAAGTAGTCTTGTCGCGGCCAGCATTTCCGAGGTTCACGATTTGCTCTTGATTTTACAGGTAGATAGATAAAGCAGATCTGAATTCAGCTCTAAATCTGGTTCCCAACGAGCCCAAGGACCTTTAGATCCTTTCCGCTTACGTGGGAACGGTGCTCGCTGGGTTGACCATCCACATCTTCATCGTTTTGCCTGTTTTTTATTTTCTAGGTAGATTTCGTCGATGTGTCGATGATGAAATTCGACCTTAAATCATAAATATCGTTCCAGCCACTCGTAAAAACCCACTCTCAATCATGAAAGCTATGCTGCCCGCGTTTATGACCTCTTTGGGTACAGCTTCCAGGTGAGTAAAGTTTGTTCAAAATTAGATTGAATAGCGATAAAGTGAAGAAATTGGTGAGAAAAGATAGAGGGGATTGAAGCCTCGACTAGGCCCATCCCATGTACACAATTCAGGCAAGCCTCCTTGCCCCGAATTCGTGTAAACCTGGATTTCAAGACCCTTTTCCCTTTGGAATCGTCAATTCCCCATTTCCTGCTCTAATCACTTAGCTATCCGATACCGAACTGTTAAGAAAAAGAGGGAAAGACAAGGGGGAAGAAGAGAGAAAGAAAGGAAGAAAGGAAGAAAGGAAGAAAGAAGGAAAGAAATGTTCTTTACATTCAAACGATACAATTTCGTAAATCATCAGATTCCAGTGGAGCGGCTCTACCAGTCGGTCTTCAATGTATGGAGGGAAAAGCTGATGCAAGAGTTGTGAAATTTGTTCTTCCTCTAGGCGCATCGACGAATATGGTAAGAATGATTGTTGGGATTACAGTACCCTAAAGTCGCGAGTATAAGTTCTGTTTGGTTTTCGCATGCAAATTGACGGCTGTCTCCGGTGCGGTGTGTCGAGGATTCGAATCCCGCTGCAGCATAACTTTTTTGCTTTTTTAAGAACAATAATAGAAGTAAATTTATTGAGGGTTATAGCAATTTTATGCTGTTATTTGTTGCTCCGGGCGTGGCTCAGCGCGTCCGCCCTGCTCCTCTCCGGTGCTCAGTCTTATGGATCCCTCCCTGGCCTCTTCATCCGGCCAAAGTCCACGTCGACGGTCGAAAGAGATGCTTTCCAGCGTCTTCTTCAACACTATCGTCTGGATGTATCCATGCACATAACAAATAGCAATGGTCATAGGCTGTCACCCTGTAGTATCCCGCGCTCCAAGAACAATAATAAAAGTTTATATAACAATAAAAATGTATAAAAACCCAACAAAAAGAAATTCAAAGCAATTAAAGCGACATAAAAAAGAATTCTGTGCTTAGCTCGCTCGCTCGCTCGGAAAGCTCGCTTATTTTTTGATGAAGTCATCCAGTGCCGGCTCAGCTTGTTTCCAGCGGTTAATCATCTGTTCAGCGACTTCAAATTCGATTGCAGCAGCGTTCATTCCAAATTTCCTCGCAAATTTGACCGTTTCGAGCTTCGTTTCGGCGGTGTACGACTTTCTCCTCATCGTATCTAAAATGAAAAAACGTTAGTAAAATAAAAATGAAAGAAAGAAGAAAATTTTCAATCAGAGCCCTTTAAATGTAAATTAAGGCAGAAATTATACTCGGATGAACTTATACTCGCGACTTTAGGGTAATAGCAAGTAATACCTCTTATTCACGACAAATCAATAAAAAAAGTTGATTCCTATAAGTAGTTACGGTAACTATTGTCTATGATAATAGATTTTATTCTGTTATATTCAAATTCTTGAACTTTTTCCTTTTGACCTTTCTTACAGGATGGAAACGCTCTCTACGAGGCGGTCGCTGCGATCTTTATCGCGCAAATCAATGGAATCGACTTGTCGATTCGTGAGCTAATCACGATCAGGTAAAAACAGACAAAACAATAGAAGAATAGATGAACTTTAGATGAACTTTAGATGACTTTACTAGATGACTTTACTAGATGACTTTATTAGATGACTCTACTAGATGACTTTACTAGATGACTTTACTAGATGACTTTATTAGATGACTTTACTAGATGACTTTATTAGATGACTTTACTAGATGACTATTTTTCTTTCTAGAATGAAACAATTTCGTAAACGATTTCAGTATCACTTCTACCCTTGCCTCGGCCGGTCTAAATGCTGTACCGGCCGGACTCGTTTCGATGCTCGTCATTTTGGACACGGTTGGATTACCTGTTTCTGATATCACACTCATCGTGGCTGTCGATTGGTTCTTGTGAGTTCGTTTAAAGAAATTTCAATTCAAAAATAGAATCGAGCGCTTTCTTTTTTTTGCTTTTCTTTTCCCCACCCAGACCACCCATCAACGCAAAAGCTAAAAAAAACCGGATCAGATCAGATCCCCTTATAAAGACTCCCATTCGTTTCTCCGCATCAGCTGCGTTCGTGGTGTAATGGTCAGCATGGATGCCTTCCAAGCATTCGACGGGGGTTCGATTCCCCCGAACGCAAATTTGTTTTGCTTTTTCAAAATAAACTCATCAATGATGAAAACGATCATATTCTTATCGATTAGACGAATTTAAATTTTAAATCTTATCGGTTAGACCAAATTCTCAGGGGATCGCGTCCGAACCGCAATTTGCACAATGGCTGATGGCCTTGTGGCTTCGGCTGTCGGGCATATGGTAAGTTTTTGCAAGCTTTAGCTTAAAATAAATCTTTGAATACACAAATATCGTTGGTATTTTAAAAATGGATCAAATGTAGTAATTATCTAGTAGAAAAGTCAAGATATTCAGGTAAATCTCGATCCTCTCGAGGGAAACGAGTTAGAGCAGCTCAATTTGACGCTGAGAGACGAAAAGGATGAATTTGTGGATATGTTGGTTTGATGTGTAATAAAAACTATAAACAAAAATGTATTTCTTGTCCAAATCAGTCTTGACGATTATTCTTCCAGTACTGATGACCACCGTAAACAGCAATGAATAAAATGATCACCCAATCAGCCCCAGTGTTCTTGCTTGGCTCTACATTTTGTCTGAAATGTAAAAATAAATAATAGCAACACGCGTAGAACAACTATTGTATTTATTGCACACACGTGGTTGTAGGTAGTCGTAGTTGTTGTTGTCGGGGTTGTGGTGGTAGTTGTTGTCGTTTATTGAAGTCGTAGTCGAGCAGTTGTAGTAGTTGTCGTTGTGGTGGATGCTGTGGTAGTCGTTGGAGCTGTTGTTGTAGTGGTTGACGTTGTTGTGGCTGTTATTGGAGTTGTTGTAGTGATTATTGTCGTAGTTGTCGCCATAGTGGTTGTAAAAGTATCGAGATCGATAACCTAGGTTTATATTTTCTAGGGTAAACCTTTAGAAAAGTTAGCTGGTAGTTAGTGAACTAGGTTTTCACAAACAAATTCTCGAGTCAACGTATCAATCCCGAGTTAAACCCATTACAAAATTCCCTTGATCTTTGGCCCTGATCCATCAATGTCATCGATCCTTGCTAACTGAAAAGCGCCAATAAAAACAATAGTTTCTGCATTTTGAAAAAGTGACAAGTATTGAAAGTGAATTTTTGATGATGATGGTCTAGTGGATTTTTTAGAAAAAATGACGTTGAGAAAAGTTATCATACTTTTCAGTAGATTGTGTTCCTTTAGAGTGAAATTTAATTTTCAAGCTCGACTAGATTTATTCACACCATTTTAATATCTACACGTATCGTATAAGAACAAACAAAATATACAGGTTTAACGGACTTAACTATGACACATTGAAAACAATCGATACCGGTGCCGTTAATGAAGAATGTCCGTTGATTTTATTTGAACTTGTTAATCGCATCGCGAACCTACAATAGATTTTATAACATATTCATTTAAATTGACGCTCAAACCTCGTCGATATTTGCAGCGTCTCCCCATTCTTTCTCCAAGTGATGCCAAACGAGACGATCACCGTCAATCAGATACACTCCTAAATTTAAAAGATAAAAATAAGTAGTTTTCTTAAAAAGATGCCGTATTTCAGATAAATTATTGCTAACTTTTCCGGGAATACTGTAACAAAAAAATCCGACAGAAGAGTGATTGTGCTTCAACTCTATTGTTAGCTAAAGCTCACTATCCTACAATTTAACGCTTCAAACACATGACTTCTCCAAAATGTACTTGATGAAAGATAATTAAGCTCTCAAAACGTTATAGAAAGCTTAAAAACATTGCGCAAAGCCTTCATCACATGTTGAGAATTTTTATGACGAACTAATTTTCCAAATCGGACCAAAACTTATTCGAATCTTCCTCAAGTCACTCACCTCCCAAGAGGCGTCCTTCACCGTCCATATTCCCGTGGAAACCCTCTTGTTTGCTTCTCCAGACGTTTAGGTACGTGTTCACTCGCAGAAAGCCCATCCACAGTGGTAGCCATCGCTGATTGGGACCGTAGAAGCTCTTCTAAAGTCAAGCTTTATATTTGCCAAAAATAAGCTCGTAAACAAACCTCAGCGTCGTAGTAGACATCACCCTTGAAATACGGCTTTAATTCATTGACTCCTTTCGATTCGTGCACAACGGCCATCAAACCGATTTTCTTTTCGTCGAGCAAAGGCTTCAGCTCAGAGAGACTAAATTTCAAATCAACTGTGACAATCAAAAGCCACTTACTGTGCAGCTTCTCTACGACACAAAATGCAGCCTGGTCGACGAACAGCCATCACCATTGTTGGACCTTTGAAAAGGGTCGAAGCCTAAAATTGAATGAACTCTAGAAAACGTGTAACAACTAGCCTCAACGGCCTTCGATTTATCAACATTTTTCTCGTCGTCAATCTTCACCAATTTTGCGGAAGCGAGATAACTAAAAGTGAATAATATTGCATTTATTTCAAATCCTTCAAAGTTCTAATCCGTAAAAAGACCACAAACTTATAGCTTACAAGATCTTTGCTAAACAACCCTTATGTTTTTAATGAAATTTGATTCCTTACCTAAATCTTTAATGACTTCATATAAAAGATTACCTTGCAGTAGGCGCAATTGCTCCAATGGTTAGACGAGTCGGCAAATTTGCGTAGATGACCACACCACCGAGAGCCGCCAGCGCTCCGTACCCGAACATTGCCATGATTTCTAAAAATACAGTGTATAAAAAGGTAAACTGAAATAAATAAGAAAATAAAGAAACCAAGAATAATAGGAATAACAATTCACGAAATTTTTCTAAATAAAACACGTAGAGCGATTGAGTAAACAACTTTGTTGACGAAAGATTTTCCCTTTTCGCTTAAACGTTGTTCAAAAGTTGTAGTCTGTACTAAAGACTCTGTAGATTGGAAAAGCGGGTTGGAAAGATTGGAAAGATTAGTCGCAAAATAAGTCTCAAGAATCGAATTTCAATCAGCAAAACGAAAAATGGATAAACTAGCTTGACAACTATAAACTATAAACTAGCATTTCACCTACACTTTAGCCAAATTAGACACGAAAGTGTGATAAAACTTCACTCTACTAAAGTAAATTCATTTTTAACGATACTTTTTGCTGTTTATCCGCAACTGTAGGCTAATTTTTGGGCTAAGTTAGGGGGGGGTGGGACAAATGCGACCTTTTTTTTTGCGCACCTTTTTTTGCTGGAAAAGGCCTTAGGAAAGACCGTAGAGCTTCGAAAATATTTCGAAAATTTTTCCATATAAGGGAATCGTATGCGTAGATTCCGAATTTCGACAAATCAGACCTCGCTGACACGTCAAATTTGGGCTAAAAGGCAAAAACTACGCAACTTAACGCTTTTCCGCAGTTTTTGCCTTTTAGCCCAAATTTGACGTGTCAGCGAGGTCTGATTTGTCGAAATTCGGAATCTACGCATACGATTCCCTTCTATGAAAACATTTTTGAAGCTCTACGACCTTTCCTAAGGCCTTTTCCAGCAAAAAAAAAGGTCCGCAAATGTCCAAATTTTTACGCCACCTTTTATTTGCGTCAAAAATTTTTGCGCCTTGTATAAATTTGCGCCAAATTTACGCCTATCACTGTAACAAATCACTTTTTCCCGACTTCTAACCAACTTTTTTTTTCAGTTTTCCGCTTCACAATTTTAAATTCACACTTTTTTCAATTAGAAAACACGTTTAAACACGTATACAGCCTCAAAAACACTCATTTCTGTGTCACCGATTGGGCTTTTTGCTCTTTATATCGATTTTATGCCATTTACAGATCCTTGAAAGGCGTCAAAGTAGTAAAAAAAATAAAATAAACAATCAGAGTTGGTAGGAAAGTGTGTTGAAAAGCGCAAATTTGACACAAATCAAATGATATGCGGCGCAAAAAAAAAATTGGTGCAATTGCTCCAATGGTTAGACGAGTCGGCAAATGCTAACACCTTGAGTTGATTTCTTTGAAAAAAGCGACACAAACTGTCATGAGTTTGCTTACGAAGGGCAAAGAATTGAATGTAAATTGGGCTCTTTGTAAAGTCAGGGGCGTTCAAATAAGATACTTTTTCTGTATCCAAAACCGTGTGTACGTATTTATTTGACAGTGAAACCTCGAATGATAAAAAAGAGATAAAAAAGATAAAGCTCATTAAAAGAAATTCGCAATGACAAGCTGCCAGGAAACAATTTAATCCTAGCAAATCAAGGTCGAGTATCGAACGGGTGCTAGTCAGAAGTGGAGAGAGCGACGATTTTTCCAGTAATGAAATCCACCAGCGAGAACGATCACCAAGATGAGAACACCTGGAAGAGTTGGTGAATTGAAAGGATATTCTGGCTTTTAGATTCGATTTAAGAAAAATAAGATTTGGGATTATCTTACTAACCGATAATGATTCCAATCACAAGTCCAGCTGAGCTCTTTTCAGGCCTAAAATTTCTTTTGGTTTAAATTTCATTGATCTTGAGCGTTGCTAACAACGCTCAAGCACTTTTCAGTGTTTAGGTCGATTGATCAAAATTGAACTGAACACGTAGCCCGCTTTCCATTGCTTAATACTAGTAAGGAAGACTTCAAAGAACATACGTAGTGGTGGTGGTAGTGATGGGTGTTGTTGTTGTAGTTATTGTTGTTGTTGTTGTTGGCATTGTTGTTGTTGTTGTTGTTGTTGTAGTTGTTGACGTTGTTGTTGTGGTTATTGTTTTATTGCTACCATTTCTCTAAATCATACATTCTTGATAAACTACTGTAATCTCACCAGCAGGATGACTATTAAACCAAAGTACGGTAACTTGTTGGCATCTTTTAGAAAGCTACCCTACTTTTCATTACCATTCAACTGACCAGCGCATTTTCCGAGTCCCCTTTTTGACTCTCAACAACGACAGCACAAAGAAAAAGGCAAAAAACAAAAAAGTTCCACATTTCTAAAAGCTGAAAAATCGTATAATGAAAAAAATAGAATCTTTTTCTTTAACAGTTCCTATCAATTCGAGCCAGTCAAAATAGTCTTTAGAATGACTCGCTTTTGTGTTCAAATGCATCACTTTTTCGGTGGAAACTATTTCTTCAAAATCTCGATGAAAAACAATCATTTTGTTGATCATTTTGATCGAAAAACTGAAATTCAGGCAATTGCCGAAGACAAACGCAATGGCGTCGATCAAATCGAGAAATAAAGAAAGAAATATTGAGATGCTCTGAAAGAAAGTCGCAAAATTTCATGTAATTTAGCACTTTTGATAAAGTACAAAAGTCAAGGATCGGTGGAAAACAGCATCCAAGTGTTCAGGTGTCGCGGTATGCTCAGAGAAAGGTTTACAGGCACTAATGGTGAATCTCGATGTGAAACAATGTTGATTATTTGATTATTTTGATAGAAAAACTGAAATTTGGGCAATTGCCGAAGAAAAACGCAATGGCGTCGATCAAATCGAGAAATAAAGAAAGAAATATTGAGATTCTCTGAAAGAAAGTTTCATTTAATATAATATTTCATGTGAATTTCATGTAATATAACACTTTTGATAAGGTACAAAAGTCAAGGATCGATGAAAAACAGCATCCAAGTGTTCAGGCGTAGCGGTATGCTCAGAGAAAGGTTTACAGGCACAAATGGTAATATGTTTTGTATTCAAAAACCACTTATGGTTGTGCGCAAAAATTACTTTGAGTCATTTATGTCACTGATCAGGCTTAATTATGATATAATATTTTAGGCAAAAAGGCTTCATTAAACCCCAAAACACTTGCGAACTTTTTCCGAGAAAATCCTGGATTGGCGCTTTAAAGTGTGGCAAAACTACCGTACCTCTCCTAACGTGAAGGTATAAAAGAAAGCGCGTAATTTCATCTTTTTTTTTTGCGTATTTCTGCACTTAAGCGTTCTCATGTTACCCATTCTGATTCAGTCTTTCAGTAATTATTCTGAAATAGCCATGATTTTTAAACTGAACTAAATGAGCAACCTCTAGCAATGTAAGGAAAGATATTTCTTTATTTTCTGCAACGAATTCCCTGAGTTTCATTTTTTAGTTTCAAGTAGAGTTCGGCAAACAAAACCAGAACCAAAACAAACCAAAACACAGAGCACGTGTGGCTGACTGGTTAAGTGTCTTTTATCTTAATCGGAAGGTCGAGGGTTCGAACCCCACATGCGACATGGTCACCCCCTTCGGATTTCCTTTCCCTTCGGGTTGAGAGGTTTTCTGGAGGGCAGTCTGGTGGTTGTGGCCCCAGTTCTTTAAAGTGACAAGCCACTGCTTCATCGTCATCTTCCCTTCACCACCAAAAAAGCTATTTAGTTCCCCATTGAGCTTAGGGTTAGGGAGCCGTCTGTCATGACGTGGGTTAAGTTAAGATATAGCCTAGTATTGTGTGCGTCGTTGTATTGTGATTGATATATTTCGTGTATGCGATAAATTCACCACTGGTAGCCCCAGTCGGTATTTTTATTTTTTTTTTTAAAAAAACACCAAAATAAACCAAAACAAACCAAAACTCAATTTGCATATAAATTAACATGTAAATTTAAAATTGTAAAATGCAAATTTGAATGTAAAATGCAAATTTGCCTTTCACTTTTTCTCACTCCACAAAATCTCGCGGCCGAAAAAAGGACCAAAACACGACCTCGAAATTTCGAAACAAAAAATAGCCTATGGGATAGATTTTTGCATGCTGATTTCAAATCTGCACACAGATTTTCGCTAGCTCCTCCCAGTCGCGAGATATTGGCGAGTTTTGGTTAGTTTTGGTTTTGGTTTTGGTTTGTTTTGGTTTTGGTTTTGTTATGGTTTTGGTTTTGGTAGTTTTGGTTTTGGTTAAGTTTTGTTTTCCGAAGTCTAGTTTCAAGTTCATTAAAGTTCGAAGCATTTTAGGGCAAAAAAAAAAATAAAAATATAGATGTTCGTTTGTGAAACTTTTGTAACTATTTTTATAAGACGATTAAAATTGCGTTCCCATTTGTGGAGAGCTGCCCTTGATATCGGATAAATAATTATTTGGATAATTTTGAGCGAATAATTCTTCATCCAAATAAATGGCTCAATTAATTGTTGGATAATGACATTCGAAAATGCACTATCTCTTTTTGCTTGCAGATCTGATTATTTTCTTTCCAACAACAGAGACATTGCTCATCGCATCGGACGTTCTGAGAAGTGTATTCGCACGTATCTCAGGACCAAAGTGACTCCTAAGAAGAAAGAAACACGGGGCCGGAAGAAAAAGTTGACCGATCAAGACGAACGCGCAATTACGAGACGTCTTTCCAACACGACGACATCACTCGAAGAGGTTCGCAAGGAGATGAAGCTTCCGATCACTCGCCAAACTGTGCACAACGTTGTCAAACGATCTTCAATACTCAAAGATTTCAACTTAAATTGAAATTTTTTTTATTAAAATATAAACTTTGGCTCATTCATTTCTGTGTTTCCAAATCAAAAATGCAAATCCTTAAAGGGAAAAGGGGAGGGCAAGAGGGGGGGGGGGAGTTTTGGAGAACTTGTACTTGTACTTGTAAACAAAAAATTATTTAACTGAAAATCTTTATCGAATTCTACTTTTATTGAGCGAGGAATTCATTTGTATTCACAAGATGCGTCAATTTCGGGAGAGCATATTGAAAAATGAGATAATCAAAGTAAAAGATGGAGACAAGCTTTCGGAGTTGACGAGGATTTGCCAAGAGATCGTCGTCGATTTTTGCTGTTTTTGAGTTGCCAACCGTCGAGTGCATTCCTCGACCTTCATCTAGTTTCGCCAAAAGCTGAAATTCTATTTATTCTCTGTTTTTTTACATTTATAAGATCACTAGAAAATTTCGGTTTCACTTTCGTTTGGATGCCTTTTTTTGCAAAAGTTTGACTCGTTTTGGTGTACTTTATGCCCGTTAATGATCGATCAAAATACCCTTTCTGGTGCATGCTTTTATGCGTATTAAATTCTCAGAGGGAAATAAGGAAGAAGGAAATAAGGAAGAAGGAAATAAGGAAGAAGGGAATAAGGAAGAAGGAAATAAGAAAGAAGGAAATAAGGAAGAAGGAAATCAGGAAGAAGGAAATAAGGAAGAAGGATATTTTCAGAAGGAAAGTTCAGTGCGTAGAAAGGGGTTTTTTTGGCGCATTTTTCTCGACAACGTGCCGATTTAAACGTGCCGAAGTACTCTCAAACGTGCCGATTTTGAAAAAGCAAAACAAAAATAGCGTTCGAGAGGAATCGAACCCCCGTCGAATGCTTGAAAGGCATCCATGCTAAGAATTGCACCACGAACGCAATTGATAATGGGAAACGAATGGGATTCTCACTAAATCAAATCCAAAATCACATTCAGAAATTTGGATTTAAATGAAATGAAATCCAAAAAGAAAAATCATTTCATTTTTCAAGCACTCACAAATTGAATCGTTCCCTCCGGGACTTTGGAGAGCTGAAAAACTCTCCGCAAATCCCTCTTCAACTCATCTTTCTTTTCACTGTGATAGCGAATGATTTGATACTCATCAAAACGTGATCCAAACTCACAACGCCTAAATGACAAAAAAAAAAGAAGAATTTGCCACAAATGAATGCTAAAACCAGTTTTGAGGGAAAAAATGCGCATTGACGTGATGTCGATACGTTTCGGGTCCTTCGTATTGAGCACTTCTCAGGAAATCCCTTGCATAGCGATCGATTTTATCCAAAGTGCACGTCGTATTTCGACACGAATCACAACGGTTCAGCTCACTGGAAACAAGAGATACTTTGACGATAAAGATTTTCCCGAAATATTTCGAAATTTGATTTCAAAAAAGTTTCAAATCTTTTTCCTCTAAGCCTAAGCCTTTCTTTTTGTACCCTAAAGTCTCGAGTATAAGTTCTGCCTTAATTTACATTCGCTTTAATTGCTTTGAATTTCTTTTTGTTGGGTTTTTATACATTTTTATTGTTATATAAACTTTTATTATTGTTCTTGGAGCGCGGGATACTACAGGGTGACAGCCTATGACCATTGCTATTTGTTATGTGCATGGATACATCCAGACGATAGTGTTGAAGAAGACGCTGGAAAGCATCTCTTTCGACCGTCGACGTGGACTTTGGCCGGATGAAGAGGCCAGGGAGGGATCCATAAGACTGAGCACCGGAGAGGAGCAGGGCGGACGCGCTGAGCCACGCCCGGAGCAACAAATAACAGCATAAAATTGCTATAACCCTCAATAAATTTACTTCTATTGTTCTTAAAAAGCAAAAAAGTTATGCTGCAGCGGGATTCGAATCCTCGACACACCGCACCGGAGACAGCCGTCAATTTGCATGCGAAAACCAAACAGAACTTATACTCGCGACTTTAGGGTAAAGTAAAATGAATTAGAATGATAAAGATTGCTAGAAAATTCCTCTGATTTCAATTTTATACAAAAATTTCACTAAAACTTGATTTTCCTGTCTTTCTGTACCTTTGTAGTTTTGGGAAAATCGAAATTTGAAGCTTTTATATATTGTAAAAGCTCTTGTAAACAGGAAAACTTCATAACGAAATCTGATTTCTATTTATTAGCTGAATTTTAAAGTTTAAAATGAAACCTGCATTGATTGACATGGCCAGAGATGAATTTCTCTTTTGGTTCGCGCACAAGGGAGAATTTATGGCTGCCAGTAGGGCTTATCCCAAATCGCCACACCAAATCGATCAACGAACCGGCGTTATTCTCATGTAAACAAGCACTGGAATCAATATGAAAACATTTGAAAACATAAATTAGCCTTTAAAACGAACGTTTTACTGTCCCATCCCATGTAGAAATTCGTGTGATTTATCATCATTTTCTTGTCATGAAGATAGCACATTAAAGCTGAATTTTTTAAATTTTTAATCTTTTAACTACTTTTGCACATCTTTTAACTACTTTTCTCTCTTTTAACTTTTCCTATCTTTAAACAATCTTAGCCTACGCCTAAGCCTAAGCCTAAGCCTAAGCTTTTTAAGGCTAAGGCTTTTCGTTGGGTAAAACCCAACCAATAAAAGAGTTATTTGGGTTTGGTCTCAACCCGTTCCAATTTCTGATCCAATAAAAACATAGAAATCATAAGACTGAAATGCCCCAACTTGAACAAACGTTTTGATCCGATAAAAGCACAGACACCAAACCCAAATAGACTTAGTGCTAGGCGCTAGCCGCTAGCCTTCGCACCAAAGCCAAGCCTAAGCCTAAGTCTAAGCCAAAGCCAAAGCCAAAGCCTAAGCCTAAGCCTAAGCCTAAGCCTAAGCCTAAGCCTAAAGCCCAAACCCAAATAGACTGCGAAGGCGCTAGCCCGTAGCCTTCGCACTAACAACCTTGTAAGTCCAAGCTGTTACAATAAGCATTAGATAAAAGAATAGTTTGTTTACTGTAAGATTTCTTAACTGAAACGGGCTAGTAATTCAATTTCTGATGGATAAATCTTTTAACTATAAAGATTTTCAGATAAAAACACTTACAAGAAAGCAATGTTGACATATTTTTGAAGATTGAGCACGCAACGAGGCGATATTTTGAAGCAACCTGGAAAAATCTTATATATAGAAAAAAAGGAAACGCTTTTTTTATCTAATTTCAAACTTCAAACCTTATATTGTGAAGGCATTGAGGCAAATGGAGGCAAAATTGAGCACGATTTCGCATTCATTTTTGGTACAGGGCACAGAAGATTGAGGATTTTATGAGCATTCTCTAATTCTTTAAACGAAAGTGAACTAGTTGATGCCACCAAAATCTCCATTTGTTTCTCGAGAAGTGGGAAACGGGCAATCATTTCTTTCTAGAAATCGAGAAAAATAGATGGAAAGTTTTTGAAACAAAAAATTTACCAAAAAGAGCTCTTGTTCGACGCTGAGATTATGGGTTTTGGTGAGGTTCTGGAAATTGGATAAAAAAATCTTATTCTTGCTATATTCTTACATGAAAGTATTTAATGAATCTGTTTTCCTATCTTTAAACAATCTTAATTCAAGCCTAAGCCTAAGCCTAACCGGGAACTGGTTGAGATCCAGAAAATGGGGGTTCAGCCCAAACCCAAATAGACTTAGTGAGAGGCGCTAGCCGCTAGCCTTCGCACTAAGTCCAGGTCTAAGCCTAAGCCTAAGCCAAAGCCTAAGCCTAAGCCAAAGCCAAAGCCAAAGCCTAAGCCTAAAGCCCAAAACCAAATAGACCGCGAAGGCGCTATAGCGCGCTAGCCGCTAGCCTTCGCACTAACAACCTTGTAAGTCCAAGCTGTTACAGTAAGCATTAGATAAAATAATAGTTTGCTTACTGTAAGATTTCTTAACTGAAACGGGCTAGAAAGCTCATAAGTAATTCAATTTCTGCTGGATAAATGAAAAAGTTGTCCAGAGTGGCTTTAGATTCAAAAATCGTACCTCAAAATGTTTCGAATCGATAAATCCATCGAAAAACGGTGGTCGAATTGCGGTAAAATCTCGTAGAAAGCGTCTCGTTTGATACAAGATGAATAAAAGAAAACAAAACAAGGCAATGATTCGATGCATTCCATTTCGAGTTGGGAAATATTTCAGAGAAAACATCATCATTTTTCGTCTTTCCGAAAAGTCTATCTTTCCATAAATCTTAATAGAGTGAAGTAAAAGAACGAAAAAAAAAGATGAGCTAAAAGGTCAATAAAATTCGGCTTATATGGAAAGCTATATTTATAGAACTTCAGAGAATTGAAATCTTTTTCTAGATGATCAATAATATTTCTAAATCTAGAAAAAATTTGGCAACGTTTCCACGCATTTCCTTCGACGATAACGATCTCTTTGTCACGAAAATTTCCATACGAATCTCAGAAATTTTCAGAAAAGAGGCTTTATTTCAGGAAAAAATTCCGGCATTAGCAATTTGAATCGAAACTTTTGCGAACTAGTGAACTGAGGGAATGAGATTCGATCTGAATAATTTATTTAAGCAGAAAAATATTGCAAAACAACTCATAGCACAATGATTCTTTGCATTCAATGCACAATGATAGCACAATGATTCAAATCAATGATTCTTTTGGAAGGGAGTATCCCAAAATCAGGTAATCAAAGTAGAAAATACTGAGAAATTTCCTCAACGTCGATGGGGTATGGTAGAGATTCGACCGGTCTTTCTTGTTCATCGATCGATGTTTGTTGACGGTCGAGTGACTGTTTCGACCGTTTGCGATATGGTTGTGAACCTGGAAGAGACATGATGAGGGAGAAAAGGGAAGTCCCTTATGCTAGCGCCCTTTGCCAGATGGAGAGCGATTATGCGCGCGTACAAAGAACACCAGTGATTTGGAAGAGACATGATGAGGGAGAAAAGGGAAGTCCCTTATGCTAGCGCCCTTTGCCAGATGGAGAGCGATTATGCGCGCGTACAAAGAACACCAGTGATTTGGAAGAGAGATGATGAGGGAGAAAATGGAAGTCCCTTATGCTAGCGCCTTTTGCTAGATGGAGAGCGATTGTGCACGCGCACAAAGAACACCGGTGATTTTGAGGGATTCTGTTGATGTTACAAAAAGATATTCAGCTGGGTTTTCAGGGTCAGCCAATTGATTGGAGGTATTCATTTTATAGTCTACCAAATATCGGAATCATTCTGCTTTGTGGGTTTTCGGTTTGAGCCGATAGAATGCTTTCCGATGCATTTTTGCGGCTACAATCTTTGCAATCTCATAAAACAAAAGGAAACTTTACACTTTTGAGCACAAGTCTTTTTGATTTATTCGAAATTCTTTTATTATCAATTTTATGAACTCACAAATTTCACATCTTCACTCGAAACGCCTTTCCATTTGAAATAATGAGCCATATCATCAGCTAACTTTTCTTGTTTCTTGCTCGTCACATGAATGAGTGTATAAGCGGTACGCATCGTTTGAAAATCGCAACGCCTTAAGGAAGAGGGATTTACGAGTTTTATGGTCATGTTTATCATAACATTGACCATAACTTTCTACAGGGTGACGCACAATTACCGGTACTCAGTTCAGTTTGTTCAGTTTCTCCAGCTTAGCCAATAAACAAAGAATTAGTCAATCAATTGACGTAATTCTTTTGTTTATTATCAAATTGAATCTTTCTCTTGCAATGTTTTTTTCTGGATTTGATCAGAAAAGTTTCTAAACTTTTGCTAGAGCGTTGCAAAGTTGCGAAACGCGTTTCCTGCAGTGGAATCGTGATTTTCTGATTTTTATAACTAGTTTCAATAGCTTAAAATAAAAGAAAAGCAATCATTTACTCCTTTTTAATTATTTCTAAAATCTAGCTATTTCTAAAACAATGAATTTCAATTAAGGATTAAAGTTGAAAATGTGATTTTGAATTGAGTGTGGGTAATTGTGCGCCACCCTTTATGATCTCTGATAAACTGAAGAGAGTGAAAGTGAGTCTCTCAAAGAACAGTCACAGAGAACTTTCACTTTACCATGATTGTGGAAAGAAATGCGCATCAAAGTGATAGATTTCGTGTCTCAATTTAGTGATCGATTGTCCATTTTTCAGATAACTTTTCGATTTCTCGTAGAGAGTATCGATCACACAAGCTTGATTCTTGCAACCAAGACAATATCGAGCATCACTGAAATTAAAAATCATTATCATTATATCATATCATTAATATTATTGTACTTGAATCAAGAAATGATGCGTTTAAGATTGTTTTTAGATTGTATTCATTTGGAAAAACATTAATTGTAAATGACGAAGCCAGGGTAGATATGTTTCTACTTTCAGAACGCAAAGTACGAGTAAAATTTGAGATGTTGAGTTGGGTTTAAAACGAAAATAAACCCTTTCCGCTAAGCTCTATGTTAAGCCCTTTCTGCTAAGCCCTTTCCGCTAAGCTCGATGCTAATTTCAAGCACTCACACGCATAAATGCTCATAGGCGGATAAAAAACGCTCAGCCGGATTTCGAACGAGCACGAATTTGCGGATATTCTGTCGACTTGCTCCAACGCCTCTTTCGACTTTTCCCCATGATCGAGCCTCATTGTTGGTACAAGTCCTGAATCTAATCTATCTTCATAAACTTTTCCATTCACCGATCATCTCCCCATTGCTCGTAAAATCGTTTATTCTTCACTCGTTTAATCCGTTCTTTATCATGAAGATAGCACATAATTGCTGTCATCAAAGTGGACATATTTTTCGGGATCATACACATTGCAATCCGGTGTTGACGCGAGTACTGGATATTGGGTTTATTTTATTGATTTTATTGATTTTATTGATTAATTACTTGGACAAGGATCCCAAAGAGAGGCTTATAGTGAGCTGTTATGAGCCTTTTGGAAGGGACAGCTTCCAGTACCGGCTATAGCTCAGTGGTAAAGCTCTCGCCTTGAAAGCGAAAGCTCTCGAAGCCCCCTGGGTTCGATCCCCGAGGACGGAATTTTCGATAAAACTTTTTGAACTCATAGCAAAACTACACTTTTGTTTCAAATTCCCACTTGTATCGGATATTCCATAAAACGAAGCGGTGGCAATAGATCACAATTGTGCTTTGTCGGGCACAACTTCTTGAAGATGACGAGAGCATTCGTCAATTCGTATTTTGAGGCTTTTTTAAGTACAAAACGCATCGCTTTGCGTTGAACCCGATGCAATTGGGGGAAACGGGTGAAGATTAGTTCCTAAAAATGGGAAAAAGAAAGATTGGATCTTAAAAATGGGATTGGGTAGTGGAAAAGGATTTCTGAAAGTTTTCAATTTTAAAATTTAGAATCTTCGGGTAAATCTTACGAGCAAACGATGTTTGGTGGCTTTTCGCGATAGACGTGAGATCTAAAATGAAGTTTTTTCGATTGGGAAACTCTAGAGAAAGAGTCTGACATATTCTTTTAGTTTCTAAGATCTTTAAAAAAGAAAAAAACCCATAATCTTATCTCTTTAAAGATTTTCAAAAAGCTTACTGCATGATGACGAGCTGAGGAATGGAAAAGAGTTTCATTCGTGAATCGTCTTTCATCAGAATCAATTTGATTCAAATTCTCGTCATTCTCAAACCCAGATAGTGGCTAAATAGTCTTGCAAATGTCAAGATTAAGGTAGATTATGGTAGATTACGGTAGATTACGATAGATTACGGTAGATTACGGTAGATTTTCGAAAGTGAACCGTAATCCTTTCCCCTTTAAACTTGATTTCTTTAATTTTGTTCTCATTTAATCGAGAATCAAATTGTGAATTAGGAAAGCTGAGGAAAAGATCAAAATAGAAAAGCTGAGGGAAAGATTACTGTAGCTTTCTTTAAATCTACAGTCTACAGTCTTAAGTCTACGATAATCTTCAGCAATCTTTTCAGAAATCGAATGCCGCTCACCTCTTCAAATGCCTCATCAAACGATCGAATCTTTTGATCAAAGAAACTTTTCGGAAAAGTCTCAAAATCTTTCAAACTAACAGTAAACTTTAAAAGAAACAGTAATAAGAAAAAGATTTTCATTTTTAATGGAGAGAATAGTTTGAGCAAAGATCTCAACAAATTAGAGATCTAACGATATCCAAAAAAGCTCTAAATCCAATCCTTTTTTAGATTCTTTTTGCTAAGTTCTTTTTATCTTTTGAAAGAAATTTCATTGCTCAATTTCCGGTTTTATTTCCTCTCACCAAATCGACACGTTTATGTTAATTTTTGGGGAAATGAGATCTGAGAAGTTTCTTGAGAGAAAGGAGAGAAAGAAGAGAAAGAAGAGAAAGAAGAGAAAGAAGAGAAAGAAGAGAAAGAAGAGAAAGAAGAGAAAGAAGAGAAAGAAGAGAAAGGAGAGAAAGAAGAGAAAGGAGAGAAAGAAAGAAAGGAGAGAAAGAAGAGAAAGAAGAGAAAGGAGGAAAAGAAAGAAAGGAGAGAAAGAAAGAAAGGAGAGAAAGAAGAGAAAGAAGAGAAAGAAGAGAAAGAAACAAAGAAGAGAAAGAAGAGAAAGAAGAGAAAGAAGAGAAAGAAGAGAAAGAAGAGAAAGGAGAGAAAGAAGAGAAAGGAGAGAAAGAAAGAAAGGAGAGAAAGAAGAGAAAGAAGAGAAAGGAGGAAAAGAAAGAAAGGAGAGAAAGAAAGAAAGGAGAGAAAGAAGAGAAAGAAGAGAAAGGAGGAAAAGAAAGAAAGGAGAGAAAGAAAGAAAGGAGAGAAAGAAGAGAAAGAAGAGAAAGAAGAGAAAGAAACAAAGAAGAGAAAGAAGAGAAAGAAGAGAAAGAAGAGAAAGAAAGAAGAGAAAACAAAAGATTCTTATCAAAAAAGAGAGTGTAGTTTTGACTATTTTACTTGTCTTTTAAAGATTTATTAGCAAATAAGCTTTTTGAAATGTTCATCGATCATTTCCCGCAATCACTTCATTCATCCGTTTCACTGGGTACTTTCCAGACTTTTTCTCCCTTAAAAAGTACTTAAAAAGTTGATAAATTGCACAAAAAGTGAGTAGAACGGTGCATAGAATCATGTAGATTGTCATCCACCACGGCGTCGACGAGTGAGAGATTGGAGCGGCGCTGAAATTTGGCATATTGAACACAATGATTTCTAGAGCTCGGTGTTGAAAGGAAATCAACGATAAGCCAAATCAAATCCTATGAATCCTAGTCCCTTATTGGACTAGGATTTGCTCTAGATCTTGCTCAAAGTCAAAGTATGTAGCGGTGAAGGAGAAACACAAAAGTTTGAAATAGGGCAAAAAAATCGCGCGCTACCGGGACTCGAACCCCGCACCTTTCGCCTAGCAAGCAACTGTGCTAACCTCTACACCAAAACCCATTTGATGTAGATTGATCCAGAGGATGTTAACTCAAACCTTTTCTCTTTTGCCACCACATCATCCTCAGAGAATGTACTGTTTGATTGTTCTCTAAATGTTTAGTGAATTGTGAAAATGATTGTTGGTCATCCAATTTAACCCCCTCTAGAGTGAAGGCGATCAAGACCCTTGTGGTGTATTGGTTAGCATATTTGGCTGGTAAGGGGAAGGTCGCGGGTTCGACTCCCGGCAGCGTGTAATCTTTTGGCCGACTTTCAAATTCCTCCAAAACCAGCTTCCATTTTACTTTGATAACTTACTTTGTGGTTATTGTGGTCCTGACAATTGGAGTTGAAGTATCAATATCATCTAAACTCATTCGTTTTTTCTGATTTCAATTGCACTACCTGTCAAGTAAATACATTTATCAGCAACCAAATCGTAATCTTTGATGAACAACCAATAAACACATTGTCGACTGGAATCGAATGGAATTAGTTTTGAGAATTTTGCACAAGCTAGCCACAAACCCATTGAGTCCATTGGGGCAAGCCACCATGTCACTTGCGCATAACTTGTTTTTTTTGTCCGACACTAAAGTACCATATTATTTTAATAGAAGTTCAATAGAAGACTCCTCAAAAGAAGACTCCTCGGGACTTCTCATGACTTCTTTTTAGCTATTATAGATAGAGATACATTCTAAGTTTAACAGTAAATTGAAATCATAGTTTTCCAAAAAAAATTTAAAAATAATTTTTCGGAAAATTTTTATGTGGTCCCCTACATCGATTTAAAAAAAAAAATTTTTTAATTTTCTGGAGTCTAGTTAAGAAAATAATTTCACTTTTAAACAAATTTTTTGCATATTTTAAGCGATAGGCTATTGTTTAATAAAGGTTTTTTTAACGATTTTGAAATTTTTTTTGTTTATGTGGGGGAATTACAGTTTATTGAATTACTAATTTTTTTTCGGTTCGCCGATTTTAATCTTAGTCATTAGAAGAAATCTAGTAAATGAATTTGTTTTTTTGCTGTTTTTTAAATCAATCAAGAAACTGACCATAAACTTCACAGGTTCCTTTCGCAGAAAACTTGTGAACGAGCTTTGAAGGTACACAGTAGTGAGCTTGTTCATCAGCTTTATTCTTCAGTCCAAGGATTGCACACGAGAAAGTATCGTTTTTTGAATCACATTCTAAAATTTAGCGTTAAACTATAGCGTTAAACTATAGCGTTAAACTTTAGCGTTAAACTTTAGTGTTAAACTTTAGTGTTAAACCTCAGCGTTTAACTTTAGCGTTTAACTTTAACTTTAGCGTTTAACTTTAGCGTTTAACTTTAAGGTTAAACTTTAGCGTTTAACCTCAGCGTTTAACTTTAGCGTTTAACTTTAACGCTTAACTTTAACGCTTAACTTTAGCGTTTAACTTTAGTGTTAAGCCTCAGCGTTAAACCTCAGCGTTAAACTTTAGCGTTAAACTTTAAGGTTAAACTTTAAGGTTTAACTTTAGCGTTAAACTTTAACGTTAAACTACAGCGTTAAACTTTAGCGTTTAACTTTAGCGTTAAACTTTAGCATTTTTTAAGTACAAATTGATCGTTTTTTTTTATTTCAGAAGCTAGTTTGTAGGCAATAGATTCATTTTATTTGAATTTCTTTCAGTTTATTCAATTACTAATTTTTATTAACTCTCAGATTACTCTAGATTATCTTTGACTATGCTCAGCTTCTTATTGCACTTTTAACTCAGCTCACTTGTCAAGTTTTTGCTTGGCGATCGTATTTGCGCAGCTTTAACAAAGCATAAAATTGTGAGAATCAAGAGAAATGGAGAAAGCATTGAATTTGAAAGCGTTTAGATGTGAAATGAAAATTGGTTGGTCAATTCAGCGTTTTGGAGACAACACATGAGACAAAGCAAAGGAGAAATTGAATTTATTGAAGTATGGTTTGTGTGTTTCTTTTGAATCATTCCCCGAAAATACTTTTCCAGTCAGTCAAAATACTGAAGTCTCGGCTCGTCAGCTTTTGCCAAAAGAAAAAAGGCAGTTTCATGTTTTTTTTTGTATTTGTCATTTTACGATTATTTTCAAAAATCGAATTCAAAAAAAGATTTTATATACAAAATTTGACTTTTTTTTCTGAGAATAATTTAAACGATCAAGACTTGAGCTTTAGGTTGTTTTAAGGATTTGTGAGAGCATGTAGATTGATGACTCCTCGGTGTCGTGAGCCACCTGCAAATTTTTGGGGAACAGTCATGTTTTGCGGGTGTTCGAGTGTGACTTTTGAACACGTCGAGCAGTAAAAGTGTAACAAACCATGTGCCCGGCTCGGAGAATCCACCAGAATTGAAAGTTTCCGTAGCGTTTCACGTAGCCGGCCAATGGGAAGCTCTTTGTGCCGAAACGCGTACGAGTTGACTGCAATTTTGACGTTCATTTTGAAATGATGTCGAGAATTGGCTGATTATACTCAAAATTTCTCTAGCTACAAAGTTAGAGGTGAGATTTTTGCTTTAGACAAAAACTGATTAGTTGGAGCTAGGGTAGATCAAAAAATTGGGCGGCGGCGGGACTCGAACCCGTCACCTCTCGCCTAGCAGTCAAATATGCTAACCACTACACCACAACGCAGTTGACCACCCTCACTCCAGAGGGAGCTAATTGATTAAAAGATTCAGAAATTTTGCTTGCTAAGATCAACTAAAAAATTCCAAAGAGTGTGTGAGACTTTTAAACGGCGATGAGATGCAAGCACCCGACATATAAGAAGGCGCCAAGCCGAATGGAAGAAAAGTAGCGCCGGTGTAGGGGTTGGTGCTATAGGCTTTTTTCTGTACAGCTTTTCCTTCCGGTTCCTCTCCCTACTCTTTATTTTTTCGTAAAACTCCCTCAAAAGATTTTTTAGTGTTTCTAAAGTGTTTTCTTTCAGCTTTTTTCAGTCTTTTTTCTTTTTAAACTCATAATATTCATATATCAAAATAAACCGTATTCCATCCTTGCATGCCCGTCCACGTCAATCGATTCACCCACATTTCCGTGCCAATCGTGTCACAGATGAGATCAAGATTTCCATTGTAAACGATGACATTCGTTTGATTTTTGAGAAGCCAATCAACTAAAGAAAAGCCCAAGAAAGGTAATGAATCAGTAAAGAGAAATGGAAAGAAAGTTTCCTTGAGATTACCAAACCTGTATCATAGTTAGGCACCATGAAATCACCGTATTGCATCGAGAAGACTTGATTGGATTGACCTGAAAGAATAAATAAAACCTTAAATAAAACGAGAACTCACCTCCAAACTTGACTTTCGGCGGAATGATGCCTAACTTTTGTCTGACCACCGTGTCCATGTAATCATTTAGATCCACATCGTACATCGGTTTCACGTGACGGTTGTACAAGCGTTCTAAACACAAATTTTGTCTGTGAAATCGTTTTTTCAACCAACGAATTGTCTCAGGTAGCACGTGATTGTCCTTATCCAGATCGATTTCCCTCTTTCTTCTCTTCTTTGACCAATCATCTTGATCTCCGTACTTCAAAATGTTGTACCATGAGACTCCACCGGTTACCTGTAAATAAAAGGATGAATGTTTTCAAATATTGTATCAGTTTTAGTTGTACTCACCGTTCCAATCAGATCCTCCATATCTCCCCAACAGTTTGTCGCTTGACTCCACTGTTGGTTGTCAACTAATTTCTGACAATGAGCCGCCTGAGCGTTCACTTGTTTCAACTGGATATCGTCCAGGTAGGACTAAAAGATAACTCTATAGAGTGACCAATTCAGAGTATTGTTTACTAAAGGTTTTGTGCCAAATCCGACTTACATTAGCATACAAATATTGTCCCCAACTATTCACATAGTCCATCGGCGAGATCCACGAGTCGCCAAGCGCCACTCCTTTAAAGTTAATCCTCAAGATGTTGTTGTTCTAAAGAACTACTGTAAGCTAAGCTGATTTTGAGTGAAATTCACCTGCACGATGACTCTCGCAAACTCGGCACTCATCTTTCCACCGTAGCTCTCGCAAAAGATGTAGAAGGGACGAGTTCGGTACTCGGGATGGACAGTGAAAAAGGCTCTCGCCCATGCGAGAAGATCTTGGCCTGAAATTTCATTTTATAGATGTTAAACATAAGCCAAATAATTAAAATTGATGAAAAGCTTAAAGAAACTCACCAATTTGTGTCACATTTTTTGTGTAAGCGCTCGAGTCATCCACATAGGAGAAGCCGGCACCGACTGGATTGTCGACAAAGACCAAATCGGCTACTTGGAGCTGGAAATGAACTTTTAGATAAGTTTTATATCATTTTATATGATTATACTTGAAATGTAGCCATGATATAGTGTTGCCTATAGTCAAGTAGTATTAGATTTCGAAATCGAACCAGAAATTGCGACTTAGCTCAGTTTTTAGTCCACCGCATTGACTGTCGAGGACAGAATCGAATATCTAGCTGACAATGTAATGTTATTTATAGATATCTGTTTTGATTTTGCTTCAATTTCATTATGCTCAGCACTCACCCAAGTACTCGCTCTATCTTTCCCATCGAGATCTTTTGGGCCGAGTTCCTCGAGATTACCGTAGCCAGATGATGACGAGCCGGGTCCTCCCTAAATAACTTTATCATGTAAGGAATAGAAAAAAAGAAGTTCTTTGCAAGAAGCATAGATAACTGGCTAGTATTAAATCAGAGAAATAGAGAAAGAACACAGAGAGAAGTGAAATAGCTCTGGATCCAGAGGATCGGCGAGTGGGAATCACCAGAAATCTGTGACTCTTTAATTGTTCTCTTTCTTCTATTCTCTTAATTCTATTCTATTCAATGTTTCTTTAGTAATGTAAAATAAATCTATTGAAGTTCTCCTCTCGAAATCCAAAAACTATCAAACCATCGATTTCACAAGTATAGTATTCAAAATGAAACAAATTTCCGAAATAGCTTTTACTGCTTTATTGTATAAGTTTTGATTAGACAAAGAGGCTTAATAAACGTTTCCATATTATCTTTCTGATGTCACAGTATCAAAAAATTGCATGGATGAAAAGCTTCTTATCAATCCGAGGCCTTCTCATAAAACTACTAAAGCAGAAACTAAAATTCTAATTTCCGCTTTCTTTTCTGATAATAATAGAGAACGAAAACCTGGAGCCAAAGGAAAAGCGGTCGATTGTTAGACGGTTGCACGGAGTAGAGCCACCAGAAAGTGTTTGCGTTGTCACGAATCTGAAATCCCTTAATAATCCCTTAATAATAAGGCACTTCAATAAATGTTTTGTACAAGAGTTAAACCAGGAATCATCCAGATCTATAAGCTGGCTAGGTCAGAAGCTAGGTCTGCAGTAAACCGAGGCTAAACCTTACACTAAAATAGTCTTTAAAATAACCTGAAACTCGTTCATCTGCTATCAATCAACTTTTGTCCTTTTTCAAAGTCTCTTTCTTATATTTTGTTAGTCTCTTATGAGAATAAAGCTAATCTCTTTACCTTGACATATCCCCAATCTTCAATGTAAGAGAGAGTTCCATTCCAAGTGTTTACGGTGTTCGATGCACCGCCGTAGACACCGACGAGGAGAAGTGAGAAGATTAGACTTCTCATCGTTTACACCCAAAAGAAAAGCTTTCATTTAATAGAAAGAAAGGGATTTTACATTATAATAGATAAAGAAAAAGTTTGGACAAAAATTGTTGAAAATTGAAAGGTTCAATTTCAAATTGAAATAATCAGAGTAGCCGCAAGGAATCCCGGTCATTTCTTTTGGAAAAGAGGGGAATTTGGTGAAAAGGGAACTCTTATCTCAAGAAGAAATCATGTGAAAAAAAGAAAGAAGGGAGAGGAAAGTAAAGGGGAATTGGGTGGGAAAGGTCGCAGATGGACTCCGAGAAGTGACCAAAGAGAGTGTTCAAGTAATGACGAGCTTCCCAGATATCGAGATGACCTGTAGAGGTCAGAAAATACAGACTAAATACAGACATTTTAGCTTTGCCAAGAAAGATAATGAAAGTGAAAATGGTAGACACTATTGCTGTGCTTTGTGTTCAAGAAAATAGAAACGCACTCTTTCAGGCACATCTAACTAGGGGATGTTATTAACTTATCGTGGCTTTTGACTTGGAAAATATCCTATCTGATGCAGTTTTTCACGCTGATTCCGAATCTGGAATCACTTTTTGCCAAACGCTTCTCTATCATGAGATATTTGGCATACAAGTTTTTAGGGTCTCTATATGGGCGCGACGCACTGTCTCCAGTCAACGGTGGTATAGTGGTTAGTGCGCGCGTCTGCTTTTTTGGACCCCGAGGGTTCGAGTGAACAGCTTTTGTTGATTCATCTCTTGAAGGAAGTCGAAGAAGTCGAGCGGATCCATTGTGCGAGATAATAAGAATAATTATTTAACGTTTTTTTTTTCAAAAATAATCGATATAATCTTTATGTAAATTATTGAATTTTAAAAAAAAAGTGGAAGCCATCGTTTGCGGGTTTCTAAAGTAAAAGAGTACCTGAAAATCTGCAGAAGTCGAATTTTTTCGACTCAGTTTAGAATTGAAACTCGACGTTATTTTCTAAACGAGCTTAATCTCTAAATGATTTTTAATAGAATTGTTCTCTAGAAAGTCCGTTATTCTATTCAGCCCTACACACCAAATGCGAAAATCAAAGAAACCGCCTCTGCGAAACTCTGCAATTCCAGAAATATTGATAAAATTTCATTTTCAAGGCATGATTGACCATTAAATTGTCTCAAGTTGATAAGAGAATAGCAAAGTTGAGCAAAGCAAAGTTTTTCACAGCTAATCTCAAGTAAATCTTTTCAAACGTCTTCAAACGTCTTTTTTTTTATAGAAAATGGTTTCCAAAGAGAAAACGAGTGAATTGAGGACGAGAATCGAAAACTTTTATGAGGCACAGGTTGGGAATTTGTTTTATTGATAAAAAATTTGATCAAGATGGAAACAAATTAAAAAACAAAATATGGAAGCGATTTTTTAAAGATTCAGATTTGTGTGCATCCTAGTCGCATTGAGAGTTTGGAGTTGAGTCGAGAGATAGCAAAAAACCGCGAGGAATCGGTAAGTTAACTGCCTCGGGAGGCCAGGGTTCCCAAGTGCGTTGTGGTGTAGTGGTTAGCACAGTTGGCGGATAGCCGAAAGATCACGGGTTCAAGTCCCGGTGGCGCCTCTCGAATTTTTTTGAAATTTCCTAGTTCCAACTTGTAGAACAGGTTTTAAAGCTGAATTTAAAGCTATTTCTTTAGAATAATCAAGACGCATTTCTGCTGGTTAATTTGGATACACTCATCGATCGATACGATATGTGGATGAGAGAGCTACCGGGGGTTATGGTAAGATTTTTTGCGAAAAAAGCAACAAATACATTGTCAGATTCTTAAAACTTATAAACTAAAGATGTTTCTGAAAAAAAAAAAATCATAAAATCTTACCCTTTTAGCCCTTTTACGCAGTCAAGTCAAATCCGAGTGCAGTCATTCTGCGTATTCTCGCCGCATTTGGTGTCAACTTTGATTGCGCCAGTCGTGGAGAGATCGAGCAAGTAATACAAAAAAAAAAAATAAATGATTAAATGAAATAACTATTCCGATCTAATAATCGTAATTTTGTTAAATTTTGTTAAAAATTATGACAATTATCATCTCGTGTTTTATTTGAAAGTTCAGATGCTCGATCTAGGCGTCACTTCAGATCGAATGATTTTCGCGAATCCGGCAAAGCCAAGTGCTTACATAAAAGTTAGTTCTAATCAATAAAATGTCTTCAAGAATATTAAAAATTCTCTTCACATTTCATTTCGCAAAAGAGGTCGGTGTCAAAATGATGACATTGGACAGTCGAGAAGAGTTGTTGAAGATCCACGAAATCTACCCAAAAGCCGAGTTCGTTAAAGTTTAAGAAAATTGTATTCAAAAGGTTATTAGATTTAATTGAAAATTTTAGTCTTATCATCCGTTTGGCTACTTCGGATAAATCGGCAATGACTCCATTGAGTGGGAAATTTGGAGCTGAAGGCACGAGGCAAATCCCCGATTTGTTGATGGAAGCGAAGAAGTTGGGACAGAATATTGCTGGGATCAGGTAAGGAAAATTTTCAAAGTCAAAGTTTGGATAGGTTTTCTATTTTGTGCGCAGAAACAGTTCTGAATTTTAGTTTTCACGTTGGTTCGGGCTGTCGCGATCCGACGTCTTTTCGTCGAGCTTTGGAACAGGTTTAAGTTGCGAGATTTGGGATACAGTACCTTGGAATATATAGTTCATCAATTCTCACTCTCCTATCAATGCCTAATAACATCTTTAAATTCAACTTTTTACATGTTGAACTCTAGGTGAAGACTTTGTACGATTTCGGGAAATCGCTCGGCCATTCAATGCAAATCATTGACATTGGTGGCGGATTTCCGGGCGGAAAATTGAATGCAAATTTCGAAGACGTTTGTAGAATTTGAAGAACTAAAACTGATCTATAGATTTAGTGTGCCAAAGAGATTCGCGACTCGTTGAGGGATTATTTCTCAACAAAAACGTACAAGTGTTGGCCGAACCGGGACGGTGGGTGAAAAAGATAATTATGCATTACATTTGGGAAGGTTGTGAATGTCTTTTTTTACCCTTAATCTCCAGCTATTTCTCCGCAGCACCGTTCACCCTTTGTGCAAATGTGATCCACTCGATGGAAGTACCACCTGAATACGATGAAACGAGTAAGTTTATGAAGAAAACTTTGTTCCAAAAACCGTTTAGGATCCTCGACTGAATCTTGCATGAAGTATTATCTAAATGATGGTGTGTTCGGCTCGTTTGCATGCAAATTTAATTTGTACCTTCACTCGGAAGGAGTACCGTTGAATGTGAGTTAGGAAGTCAAAGCACTTGAGATGCCAAACTTTAGCCAAAACCAGATCGCCCAAACCTGCGATCGACTATTTTCGGGCCCACGTGTGATACATGGGATAAGATTGAGGTACATTTAAAGGTTAACTATAAGCCATCCGGAAGTACGGTAGCTAGGAGCAGTTTTTCGAAAAGCTTTTTCAGGAGGATCGCCTCATCGAAAAGATGAATACCGATGAATGGATCTACTACATAGACATGGGTGCTTATAGGTAATTAAAAACTGTAATATCTATCAGCGACCACTAACATGTAGTACGGCATGATTGATCGTAGAATAATAAGGCGGATTGGCTAGATAAATATTTTGTAGCTCTTTAAAAGCATACACAATTTTAGTTGTGCTTGTGCTTCGAACTTCAACGGTTTTCGCCCACCCGAGCATCTTTTCGCAATCTCTCAAGAAAATTGGTTTTAATTTTACCATTAAATATCTACTATCTATTTTAGGGAAAGAGTTCAAAGTGCCATTTCAAAAAGACCAATCCAATAATCATTTTATTCATCCAATAAACCTAAAGCTTCAAACAATAACACGCAAATGACTTAACATACAGAAAACCAAAATAAAAATGAGACTCAAAAACAACAATACAAGCATTACATATCAAAACTAACTAAACCTAAAAAACCATCAGAAAATTTGTTACCGTAGAAGTGGTTGTTTCATATCTGCCACATGGCTGATCGCTAATCGCGGATCCTTTTTGTAAAGGAGGAAATGGCCCTAAAGCAATGATAAAGCTCGGAACCAGTAAAAATCAGTATCGTTATAAATCCTTTGTACCTGTAGTGTGGCTGGAGAAATCTCGACTTCAAGTGAAGCAGCTTGCCTCGCGAATTCCACCGCGTCATCAGCAGAGCAATTATCTCCATAAAAGCGTATAAACATCTAAACAAGATGACATTTTTGTGCATTAAGAAAAAAACAAACATTCTCCATCATCTCTTGCGTAGCATTGCCAAAATACTCTTTTACATCGACTCGTCCAGGTCTGATCAGAGCACTGTCTAGTCTAAATTTATTCAAATTAAAAAATATAACATTTGGCGAACCTTTCAACGTGATTTGTTGTCATAAAGAGGAGTCTTTCCTCTGCACATCCGACACCATCGATCGCGTTTAATAATCCGGACATGGTGACTCTAAAACGCAAAAAGATTAGAAAAAATGGTTTCTGAAATTGCCCGCCTTGTCATTCCTTGGTAAATTGGATCTGAGTTTTTTGGATCCTCTCGATTCGTCACCGCCGCATCAATGTCTTCAAGAATGATGATACTATTTTGTGGAGGTGTGTTGAGGAGTAAATTTAGCCTTAAAAACACTCAAGCATTTATTTAAAAAATTATATAAACCTGTCATCATCGAGGAGTCGGTCGCTCAACGACATGATACAAACCGAATACCCGAGATGGCTTGCTAGGCAAGTGATGAAGCTGCTTTTACCGGTGCCCGGAGGACCATAGAAGAGGTAACCACGTCGATAGGGGACGCCTCTTTCTTCGTACCTAAATATAACCTTCCATTCTTGATCCAACTTTAGAAAGCAACTTCAAAGAGCTTGTTTGATAAATATAAAAAAAACTCAATTTCGTACGTACCATTTTCTGGAAGCCACAAACTCTTCAATATCGTCGACGATTCGTGAAGTCATTCCTTCTTTCAATACAACTGAATCCAAACGTCGCTTCGGTCTCGGCACGCCTGATCTTCTCCATTCTGGGCCAAGCGCTTTATAGACGACTAGCCCTGTATCAATCTAAAAATTGACATTATAGTTTTGATTTTACTTATGACTCTTTACCTTAGAAAGCGCCTCCGTCGCAGCATCTTCGACCATACGAAGCAGAAATTTCGGTTCCGTCCCTAACGTTGTGAGTGTGACCGTCTCAAACGGAGTTCTTCGCCCATCAATCGACACGGTATGCTCTTCACGAGTTCGTTCACACTAAATGAAAAATAAAATTCATTAAATTGCAAGACAAACCAACATGAATCCATCGATATTTGTAGGAGAAATAGTGATTTCCGTGACCAGGAGTGACGCAACAGAAATTGCCGCCCGACCGCTCTCACCAATCTAAAAAGTTTTGAAGACTAGCAAAAGATGCTCATTTTACCAAGCTTAAAACAAAATTTTTATCGAATTTTCTAACCTTTAAAGAAGTATGTCCGGACAACATTCTCGCAGAACGATTGCTATGTCGATTGACAAAGTCAAGAAGCCAAGAATAAGCCCTAAAGAATAAAAGTTTATGGGGCAAAAAGTGAAGCCACTTACGGATCCTCATTATTCAACTGTAGAGAGACAATGTAACGGCGACGGAGTAGCGATGATCCCACGACAGCAAAGCGTTTCAACAACGTAACAGCCATACCTAAAAAACTCGACTTGCACGGAATTCGAACTTACTCAAACAAATCATGCTATCTTCTCTATACTTGGGTTGGGAACAAACCAGAAAAGTACCGCTTTCTAACACTCACCTATTCCTGCAAGTCCGGCACCGGCACTGAACAACGGGTTACTCGAAAGGCCTTTGATTGTTTGGTCTATGAAACTTCCTTCGGTTTTCTTCTCGAGCGAGAGCGGTTGCTAAAACAAAAAATATATTAAACAAAATTTTAACAGTACTTCACACGTTGTAAAACGAAAAAATTACCTCCAAACTTGGCCCTCCGAGCAATTCTGTGATCTGATTGGCGCCATTCATCTAAAATTTACAACGTAATCCGGTGAAAGCTAGCAAAAGAAGTAGGAAAAATAAAATTTCAAGGTTTGCGGATCCTCGAAGGCCTCAATTTTTTGGAATTGGCGAACGCGATTAGTTTATATACTTTTGTGTACTAATGATATTTAATCCCTTTACTCAATATCTTAAATTTTACTGTCAAGCGAAAGGGTATTTAATCTGCAAAAATTATTATGGTCTCATTTTGCTTGTCCAACGTTACAAGTTCGTTAGTTGAAAAGTTTAAGTTTAAAAAACGCAAGCTTCCCTTTCCCGACACTTTTCACAGTACGCTCATACTCAAACGACACTTCAAATCTATGCTTTTCGTTTTGTCATCGCCAAAAGTTCGCACGCCTTTTTGTTTCCCTGGTCTGGAACTTGCTAATATTATTATTTGTTTTCGAGTTTCAGCTTTACATGACTTACAATCATATCTTTAGTGAAAATGCCGCCAATGCCTCCGAACTTTGGAACCGTTCCACCAGTCGCCACCCAGAAAGTCGATCAGGAGCAGACGTTGAAGAACTACTACAAGACCAAGGTCGACAATGCACAGGTTTGTAAGTTTTTATTATTTTATTATTTTTTGTTTAGCAAAAGCTTCTCGAAAAAACACAAAATGTGCGACGCTTGCAAGCGCAGAGAAACGAACTGAATACAAAGGTTGGCGATCATTTTGAAATGGTGTGATGTAATAAAGTTTGAAGCGTAATTGAAATAGTTAATGTGGGCGAGGATAAATTAAAAGTGTTGCAGTAAAAATAAAAACAGTAAAAAAAACAGAAAGCAGAAAGTAGCAGAAAAAAACGTGTTTTTAGGTTCGTCTACTCAAGGAAGAACTGCAACAATTGCATGAACAGGGGTCGTATGTGGGTGAAGTCAGCAAGCCAATGGACAAGCAAAAAGTTCTCGTTAAAGTCAGTTTTATTTTAGTTGTTTATATTTAGTTTTCAACGGTCATTTTTGCGTAACTAAACATCAAATGTTTAGGTACATCCGGAAGGGAAATATGTGGTCGACCTTGACAAGAACATCGATGTCAACACGTTGAACACTGGAAGTCGAGTTGCGTTAAGAGCTGATTCTTATGCACTCCATAAAATTCTTCCCAGCAAGGTAACATTATAAATTTGTCATTCTTTTACTTTTGTTTAGGTTGATCCTCTTGTATCACTGATGATGGTCGAAAAGGTTCCCGATTCAACCTACGAGATGGTTGGAGGACTCGACAAACAAATCAAGGAGATCAAAGAAGTGATTGAGCTTCCCGTCAAACACCCAGAACTTTTCGAAGCTCTCGGAATTGCGCAACCAAAGGTTTGGTTCACAAATTAACTCGACTACTTTAATTTTAGGGTGTGCTTCTTTATGGGCCTCCTGGAACGGGGAAAACGCTGTTGGCTCGTGCAGTGGCACATCACACAGAGTGCACATTTATTCGTGTCTCTGGATCCGAACTTGTGCAAAAATTCATTGGAGAAGGAGCAAGAATGGTAAAAGATTCCTAACAGTTTAAATTTGCAAAGGTGTGTTTTAGGTTCGTGAACTTTTCGTAATGGCACGAGAACACGCACCTTCAATTATTTTCATGGATGAGATTGATTCGATTGGTAGCAGCAGGTTAATTAAGCGTTAAAACATAAAGCATGTAGATTTTAAATGCATTGTAATTTTACTTTTAGAGTAGAGGGACACTCTGGTGGAGATTCTGAGGTGCAACGTACTATGCTCGAATTGCTCAACCAACTTGATGGTTTCGAGGCCACCAAAAACATTAAGGTAATGCGAAGCTTTTAAAATAATTTATAAATGTTTACTTAGGTGATTATGGCCACGAACAGAATCGACATTCTTGACCCGGCTCTTCTTCGGCCAGGACGTATCGACAGAAAAATTGAGTTCCCAGCGCCTGATGAGAACGCTCGTGCCGATATTTTGAAAGTAAAAGTTGAAGATTATTTTCTCAACTTCAAACTATATTTAGATTCACTCGAGAAAAATGAATCTGATGCGTGGAATTAACATGCGTAAGATTGCTGAGCAAATTCCTGGTGCGAGTGGAGCCGAAGTTAAGGTGGGAAAGATTGATTGCTTTAAGCACAGCTTTGCTTATTCAATATATGTTTTTACTTCTTTATTTAAAAGGGTGGTCAGGTTTAATAATAAAAATTTAGTCCGTCTGTACCGAAGCTGGAATGTTTGCCCTACGTGAACGCCGTATCCATGTGACACAAGAAGATTTTGAAATGGCTGTTGGAAAGGTAGCTTTTAAAAATCTGATCTCCATCTAACTTGTTCCTTTTAGGTGATGCAAAAGGATTCCGACAAGAACATGTCCATCAAGAAACTCTGGAAGTAAATGTCTATTTCTTATTATTTATTTACGTTTAAATGTTTTTGGCTGAGTCTTGTAAGTGTTCATGCTCCGATGATTGATTTTTTGCTTTTACTACATCTGTTATAATCTTTTGGTGATACGGGTCCTGTCTGAATAAAGTTTTTTAATAGCTTTGTGTATTGGCACAATTAGCACATAAAGGCTAGAAAGTGAAAGGATGTTTCTAGTTTGGAGTTGCCATGTAGTGGACAAAAAATAGGAAAAGGCAACTTATCATTTTCCCAGCCGTTTCGGTCATTGCAAATCGTGCTTTACTTGGACTTCTATGGATTTCGACAGAGTAATCTCCATTTTAAATTCAAATTTACTCTGTTAAGATTCGAATATTCGATGGACCTGTTAATGTCGAAAAAATTTGTCAACAAGAAGCACTTGAAAGGAACAGCAAGGTGGTTTAGCATCATGAGAACTTAAAAATTTTCTAGGAAATCGAAACTGCCTTTTGTTTGGTGAACCTAGACGAGATTTTGAGCCGACTCGATTTGTGGAAGCGTGAGTTACCAGGAGTTGAGGTAAACCAGAAAAAAGGCTACTTAAACAATCAGTTTAGCCATTCTATGCAGTGAAATCAAACACCGATGAGATTCTGTTTAAAATCTTGACCAAAATTGGCGATTGTGGGATCGATTGTGCGAGTGCGGTTGAAATTGATCAGGTATTGAAGAATTTAGTCGTTGAAGAACTTTTAGGCTTTGCAAAATGGTGTGAATGCGTCGAAAATCATCAACTCGCATCCGTGCAATAGTGCGAACGCTATCAAGGTATGAACAAAGCTATGAGAGGCTTAATATTAGATTTTTTTTTAGCACGCAGCCCAGACTCATGTTCAGTTGATTGTTTTCGATTCTTTAGAAGAGTTGCTTGCGATAACGAAACACCATCCAACTGCTACGTAAGTCAGAATGATTGCCATACCCCCGATTTCAATTTCAGTCCAATTCTTCGCATCTCCATTGACAACTCGCTGAAATTTGGGCTTTTCCAACCCGAGAGCCTATTTCAAAAAGCCAAGGATTTGGGCATTGACATTGCTGGGATCAGGTAAGTAAAGAGATAGAGACTGACACCTAATGTACTTGAAAACTCTTCAGTTTCTATGTCGGACCTGGGCCTGATGGAGTTGAAAAGTTTCTTCATGGGATTCGTGAAGCGGGTCGATTTTTGCAAACCGGTCAATCTTTTGGGCATTCGATGAAGATTTTCAACATTGGTGGGAGTTTCCCGGGTGCTGCACAAGATGGAAAGAGCTTCGTTGAGGTATGTAGGAACTTGAAGCAATGATCGCAAACAACGAAAAATTAAGCTCGCCAAAGAGATCCGCTCCGAGCTTCAGAATTTCTCGGACTTTAGATTCATCGCTGAACCTGGAAAGTATCGAGTCACCGAAAAGCTAACTTTCTAAAAATTTCAAGGTTTTTCTCGGCATCTCCTTTCACTCTATGCTCTCGGATCATGCTAGCCAAAGAAGTCACTGAAGATGAGGGGAGGAAACGAAATTTTGAGAAAGGTTTGATAAAATAAATGCCTTGAAATTTGTTTAAAATAGGGATGATGTACTACTTGAATCAAGGGATTTACTCGTCATTTATTGGAGCAACGATCACTAACAAAATCCCGCCAAAAAGGGGCAGGCCGCTTTTCGAAAAAGTTTGTGAAGTTAAAAAACTGAAAACAAGCCAGGCCAGGCCAGACCAAACCAAACTCAAACAGCCTATATCCGATCTTGTCAAAATTTGAAAAAAATTTAGTTGGATGCTGAAGTTTTACCAAGCATTTTATGGGGTCCCACGTGCGATGGAGCTGATTTGATTGAAGTTTTGTGAAAAATAAAAACAAGTTCAACGTTATTTAGAGAAATTCTCTATTGCCAAAGCTAAAAACTGGAGATTGGCTCTTATTTGAGGATCGTGGCGCATACAGTTTTTCGATTGGATCAAATTTTAATGGCTTTAATGGGCCGGATTTCATCTATGTGTGCAGTCGAGATGCACGGTGAGACGGGACATTTGTTTGCCACATTTTTTTGAGCACCATACTTCATTAGAAAGCTTTAAAAGTGCATTTCAGGACTCGAATCGAGAAGGTTCTTCATTAAATAACATTAGCAATTTTGTTCGGAAATAAACAATGAATAGGTCGAGCGTGAAATGAGAAAACACCAAAAATTTGCGCAATTTCTATTTTTAAATGACAACTTCAAGATATTCAGTCAAACAATTCGATGCTTGGAAAATGTTTTTCCTCTACCAAAATCAACAAAAATTTCATTTCTTCATTACATTTCTTTTTGGGAGTGGAAAAATGCGACCTTTTTTTTTGCGCACCCGGACATTTGCGCACCTTTTTTTCCGCACTTAGCCCATTAGCGCACCTTTTTTTCGCGTTTTAAAAAAGCTCTAAAAAGCTAATATTAACCAATTTCTATTCCAAATGTTGTTTTTCTAGGTAATTTGAGGGTTTCGAATTCAAATTTTGACATAACAGAGCGTGTGGAACCAATTTGAAAGACAAAACGGCTAGATCAAATTACAGAAAATTGTCGATTTTTCTCTTTGTATAACTCCGTCCGTTCGCTTCCACAAGCTCTGATATGTCAAAATTTCGATTCTACGCCCTAAAATTACCTAAAAAAACAACTTTTGGAATAGACATTGGTTAATATTAGGTTTTTAGAGCTTTTTAAAACACGAAAAAAGGTGCGCTAATGGGCAAGGTGCGCAAATGTCCGGGTGCGCAAAAAAGGTCGCATTTGTCCCACTCCTTTCTTTTTTGCGATTTACTTTTAATGCACTTTTTTCTTCTGTCTGGTTTTCCCTTAATGTTTGGATAAAATATATGTGCTGGCCTTTTTTGTTAACCAATTGGCGTTTACAGGACAGTTACGTTTAGATTACGCATCGAATTTCCGGTTTTTTTTGGACAAAACGTGCATTTCCTTTTCTTTTCAGTTTCAAAATTTATTATTCTTAACATTCTGCATTTTCAGGAAATGGAAATCGATGATGGGGCAAGTTCATCGAGTGACGAGGAGCTCGGACCCGCACCGCCAACAACTGCATTTACAAACTCATTGTAAGTTTTATTCTTGAGTTGTTTTCACAATTAAGTTGTGATTAATTTTAAGGTATTTTAGTATCACCAATTAAATTTTTAACCTTTTCTACTGATAGTAGGCTTTTTAAGCTTTTAAATGATACGTTATCAAGCTTATGCTCAATGCATTTATGTAGAGAAGCTCGATTGGACATGGGCGATGAAGAAACAGCGAAAATCGTCTGTAGAACAGTTTCTGTAAGTGTTTATCGGGGTTTTTCGTTGAACAGGCTCAGAGATTCTAAAAAGGATGTGCATTTGAATTGAAAATTACCTGGTTAAGCTTAAAAGGGCATTCATTGTTGTGCTTTGCAACCTCTTTTTTTAGGTTGACAAGGAACCCAAGCGAAGCTCTACGATGAGAAACTTGTCAACGGAAGGACGCTTTTTAATAATGCAAGTTTTTGTTTTATAACAAAAGAAACCCTGGTGATAAAGATTGTTCTTTTGATTTTCTAATTATGTAACTTTTAGTTCCCTGAAAACCACGGATACCACCTCTTTGCGAAAGTCGTTAGCAAATTTGATGGATATGTGTGATCTTTCCCGACAAACGGTCGAAATGTGCAACACTAAGCCGTGGATGGATCGAGTACCACCGCCATCTAAAAAACAAAAGAATAAATAATGATTTTGTGCTCTTTTGCAAGTTTTTAATTTTGTTTCAAATTTACAAATAATAAATTTTTTGTGAAGCATTGATTTAACTTGGGAACTTTGCATTTACGGGGTTTTGGTATTTGGTTGGACAAACGATGGCGTGTACATAGTTTTGTCCTCTTTAAAAAATAATTCATTACAAATATTGACGAACAGATTTTAGTCAGTCACGATGAAAGAACTACGCAGCAAACATGGACATTTTCTGTACGCTTTAACGGAAATTGGAATTTATGGCGAGAATGGCTTTTTGTTTCATCATGGATTTCCACGAGAAATGACTGATTTTCACAAAGATCGACTCAAACAACATGGAATCATCATCGAAGGGAAAAGCGCTATTCAAAAGAAGAACGCGCCATGCTTGAGAACAATTGGGAATCTTTTCGGAAAGATTACGGATTGACTTATTGGAGCATTTGGCAACTTACTGGAACTGGAACTCGCTGTGGGGACACGCAAAATGCAGCGAGGGAAGTGCAAAGCAATTTGTACGAGACACGAATTTTTGGCCACGACTTTGTGCAAATTTACTTGATCGTTCGTCTGCCATGATATACACTGCAATACCACGATTTTTCGATCAAAATAGCGAGTTTCCAGTGACGACTAAGGATGAGGAAGCATGTATTGCCCATTATCTGATGAGACGAAGCCACTTCTGCACGGCCCAAGCTTTGCGAAAATCACTGAGTAGCATTATGGCGTTTATCGAAAAGTGGAGATTTCATTAAAAATTCTCAAAATCTGAAAGGCGTTGGTTATGGAATATCGTAAGATATCAATACAAGGAATTCAGAAACTTCAGGAATGCATGCTGGTTGATGTTAAAGAAGCCGAATGGAAGGAAATCGGAAATAAGTAAATGCTTTATTTCCTTTCATAGATTGTATCTATTTAGGATGTTTCGAGATGGCAAGGTTTTGGAAAAAGAATGGAAGGAAATGTGTGAAGAATTGAATGAAGAAATGGATGCTGGACGGTCATTGGAAGAAGCTCTTGATGTTGTGGCTCCAAAATGTGAACGAGTGTCGGCTTCGCAAATTGCGACTTTTATTGATATTGCTTTGAGTGAGGTAAACACCAACAATTATCAGCTATTTTATACTACAATTCAGTACTACTATTGACATAGTGAAGTGAAAGCTTCCTTACAATGTAATCCAAAGGTCTCCTGTAGCAAAGTGACATTGAAAGCCGATTGGGAAATTTTTGCATCAAATTTATCAGAAAAATGTCTTTCAACCTCCAGTCATCGTTTACGGGAAAAATCTCAAACAAAATTAACAAAACCCTGCTTATTCATGATTTTCGTCATGTAAATCAGGGCCGAGTGGTGTTTAAAAGCTTGAGAAAGAAAAGCGAACTGACTAATCTTTTGGTAATTTTTAGTTTTCAAAATTTATATTTGAATATTATTGATTGAAAACTAACAACAAATTAGCTCTTCTCAGTAAGCAGCTCGTTTTACAAAAACCCCAAAACTAGGTCGCGCGCAACTAAGTGCGAATCTCAACTTTGAGAGCTTGTTTAAAAAAATTTGTGTGCTCCTATCGGTTAAATAATGGGCACCGCTACAGGAGACCCACTCAACATTTACCTGTAAAATTTTTGTGGGAATCGGTTATCTTTTGACTGAGCTAAACCCTCCAGAGTGATTATGAGAAATTATGACGTACCCTTATTTAGAAACATGTACTTTAGGACTTTATTGAATTTTAGACAACCTGTAAACATAATGCTTTTGAAATGTCGGAAGCGCTTGTTGCGACCTTGTGGATTAAAGATTGAGATACAGTGCGTTTACTAGTTTTAAACAAAGCAACTATAAGAAACTATGAGAAACCATTAAAATAGATTATAATTGTATTATATGTGCTTTCTTTTTAATTTAGAAATTTAGACCTTTGCTTCGTCTATTGGCTCGTTTGTTGCGAAGTCTTCCAAAAGCAAATGAGTCACAAATCATTCGACAAACCACACTTTGTCAACTATGATCTAGTGGGTTTCGTGAAATTTTGACCATATCATATTGATCATTATTTATTGTTTTTAGAATGAGGCGTGAAAATGACAAGAGCTGGAAGTCAAAGAGCAAGGAGCTTCGGGATTACATCTATGAGAATCTTCCGGAAGTTAATCTCTGATTTGTCACCTTGATGGTCTCAATTGTCGGGTATGAGCATATTTTGTTGCATTTTGTCTGTGATATTCAGCTTATAGTTAAATCGTCGTTTTTAAAGTAATTTTAAATCGTTACGTTTTTAAGTTGTTAATTTTATATACAGTCATGCACAAAAGTCTTGTAACATCCAGTTTAGCAAATTTCAAAGTGTAATAACTTTTTTGCAAAGAGGCGAATTCCCAAACAGTTTTTGGTTTTCAGTTGGCAAAAACTTCTATTTTTATATGCAAGAAAAACTTTAGTGAAACGATTAACAAAAATTAAGAAAAACAAATAAAAACAAAAAACGGGCGTATTTTTGATGCTCAAAAGTCTTGTAACATTTGAAAAAAAACATAGAAATTACCAAATTTTTAATACTTCGTTGGTCCACCTTTAGCTTTGATGACTTCCTGGATTCGCTTTGGCATTGAATCAACTAAATCGCGTAGAATTTGGGCTCCCAGGGATGACCAGGTACGGCGAATGAAGAACCAAAGCTCTATCTTCGAGTTGAATCGCTTTCCCTTCAGCTTTGACTTCAAAAAAGCCCAAAGATGCTCAATGACGTTCAAATCTGGGCTGTATGGAGGAGCTGAGATAAGTTGAACACGATTTGCTTTGAACCATCCTGGAAGACGAGCTTTTCCACCATTTGCGAGAGTGACGACCCGGCCCATTAGCAATTGACTCTTGTGGCAAGGCGCATTATCCTGATAAAGCAGCCATCCAGGACTCATTTTTGCAATTGAAAATGGCAGAAGATGATTCTGGAGAACTGATTTGTAGCCTTCAGCGTTGAGCGTTGAGTTTAGTAGCACTAGCGGACCTGGTGAATTTCTCGACATTGCACCTGAAAGACAGAGTTGAGAGTGTGCACCATGAAAGTAGCCCTTACCCCAAACCATGATTGATCCTTGGCCAAATTTCACGGTTGGTCGCACATATCTGATGTTGTACCGCTTTCCTATTGGTCTTCTGATCAAGTGGTTGCCATCCGGGCGAAAAAGATTGACTTTTGACTCATCAGTAAAAATCACATTTGCCCAATCATTTGTCGTCAAGGAAGCACACTTCTTTGCAAACTCCAAACGAATCTTCCGATGCTTGGCATTCATCAAGGGCTTCTTGGCTGCTCTTCTTGTGACCAACCCACCACGAATCAAGCGTCGGCTCACTGTCATTCGTGATACATCCTTGCCGAATTGACTCTTCATCATGACGACTCCATCGCTCGCATTGAGATCCTTGTTATTTTTGTGAGCTTTGACAAGCGCTTGATCCTCCCTGGGTGTTGTAATTGGTGGACGGCCTGATTTTGAAGCTCGGTGAACAGATCCAGTCGTTTTGAACGTCCCGACAATTACAGATACCGTTTTTTCACTGCATTTGAAGAGAGCTGCCACATCTTTCCTTTGAAGTCCTTTCTCTCGCTCTTCCACAATTTTTTCTTTGTCCTGAGTTGACAAATATTGTCCAGGCATCTAAAAAAAATAATTTTTTGTTATATAAAAAGAAAATAAAAACAAAAACAAAACAAAAAAAGCAAAATACTGAAAATGTTACAAGACTTTTGAGCATCAAAAATACGCCCGTTTTTTGTTTTTATTTGTTTTTCTTAATTTTTGTTAATCGTTTCACTAAAGTTTTTCTTGCATATAAAAATAGAAGTTTTTGACAACTGAAAACCAAAAACTGTTTGGGAATTCGCCTCTTTGCAAAAAAGTTATTACACTTTGAAATTTGCGAAACTGGATGTTACAAGACTTTTGTGCATGACTGTATAAAATTTGTTATATTCAAAATTAAAATTCTGAACCTTTTGATATATGAATATCATTTATCCACATACATGTATTTTAGTGCGTTAATCCCCATCGTTAATCCCCACTTCGCGGAGTCTTGTTATTGTGGATTTAATCTTGGGGTTTCTAATCATTCATGTCTGATTTTTGATTTTTGAGAAAGGCATTCGGGGTTGACCTCTCAAACATTGTCCGATAAGATCAAGAGACTCCAATTTGCATATCCTATCTTTGATCATGAATGAATGTCGCTGAAATTTCTGGATCAGTCCTTGATTTTTTGGCGCATTCCGCATTTTGTGACGAATTTACAAGTATGAACCATGAACATGGAAATTTAGTGCTTTGGTTTTTGCGCTTTAGCACACAATGAGGAAACAGAATTGACGTGTGTTTCTGTGTTTGGGGGAAATCCCCGTGTGATTCAGTGCACAAAAATGATATCACTTTTGTGTCAATGCACTCAAAATGTTCCCCCCAGACAAGCCAAAGTGTTCTTGTGACGTCAAAAGAATGAAAATGGAAATTGCCAGCGAATTGCCGAACTGTACTTGATACTTACTGTAGCCTGAACAAGGTATATAAGAGTGGGCTTTTTAAAGGTAAACTTTCAAAAATATTGATATTCTCTTTGTCATCTCACCAAGAACAAGGTGAGTTCCGAAATAAGGAAAAAGAAAATCAGTTTGCAGTTTATTTTAAAAAGTTTGCCAGTAGTCAGATGAAATTTGATCTGTTGTTTAGTTCCAAATTTGGTCTACTATCAATTTCCAAAAGGTTTTTCTTTTTAAAAAATAACTAATATTATATTCTATACAATGGTAAAACTTACTATATCATTTTATCATAGTCATTTTATCATTTGACTTCTTTTTTCTCTCAATCAATGTCCTTTCTAAAACTTGTCACTTTCTGAAAGCTACCGTAGTATTTTCTAGTATCTCTCTAAATCATTATAGTATGCCAGCTAGTCTAAAAAAGTGCATTTTGGGGGAGTGGGACAAATGCGACCTTTTTTTTGCGCACCCGGACATTTCCGCACCTTTTTTTCCGCATTTAGCCTATTAGCGCACCTTTTTTCGCGTTTTAAAAAGCTCTAAAAGCTAATATTAACCAATTTCTATTCCAAAAGTTGTTTTTCTAGGTAATTTTAGGGCGTAGAATCGAAATTTTGACATATCAGAGCTTGTGGAACCAATTTGAAAGACAATTTGAAAGACAAAACGGCTAGATCAAATTACAGAAAATTGTTGATTTTTCTCTTTGTATAACTCCGTCCGTTCGCTTCCACAAGCTCTGATATGCCAAAATTTCGATTCTACGCCCTAAAATTACCTAGAAAAACAACTTTTGGAATAGAAATTGGTTAATATTAGCTTTTTAGACCTTTTAAAACGCGAAAAAAAGGTGCGCTAATGGGCTAAATGCGGAAAAAAGGTGCGCAAATGTCCGGGTGCGCAGAAAAAGGTCGCATTTGTCCCACTCCCCATTTTGGGGGAAAGTTGCTGTCTAGCCTGATAAATTGCTGATCAATTTTCTTTGAGACTTTCTTTGAAAATCGAAAAATTTGAAACTGTGATTCTTCAAGTTTTTCAAACCAGAAATTTGCAAACTCATCTTTCACAATTTTTATTTTTAAAAACTCTGAGAAATCACCCAGAGAGGGAGTATTTTTGGATTAAAATGGGGAAAAAAGTGACCGATAGTTGAGCGAAAATCCTATCAATCAAAGAAACGCGATCAGTGCCCGATTTGGGGAAATGGAATGCGATGAGAGATAAATCGGCAATCACAAGCGGTCATTTCCGTTTCAATGATAATAGCTCTTTATACTTTTTGGTGAGTGTAAAGCATTTGAAAAGAATTAACTAAAAATTCCAGTAACCTTCAAGAGCAAATCAAGTGTAACCTAGTGACACAAAGTTGAACCCAAAATATCAATAATATTAAGTGAGTAAATGGCTATTTCACTAGTTTATTTAACATTTAGCCAAATCCCCGAAATCATGGTCATTTTTCGAGAGCCAAAATCGTTTCTCTCAATTCATTTCAGCCGAATGACCACTCATTTCCGTCTCAATCTCATTTCTATTCCCATCCATTCGCCAAGCTTTTTTTTCTTTTCGCATTTGAGAGAGAGCTGAGAAATTTTGGCTAGGGAATCGTTTTGCGCAAAACGATGACGATTGCTCACATTGAGGTTTTTGGATGATTTGTCGATGATTGGGGTTCGATTGAGTGCATCCGAGAATCGGAAATGAGAAATGAAAGTGGTCAAGTGATGGGAAAAGGAAATGTTTGAATCGGATTTGAAAAAAAGAGATGGAAAATTCGAATGTTTTACAATGAGATGAGATGAATGAATTCGGTGAAAATGCTAAGCTTGTAAAGGTCTATTTTTTCCATAATTCTATAGCTTTTTGTAATGAATTGTAGACTAGTAGACTTTCTTTTTCTTCTTTGGGCTTGTAGTTCTCCTAAAAAAGAAACTGATATTGATTGATTAGTGATTTGATATTTATATCAGCCATAAAAGTCATAAATTTTGCAATTTGCTTTCGAAAAAGGCTGCTAGATTTTTTAAAACTTTCGTTTCACCAAATGATTTAGAGTTGCGAAAAAGTGTAAGTAGAGTAAAAGTTCTAATAGACATAGATTTATATCTACTTTTCATTTTAAATTACCCTCTAAGGGCCTACATCTAATAGAGCAAACTTTCTTCTTCTTTGGGCTCGTAGTTCTCCTAAAAAAGAAACTGATATTGATTGATTAGTGATTTGATATTTATATCAGCCATAAAAGTCATAAATTTTGCAATTTGCTTTCGAGAAAAGTGGCTTTTTTTGTGGCTTTCATGTCATCAAATGATTTTAGAGTTGCGAAAAAGTGTAAATAGAGTAAAGGTGCTAAGAGATTTATATCTTTTTCATTTTCAATTACCATCTTTAGATCTAGTGGCTCTTTGCCGTAAGTAATTGGCTTATTGATTTCAGTATGTATTGTATGATTAAGTATCACTGTGCATTTCTCTATGATTTCTTTCACTTTATCGTTTGAATAAAGTATTATTATTATTATTATCTAAGAGCCTACATCAAATAGAGCATCTATGAGAAGTTTTACGGTAATTTTCTTAAAGTCTTTTTATGACTAATCAAAAATTTGCTCTTGATTTCATTTCACTTCTCTTTCGTTCCTCCGTCTTTCGAAAACACTTCTCTTTCGTAATTACCAAATATTTCGTAATTTTTCGTTTCTCAAGAGCTCTTGTCAATTCTCAAAAGAAAGAAAAACCCTCCGTTGTAAGCTTTTCCCCGATTCGATCTCAAAAAGATTTTTTTCCTTTTCCTTTTCCTTTTCATTCCTTTTGACGATTTTAAAGCGCTTTCTTTTTTTTTCGTTTAGGATCAATTTTTCGGTGAAAGGGATTCAGAAAAAGAGTCTAGACCCAAAAAAAAACTCCACCCTCACCATTTGTTAGCTCGCTTTTAGTTCCTTTGTTTAGGATTTTCTGGGAAACGCTTTTACACTCTTTCATTTGCTTTTCTTTTCGATTTTTTCAGCAATACAACTTTGCTAGAATTTCTAAAAAGTAGATAATTTAGAAAACTATCGTAAGCTTCTTCCAGCTTTTCCAGCTTTTCGTTTCATTCAATGTTTTGTTTTGTGAATCGAATGGAATTGCAATTCAATCAATTCAATCGATTCAATCGATCGAATGGAATCGAGTTCAAACGATTTTTGTCTTCCGATTTTTCAAAACTTATTCAAAAGCTTTTTTTTGTTTCAAATTTTCCCATAAAACAATCACCCGATTCATTGAAATTCTTAGCACTTTAAGCTTTCTTTTTGAGTGTCATTTTTGATTAATTGAAGACTTTACACGTCAGAAAGGTTTCCTTATCAAAAAAAAAAAAGTAGCCTGTCGGGGAAATGAGTCTATTTTCTTTGTTCAGAATGAAAGGAAACAAAAAAATGAATACAATAAACCGAAAAATATAAAAATAAAAAAGAAAATTTATTTATTAAATTTCAAAATTTTTCCTTTTTCTAGTTATGTTTTGATTTTTGAAGCAAAAAAAAAAATTTTCACAATTTGAGAGAGTCCAATAGTCTCGAAACCTTTAAATTATCTGTAGATGATCTTGATCTTGAAGCTCTAGTGGATCCTTGACGTTATCGGTGCTACCCATAGATTACATACATTATCTGTGGATGACCTTGATCTTGAGGCTCTAGTGGATCCTTGACGTTATCGGTGCTACCCATAGATTACATACATTATCTGTAGATGATCTTGATCTTGAAGCTCTAGTGGATCCTTGACGTTATCTGTGCTACCTATAGATTCCATACATTATCTGTGGATGACCTTGATCTTGAGGCTCTAGTGGATCCTTGACGTTATCGGTGCTACCCATAGATTACATACATTATCTGTAGATGATCTTGATCTTGAAGCTCTAGTGGATCCTTGACGTTATCTGTGCTACCTATAGATTCCATACATTATCTGTGGATGACCTTGATCTTGAGGCTCTAGTGGATCCTTGACGTTATCGGTGCTACCCATAGATTACATACATTATCTGTAGATGATCTTGATCTTGAAGCTCTAGTGGATCCTTGACGTTATCTGTGCTACCTATAGATTCCATACATTATCTGTGGATGACCTTGATCTTGAGGCTCTAGTGGATCCTTGACGTTATCGGTGCTACCCATAGATTACATACATTATCTGTAGATGATCTTGATCTTGAAGCTCTAGTGGATCCTTGACGTTATCTGTGCTACCTATAGATTCCATACATTATCTGTGGATGACCTTGATCTTGAGGCTCTAGTGGATCCTTGACGTTATCGGTGCTACCCATAGATTACATACATTATCTGTAGATGATCTTGATCTTGAAGCTCTAGTGGATCCTTGACGTTATCTGTGCTACCTATAGATTCCATACATTATCTGTGGATGACCTTGATCTTGAGGCTCTAGTGGATCCTTGACGTTATCGGTGCTACCCATAGATTACATACATTATCTGTGGATGACCTTGATCTTGAGGCTCTAGTGGATCCTTGACGTTATCTGTGCTACCCACATTTTACATATATTATATCGTGTTTCTTTTTATCGGCCCTTTTCGTGTTATGTGTATGAATTGATGTGTTTTAATCTTAAATCTAGCGCACTTTATCTCAGGTTCTGAATAAAGTAAAGGATTATTTTTCAAATATAGCGATATATATTTGAATTTGAGTTGATTTTTTTGTAAAATCAAATCTCTTTTATCTCTTTTATCCATTTTTGAGTTCGATTTTCAAATGAAATTCTGAATTTGAAAGATTTCATCAAAAAATTCACGGATGTTTATAGATTTTTGATGATAGAAACACATTTGAGCTGCTCTAGGCTTTATAATATACTTTGTGGCAAACACACGCTTTCTAGTGGCTCTTAATCCTCTCCAAAATCGAGATATGAGTTGTGAGTGAGGGTGCGTTACGTGCAGAGTGCTCAGAAAGTGCACAAAGTACTTGTCGAGCGAATCGACAATAAGGGCAATGGCCACTAATATTGTTCACAGATGGTATACTTGGTAGTATACTTTGTAGTATACTTTGTAATAACTTGGTACTTGGTATGGTATACTTTGTATACTTTGTAGTATATTTTGTAGTATACTTTGTAGTATACTTGGTAGAATACTTTGTAGTATACTTTGTAGTATACCTGGTAATATACTTTGTAGTAAGTTGGTACTTGGTATGGTATACTTTGTGGCAAACACACGCTTTCTAGTGGCTCTTAATCCTCTCCAAAATCGAGTTATGAGTGGCGTGAGGATGCTTTACGTACAGAGTGCTCAGAAAATGCACAAAGTACTTGTCGAGCGAATCGACAATAAGGGCAATGGCCACTAATATTATTCACAGATTTCAGTTAGTCAATCAGTTTTTTGGAAATCAAATTTCTAGCAACAAATGAAATTTCGTTGACGGGAATTTCATGGATAAACAAAAAAAGAAAAAAAACGGTGCGTGTCAGTCTCGAGTTGTTGTTTTCATTGAAAACTCAGGAGAGATGTTTGCTTTGATGATTAGGGGATTTTTTTAATGAATTGTAGACATAATAAGATCGTCCACGGTGATATGACTCACATCTTTTTTCGTTGACAATTCGGTGAGAGAAACGGTGAGCTCAAAAAGAGAAGATACGTGGCTCCACCCACTCAAGAAAAGCTAAAAAAAGAACTAAAAAGCTAAATAAGAATTGGGTGATTGAGAAATGTTGTTTGTTTTGTTCTTGATTTGTTCTTGTTCTTGATTTGTTCTTGTTCTTTTTCTTGCTCTTTCGCGATTCAGCTTTGTAAATGTAATTTCAATTGAAAATCCCCAGCCTAATATTTTTAATGAGCTTCACTTTCGATTTCTTTCTGAAATTTATTGAACTTTTCTCTCCCCATCAAAACAAAAGACTTATTTCCCTTTTCCCTTTTCCCAAATTTGACTGACTCACTTCAGGGACATGCTCAGGTGAGATTTGGCATTAATGTTTTTCTGTTTTTCTATTTTCAAATCGCAAACTTTCGTCCAATCATTGGGTTTTTTGAATTTCCACCTTTTCTCTATTCGTCATCCCCAAATTTGGCTTTGTTTTTGTTGAATGGAGAAAGCTCTACCCGCACACAAATCTCGAATCTCGTAGATTTTTGATGATAGAAACACATTTGAGTTGCTCTAGGCTTTATAAAATACTTTGTAGCAAACATTTGCTTTCTAGTGCTTTCTCGTGGCTCTTAATCCTCTCCAAAATCGAGTTATGAGTGGCGTGAGGGCATCCTCACTAACGTTCCCGGCTGCGGTCGCACGCACGCACTTTACGTACTAGAGTGCATTCCTTGTATTTTTGTATCCTCAAAACGGTGAATATTTCTCGTTTGTTACCCTCTGAGCTAAACAATTTCTAGCACACTCAATTTCTAGCACGTATTGATTCAGGCACATGCTCAAGTGAGATTTGGCATTAATGTTTTTCTGTTTTTCTATTTTCAAATCGCAAACTTTCGTCCGATCATTGGGTTTTTTGTATTTCAACCTTTTCTCTATTCGTCATTCCCAAATTTGGCTTTGTTTTTGTTGAATGGAGAAAGCTCTACCCGCACACACATCTCGAATCTCGTGATTGTATTTCCCGGAAAGGAAGGGAAAAGGGGAAAAGGGATCATCGAGTCTCTTTTTGAATTTTTTTTGTTTTTGAAGAAATCGAGATGGGAATGAACCCTCCCACTTTGCGATAGGGAAGGTTTGATGGGATTCGGTGCAGAGGAAGATCGTCTGCTTCGAGAAAAAGACAAAGGTGATAGTGAGGCTAGATTGTAAGGGAAATAAAGTTAGCGATAGAGGAAAAAGGAATAGCAGATATAGTGCAGTGAGAAATGTAGAAGAAGGGCAAGAGGCAAGAAAGCTAGAGCTAGTAAGCGATTTAGAGATACGAGAATAACGATAGATCCCTTTTTTAGAGAATAGTTGAGAAACGAGGGGATGCTGTTATATTTGGAGAGCGCAGAGAAGACGGGGGAATTGCTTTCACTGGGATTTCAGAGGTTTTAGAAAAAAGGATCTAATGGAGAGCTTGTAGAAGTTGGATATAGAAGAAGGAACGGGAAAAGTTGCTGGAGTTATAGAGGAGGGTAGAGAGATGGCAAGAGATTGTGAAAAGAGAATATAAGTGATAGTGAAAGCATAGAGAATCTAAAGAAGGGTAAATTGTGAAATAGATTGTGAAATCCAAAGAAGTAAGGGAGCAGAGAGTCGAAGTGGGTGGAGGGGAGGGGAGGGGAAGAGGAGGGGAGGGAAGGGGAAGGGAGGGAAGGGGAAGAGGAGGGGAGGGAAGGGGGAAGGGAGGGAAGGGGAAGAGAGGGGAGGGAAGGGGAAGGGAGGGAAGGGGAAGAGAGGGGAGGGGAAGGGGAAGGGAGGGAAGGGGAAGAGAGGGGAGGGAAGGGGAAGGGAGAGAAGGGGAAGAGAGGGGAGGGAAGGGGAAGAGGAAGAGAGGGGAAGAGGAGGGGAGGGGAGGGGAAGGGGTGGAGTCTCCGTGTACGTTTCCCCCTCCCTCCAATCCCTCACCAACATCCTATTTAGGGGGAAGGGGCAAATAGGCTGCCCATTTCCCCCAATAGATTCAGCAATTCTTTTTTCTCATTCAAGCCACCCCCGCAACATCTCCACGTTGTGAGAGAGTTGTTGAGTGCTGCCGTCAGATAAATCTTCTTCTTCTAATGGCTTCTTTAAGATAGATCTATCGACACTTTTCAAAGCTTTAGAAATAAATTTTTCTTGTAATAAATTCTGTTTTTTATCTTTTCTTAATAAAGAAAGTCTCTTTCGGCCTTTTTACGGAAAGAGGAGGGAAAGAGGAAGAGAGGGGAAGAGGAGGGGAGGGGAAGGGGTGGAGTCGGAGAACTTTTCGATTTTGGCACTGTACTTTAACTTGCTTAAGCTTTATCATTTAATTTTTCAAAACTTTTTACACTATCTTAGTATTGCACTGAAAATATTTACCTATTCTTTTTATAAAAAAACTTTTGTGATTAAGATTTTCGATTTTTTAGTTATTAAGATTTTTCTAGTCGATCTTTACCATAAAAGCTTTCCCTTTGAAAAGACAGTGAAGTCGTTTGAGTCAAGTTCAACCAGGAAAATGATTGTTTAACTTCTTTATGATTGTTTAACAAATATATCTAAACTCTTCTTTAGAAAACTTTTATTATAGTTTACTTGATTTTGTGAAAAATTTGAGTGAAAATTGTCTTCAAAATATCGTAACGTCTTTCTGAAGTCGATTTTGTCACTGTACTTTAACTTTTTAAAGCTTTATCGTTTAAGCGTTTAAGACCATTCAAATCTCAAAAAAAAAAATTCTATCTATCTTAAAGACAAAAGAAAAATGTTCAGAATTTGAAATTCTCTTGTTTTTTTCGTTTGCATTTTTAACCGTTGGATAAGCTTAAATGCGGCGAAGCGGCTACGGGCTGCGGCCGCGCGAGCGAAGTGGCCGCAGCCCGTAGCGAAGTGGCCGCAGCCCGTAGCGAAGTTGCCGCGCGAGCGAAGTGGCCGCAGCCCGTAGCGAAGTGGCCGCGCGAGCGAAGTGGCCGCAGCCGGGGAACGTTAGTTCGCGCGGCCACCGGCAGTATATATTCATTTAGAGTTAGTTTCCCATTCATTTAGAGTTAGTTCGCGCGGGTGGGGCAGCAACTATTTCCCATTCATTCGGGCAACGAATTTAGGGTGGGTGCGCTAAAGATTCGATTAGAAAATTGTTCTTAAAATGCATTTGCTCTTAAAATCTTCTTAAAATGAGTCCATTTTTTCATTTTTCTTAATCAAAATGCGGAAGTGACATGTTTTTTTCGAAATGAAACTGTAAGCTTTTTGAGTTTGCATTCGTAGCGCTAATCTTTTCTTTGATTATTTTCTTCGGGGATTTCTATTTCAATTGAGTAAAGGGGATCGGTTCACTGAGCAATGAAAATCCGATTCATTTTTGAAAGAGAGAGATTTCAAAAGTTCTTTCGCAACATAATTCAGCAACAACATGTGATATGCCCCAAATTGCAGAGATCTATTCTTCAAGTCTCTTCAAAAAAAACAGCAACCCTCACGTTTTTCCGTTTTCTATTTCAAGAGTTGGGCTTGGAAAAGAAGAAAATTTTCAATAACCTTTTATTTACAAAACAAAAAAGGAAAAGCCACGCGATTCGCCTATTTAATGACCTCATTTCCGGCTCATTTCTCTAAAAAATGAAAAAAAAAGAATAAGAATTCATTAACATCATCTAATGATGATTAAAAAGCAATTCTATTTTATAATTATTTAAAAAATCAGTTTAATAATGGAATTTTCACTTATTATTGTGTTTAGAAAAGTTCATTTGAACCTTTTTTTTATTTTGAGAAGATTAAACGAATTAGATCTTATTGCTATGTCAAATCAGCTCTATATTTAATCTTTTTGTACCTGTGTTCCCTAACTGTAGTCTTACTTTACTATTTTTAGTTTTCTTTTTTGTGAAAGTATTGTAGCAATATGCGGTTATGATTATCTGATTCACTTTGAAATTCTGATTATCTGATTCGCTTCTATTCACTCCCTGAATAAAGCAGAGCGTATTTTCTCTAATAGTAGTGCACCGTAAGCGTCGCCTAAATTCCTCGCAATCTCGAGAACCACTTATCAGAACCTATCGATGTGGGGGCGGAAAATGTAGCTGACGATCAGATCTTGTGGAGGATTAGAGTGTTGGACTTCTGGGAAAACTTGGAAACCGTAAAATAGTCACCAACTCGGCCCACCGGGAAATATTAGGGAAATAGATCAGTCTGATCTACTAGCCTAACCTGAAATAATATACCATCTTCTCTCTAGTAGTAGTGCACCCAGAGCGTCGCCTAACTTCCTCGAAATCTCGAGAACCGCTTATCAGAACCGATCGATGTGGGGTCGGAAAATGTAGCTGACGATGAGATCTTGTGGGGGATTGAAGTGTTGGACTTCTGTGAAAACCTTGAAAGCCGTAAAATAGTCACCAACTCGGCTCGCCGGAGCGCACTACTATTAGAGAAAATACGGTATATATAAGATTCAAATTTCAATTTCAAATTGTTATTTTTATTCAAAAAAAGAGAAAAATTAGGTAATGATTTGAAAAGTTCAATTTTCTCACAAACAAGAGCTGAATTGCGAAATTTTTATCGTTTTTGAAAAGCTTTTTAAAATTAAATAAAAAAATGATGATTGATTTGGGAAAAAAACTTTAAAATAAGACCTGATTTTTGAATTTTCTTTCATTTCATCACAAAGAAACATTCTCATTTGTGATTTAATCTTTTGTAGACAAAACGTTTGCAAAAAAAAAGCCTTCTTCAGGGATTTCTCTTTGAAAACATTTTATTCTCACCACATTTTCCCATCGCTTTTCTTATCATTTCAAAATCTTTGAATAAAATTCCTTCAGAAAATGCATTTCATTGCCATTTCCTGAATTCTTTTTGTTTTCAAAACATTAAACAAAAACGATATAAAATGAATAAAATAAAGGAGAATTTCTTTCGAATTTCAAAATTTCAAAAAAGGCCATTTTTTTCTTTATAAAATTTGTTAGACTTTCTTTCTAATAATAATACTTTATTCAAACGATAAAGTGAAAGAAATCATAGAGAAATGCACAGTGATACTTAATCATACAATACATACTGAAATCAATAAGCCAATTAAAACTAAAATTTCTTTCTAATACTGCCCCGTATTAGAAATACGTATTTCTTTCTAATCTGCCCCGATGGTCGACCGGTTAGGAGTTTTGTCTTTTAAGCGGCAGGGTCGAGGGTTAAATCACGTTGGCAAGATATAAATGTTTCTTTTTCCCACTAAGTGGGTTTATTTCTTTCACAACATTTGGGTAATAAGGGACTGGAAAGCATTTTCCGAGAAAACACTTTTGAGTCGCGCACTAAAATGCACTAAATACCGTAATCGGCCTTTTTTTGCAACTTTAACTATTTTCTTTCTTACTTTTGCGCATTTTCTACTCGTAGTTTTGCTTTTTAAATTGTTTTTAAAGCAATTAGGAGTTTTGTCTTTTAAGCGGCAGGGTCGAGGGTTAAATCACGTTGGCAAGATATAAATGTTTCTTTTTTCCCACCAAAGTGGGCTCTTTTCTTTCTTTCGTTCACATTTGGGTAATAAGAGACTGGAAAGCATTTTCCGAGATAACACTTTCGGGTCGCGCACTAAAATGCACTAAATACCGTAATCGGCCTTTCTTTTTGCGACTTTTGCGCAATTTCTATTCGTAGTTTTGCTTTTTACATTGTTTTTAAACTCTATTAAACATTAATTGCTTTAAAAACAATGTAAAAAGCAAAACTACGAGTAGAAATTGCGCAAAAGTAAGAAAAAAAAAGCTAAATTTGCAAAAAAAAAGATTTTTTTTAAAAAGACGGATTACGGTATTTAGTGCATTTTAGTGCGCGACTCGAAAATGTTTTCTCGGAAAATGCTTTCCAGTAATAAAGGTAACGGCTGCAATCTCATAAAATTGTGTGTTTAGCCCTTTATTTTCTTATTCTGTACCCTTTTTTCGTTGTATCACATTATCGGTTTTCAATAAATGCAATCTTTTTCAATCCATTTTCATTTTCAGTGACGCGGCAACGAGGACTCTGTTCCTATCTCGTTGACGCGTTTGACTTCTTGAGGCACAGAGAATCCACCCGGTGAGTATTTTCGATTTTTATATAGAAAAAAACACAATGAGGAATTAGTTTTGCGTCCGATTTTAATTGAAAATTTTAGAAAATCTTCCCGTTGACGCTTGTTCGGTGTGCTCGCCCGGCGGCCACCCGCTATCCATTGGTGAGTCTTTGAACGCTAAATAGACCTTGTGAATGCTAGTTTTTAAGATGGAGTTAGGAGTAGAATAGTGGATCTTGTTTGCGTAATGTGTAAAAAGTAAAAGATCAAATATTGCGTTTATTGAAGTATCAAGTATTACTTTTTTTATTGCTTAGAATTGCTATTATTGCTTTATTTCAGACACTCGCCTCGACATCCGAGGTCGGTCAAGTAATTCATATCCCTGGTGGAGAGGGACAGTGCAGAGCAAAACCGCCCTGGTAAATAGAAGAAGAAAGAAGACAACTTTATATTAATTAAAAGGTTGGCTTTAGAATTTCTTTTTAATGACTAATGATAACTAATGACAAAAATCAAACGAAATATGGCTTATTTTTAGAGGCGTTCTCAAGAAAATGACGATGATCAAGGGATGCTCTCGTCGTGAGCTTATCGGAGATATTAAAGTACGTTTAATTCTTTAAAAAATACGATTACAATCACCAACAACTTTAGCATTTAACAATTACAAGATGTAAATGCTTTTGGGTAGAAAAGTGACTCTAAAAGTTTATATTAAAGCTATTTGCGAGATGGTTGATTGTTTGAATTGAAAGTTGACTTTTTGAAAAGAAACTCGTTGAAACTCTAGAATAAAGCTGATCCAGAATAATCAATATTATCAAATTAATGATGTTATTAAAAAAATATCAAAATTTATATTAAAACTAGACTAGCTTTAGGCATGAGCAATAGAAACTACAAACGTAAACTACAAATGCTTTTAAATTACTTTAAATCTATCGGATTGATAAGAGCTATAGCTCAAAAAATAGAGAATTTCAAGAGATTTTGAATCGATTAAAGCATATTTAAAAATATTAATTCTAAAGAAAGTTACAGTGGTTTGTAGCCTTGGCCGTTTTCGCGCCTGGTCGAATCGAGCCAGGCTACAAACCGCTGTAACTTTTGTTAGAATTAATATTTTTAAATATGATTTAATCCATTCAAAAGCTCTTGAAATCCTCTATTTTTTAAGCTATAGCTCTTATCAATGCGACAGATTTAAAGCAATTTAAAAGCATTTGTAGTTGAGAGTTCGTCATTTTTTTTAGTTTTATCCATATCTAACTTGTTTAAGCTGAATATTCTCTATCCCATTTAACAATTTTCATCTTCAGGTCGAGATCCATGACGATCCAATCATTGCCGAAGAGATGGTCGAAGCGTTGGCCAACAAGTACGACTCAGAGGTAAGCGATGGGAAGAAAAGGGATCAAAAAAATCTCGCACACACACACCGAAAAATTTACCTTTAAAATGAGAGTGTGTGAAACTACAGGACGTCCACAATAGTCTGTCGTCTGTCGATGTGAAGCGGATGAGTGTGGTGAAAGACAATGAGACTGACTGTGGGCATAGACAAACTTTGATCTCTTTCTCTCGTCAACTCTGATCGAGCCCCACTCACGAAAACAAAAAAATGGTCTGAAATGAAAATCTCTCAAGTTCTTTCATTGAGAGATTGCTTTTTTTAGGGAATAAAAGATTTCATTAAAAATTTTTCAGGAAATCGATGACGCTTTTCTGCTTATCAATTTGGACGCTTTACTTGAGAGATTCAAATTGTGGAAGAGAGAGTTGCCGCACGTTGAGGTGAGTGTGGAAATTTCTTTCAAATATAGTTTAAAGCTTTATTGATTTTTTTTCAGCCATTCTATGCTGTGAAGTGTAACACCGATGTGACAATGTTACGTGTGTTGGCTGCGCTTGGGGTCAACTTTGATTGCGCTAGCAAGCAAGAGATCGACATTGTGAGTGTGATTGAAGTTATGAGCATTCGGTTTCTTCACTAACTAGTTTAGATAATGTTAGTTTATCTATTTTTACTAGCGAAAAACGCTCAGTAAATTTTGTGTTTTCCACGCAAGCTAAGCCCCACCCCTTTTTGCCAATGGCTGCGCATAGACGGACAAACGGATAGATGTCTCTTCTGCTTTATAAAGAGTAGATAAAGTAAGGGGATCCCAGAGAGAGAGAGAGATGGTCATTGCTACTGTTATGAGCCTCTTGGAACGATGCCTTTGCCATGTGCTCATAGCAAAGTGGTAGAGGTCTCACTTGGAAAGCGAACGGTCTCTGGGCTCTGGGTTTGATCCCCGCTCGGCATACAAAGTCCACTTTTGCTTGTCAAGTCAGAATTTTTGCTTTTCTTCTTGAACTAGAACTATTTCTAGTTTAAGGATAGAACGTGAACAGATCTTATCCTTAAACTAGAAATATTCATTTCAAATGGTTTAAATTTGCAAAAAAGCATGCGATTGATAACCGAAGAATGCCAATTTAAGCTTATAATACTTGTAATATACAATATAAGTTTAAGCTTATAATTACATTTAATACCTCTGATTTTGTTTTGATACCAGCTTCTTTATCGTTACCTTTTCAGGTTCTGAGCATCGGTGTCGACCCAAGCCGCATCATCTACGCGAATCCGTGCAAGACTCGAGCCTTCATCAAGGTTTCATTCATTTTCAACTATTTAGTTAACTATTTAAAATCGATCGTACTTTGAAGTAAATTAGAAAATTTCTTTTTTTCAGCACGCCGAGAAACGTGACGTTCAGCTGATGACTTTCGACAACGCCGAGGAACTCGAGAAGATCCAAGAGTTACACAATTCGGCAAGGTAAGTATTCGGAGTTAAAAGCAAAGTCCATTGAAAGCAAGCAAAGCAAAGCAAACAAAGCAAAGTCCCTCCGGTTGACTTTCGCAATTCTCGATTTCAGATTGGTACTCCGCATTGCCGTCTCCGATCCGACGGCCACTTGTCCACTCAATCTCAAATTCGGGGCCGATCCAGTGCACGCAGCGCCAAAGCTTTTGGCTAAAGCCAAGCAAATGGGCGTCAACGTTGAGGGGATTAGGTACGGCAAAAAAAAGGAAATATAAAGCAAAATGACGGCAAATCTTTGATAACTAAATCACGGTAGTACGCAAAACAAAATCGCCTATTTATGTAAGTAAGTAAATAGTAAATACTTGTAGTCAAGTTGACATCTAATATTTTCAATTTTCAGTTTCCATGTTGGATCGGGGTGCAACGATTGCTCAGCGTATGAGATCGCGATCGCGCACGCTCGTCGCCTTTTCGATTTGGGTGAAGCAATGGGGCATCATATGAATTTTCTTGATTTGGGTGGTGGATTCCCGGGCGGGAAACATCATATCGCTTTTGAACAGGTGAGGATTGTGAACTTTGAAAGTAAAAAGGTGAATTTGAATATGAATTTAAAATTTAAATCAAACTTTATCGAACTTTATCAAACTTTAAACAAAAATCATCTATCTACTTCTTTTAAAATAGGAAATGAATTGGTTAATGAATAGGAAAATAGGAATTGCTTAATGGCTTAATGGAAATGAATTGGTTAAATTGAATTGGTTAATTTGAATTGGTTAATATGAATTGGTTAATTTGATTTGGTTAAATTGAATTGGTTAATTTGAATTGGTTAATTTGATTGTTGTTAATGAAACTTTCTAGATCTCTGCTGTGATCTCCGGAGCTTTATGCCGCTATTTCCCGGATCCAGCGGTGCGTGTTGTTGCCGAGCCTGGAAGGTTGGATAAAATTCGATTAAATTTCGATTAAATATTCAGTATATTGAGAAAAAATAGCTTAAAATAATATAAAGATCTCTAAACTTTTTACAGATTCTTTGCCGCTCGCCCGTTCACCCTTTGCGCGAACGTGATCCACTCGACAGCCGTCAACGCCGAAAGGATCACTCATAATGGTTGAATATTTGAAAAATATAGCTAAAAACATAGCTAAAAAACATAGCTGAAAAAACATAAATAAATAAATAAACTTATAAATGCATTCAATTTACAGATAAAGACATTGGCTCAAAGGGGATGATGTACTATTTGAATGATGGGGTTTATGGATCGTTCAATTGTATTCTTTTTGATCATGTTCATCCAAAAGGGCATCCATTAAGGGTTAGTTTTAAAGATATTCAGTTTTAAAGATCTTCAGTTCTTTGTCTAAAATCAAATTTTTTTTCCTTTTTTTTAGCCAAAAGAGGGTGCTGAGGCGGTGATGAGCACAATCTGGGGACCTACTTGTGACAGTTTGGATCAGATTGAGGTGAGAAAAGGGAAAGAATGAATAGATGAATAGATGAATAGATAAATGGATAAATAGATAAATAGATAAATAAATAGATAGATGAATAAATAAATAAATAGGTAAATAAATAAATAAATAGATGAATAGACAAATAGACAAATAGATAAATAGATAAATAGATAAATTAGATAATCTAGAATACAATAAAAAGCTCGCCCACTTGGTTATGTCGCAAATTTCAGGATAAAAAAATGATGGAAGAGATGTCGACGGGTGATTGGATTGTTTACCCGGAGATGGGCGCTTATACTGTAATTTTTATGTCTTTTTTTACAAAAGTGAAATAGCCATTCAGTTAATAGAAAGGATTCTGAAAGATTCTGAATTTAGAATTCAAAATTTTAGCATTCTGGCATTCAGTAAGAAAGTTTTCAGTCAGCCGCTTCGACCACTTTCAACGGCTTTCAACGTCCCATCGCCATCTATGCCATCTCGCAAGCAAACTGGTCAGTCAGTACTTTTATTCCGAAATGCTGTAAGCCTACTATAGCTTAATGTAGCCTACTGTAGCTTACTGTAGCTTACTCTAGTCTACTGTAGTCTACTGTAACCTACTGTAGCCTACTGTAGCTTACTGTAGTCTACTGTAGTCTACTGTAGTCTACTGTAGTCTACTGTAACCTACTGTAGCCTACTGTAGCTTACTGTAGCTTACTGTAGTCTACTGTAGTCTACTGTAACCTACTGTAGCCTACTGTAGCTTACTGTAGTCTACTGTAGTCTACTGTAGTCTACTGTAGTCTACTGTAACCTACTGTAGCCTACTGTAGCCTACCGTAGCTTACTGTAGTCTACTGTAGTCTACTGTAACCTACTGTAGCCTACTGTAGCCTACTGTAGCCTGTAGCTTACTGTAGCTCACTGTAGCTTACTGTAGCCTACTGTAGTAGAGATTACGATAGTTACTCGAAAATAACAAAATACCATCTATCAGAACGCTAGCTAAAGCCTACTCAAGTCCAAGGCACGTAAAACAAGATTACGACAGTTCCTAAAGCACTCTTAAGACTCTAACTAACTACTCTATAGTCAGCATAGTCTGTAGTTAGAATACTCTAGTTGTACTCTAGTAAATCTTACATGTTAAACTTTCAAAGAAAAGCTCTTACTTTCTCGAATTTTCAGGGAAACGATTGCTGATCTTCTTTAAAATATGATTCCACGAAAAAAGTGCCTTCAAATCTTTCAAATTTCTTTCCTATTTTCCTCAAATTCCATTCCAAATTTGGTTTTTTTTTATTTCCTGTTCTTTCTTTTTTTTTTCTCCTTTTACATATCAACTAGTTTTTACTTTTCTTTTATTTTATATTTTCGTATTTTAAAGTTAAAAATACTGATAAATAAAATAGATTCTTTGTTTTTTTTGTTAAGCACACAAGAAAAATGTTTTTTTTTGCATGCAATGAAAAGTTTTAAAATCGTAATTTTGTAAAGAAAATTGTTTAAAATCGTTTAAAATCGTTTAAAATTGTTTAAAATTGTTTAAAATCATTTAAAATTGTTTAAAATCGTTTAAAATCGTTTAAAATAGTTTAAAATGGTTTAAAATGGTTTAAAATGGTTTAAAATAGTTTAAAATCATTTAAAATTGTTTAAAATTGTTTAAAATTGTTTAAAATTGTTTAAAATGGTTTAAAATGGTTTAAAATGGTTTAAAATAGTTTAAAATCATTTAAAATCATTTAAAATTGTTTAAAATCATTTAAAATTGTTTAAAATCGTTTAAAATTGTTTAAAATTGTTTAAAATCATTTAAAAACCTTTAAAATCGTTTAAAATCGTAAATTTGTAAAGAAATTTATTGTACAAAGAGAAATTTATCCATTCACATCGCGAACCCGTCGCACGAGAATCGGACTTTCCACCCGAAGCACTAACTAAAAGTGAAGAAGTTGATTTTCAATCAAATATTTCAATTTAACAATTCGAGAGAATGCTTACGCCTACAAAGGCCTACAAAAGCCTACAAAAGTATACAAAAGCCTATAAAAGCCTATAAAAGCCTACAAAAGCCTATAAAAGCCTACAAAAGCCTACAAAAACCTACAAAAGCCTATAAAAGCCTACAAAAGCATACAAAAGCCTACAAAAGCCTACAAAAGCCTACAAAAGCCTACAAAAGCCTATAAAAGTCTACAAAAGCATACAGAAACCTACAAAAGCCTAAAAAGGCCTACAAAAGCCGACAAAAGCCTAAAAAAGCATACAAACGCCTATAAAAGCCTACAAAAGCCTACAAAACTTTCACAAAAGTACATCAAATAAAGACTCGACTTGTACTTTGCACTTGAAAAGAAACACCTTTTCTGGTTCATTTATTTGTGTGCAAAAAGGATCACAAATTACGTATACCAGGAATTGAGTGTTTACAAGGAAAGTTTACAATTTTCCATGAATACAAAAGTAGAATAAACTGACATCATCTCCATCGATGCTCAATTCGGCAAATGAAATGACGAAGAAGAGAGTGAAAAGAAGAAATAAAAGTCTCAAGGCGAGCATGGGAATTCGACGATGAAAGCTGGAATAAATTGTTTTATTTCAATAAATATATATTCAATTCAATTTCATATATAAAATTCAATAGTTTTCGAAAGATTTGTCTTGAGAAAACGGTTCAAAATCGAATGAAAAGAGAGAAAAATAGGAATTTGGGTCATTTCACTCACCTCTTTATATCCATTTCTTAAAGAAAAAAAAAAAAGAGAGATTCACCTATTTTTCTCAATGATTCAGCTAGGTCATTGGATTTGCTGAAAAAGGAATTTTTGTGTTTTTGAATTTCGATTTTCCAAATGTTCTTTCATTTTTGATTCTATTTTTAAGGCTCTTTTTCTTTATATAAATACTTTATTTAGAAAGAAATAAAGTGCGAAAACGCAATGGAAAAAGTAGCAGATAAAAGATCACAAGGTCACTTAAAATGCAATGAAGTAGTCCTCTTTTAAAATCAGACATAGAGATCAAACGGTGGAGATCAAACGCCACTTTTCGGGAAGGCAATTCCAAACTTTAATCGAACGATTCACAAAAAAGCTCTAGAGGATTTAGAGAAAGCAGATTCGGGATGCAAGATAAAAGAGCCACGCCTTTCGGCCAAACTCGAGCCAAGCTTCGAGCCAAGCCTCGAGCCAAGCTTCGAGCCAAGCCTCGAGCCAAGCTTCGAGCCAAGCTTCGAGCCAAGCTTCCAGCCAAGCCTCGAGCCAAGCTTCCAGCCAAGCTTCGAGCCAAGCTTCGAGCCACGCCTTTCGGCTAAACTAAACATTGATGAAAATGAACAGAAAATGAATTCTTTTGCTATTTCCAGACGGTAGATTCATTTTTCGCTTAACAACTACCGAGGCTGATGCAACTTCGTTCTTTCAACAACGACGCATCTTGCTTACTACTCGCACACACGCCAACCATCACTTTATGAAGCTATCGCTCAATCAGAATCCCCGATAGAGATTTCATTATTTATTATTTATTTTTGATTTTGATTATATTAAACGATTTTTTCTGATTATTAAATGATTATTTTTGTGGATGTATAACGGAAAAGTACCCCAATCTTAATGTCATGTTCGTTCCTAGGAGTAAACGGATATGGACTAGAATTAAGTTATCGAGAGTGTGCCCCTTTGATATCCAGCCATCTCTAACACCCCGACAATCCGACTCAACTCCTCCAATGTATTAGAGAGGAAATCCTGTGAAATGACCGACCTGAACTGCATTTGCATAGACCCAGAAGATATATATCTTTATTTACCGTAGTACGATAAGACGAATCGATTACAAATGAGTGAAAGGGGACGGGGGACTCGAAGTGAGAGCCTCACTTGTCCTCCGAGGCCATCCCAAGGATCGCCCCTTCTCGGCGATAAAAGGGATAAGCACAGGGGAGATCGCATTTACATAAGAATAGACAAATCATTCAATAATAACAATAGTAACTAAAATAACAGTTTTGTCCAATATCGCAATATATTGACGGGAATCCATTGTTGACTTTACGAGGACAAGCGGACCTGTTGAACTTTTACACATCGCACCTAAAGAAATCACGTTGGGCTGCATAAAAAGATTATCCTTCGCCTGTTTTCACCGTAGGTTGCAAGTACTTGAGTTGATATCGCTTTCCAATTGGACGCCGGATCAGATGTTTTCGATTTGAAGGAAAAAAATATCGAATTCGTTGTTTCATCAACGAAAATCACACGGGGCTCAATTATCGACTGTTCATTGCTCATCGAATTTGCATAAAAAAATCAATTCAAAGTTCAACGACAGAATCGTTGCATCGATTTGATCGAGAATTCGTTCATTTTCACTTAGTTTCCCTGAATTGATTGGCTTAAAAATTATTTTTTAAGTTTTTTTTAGAGTAAAAATGACCAATCGTTTCTTGAAATTACATCAAAATACATAAGAATTACAGACAACAAAAAAAGTTAAGTAAATATAGGAAATTTTAAGTTTTTTTTTTTTTTGATTGACTTGAATTATGTCGAGTGTTAAGCGTGATTGGACAAAGGTTTAGATTGATCTGCTTAGTTTGACGCAAAGAAAGCAGCCTGACTCGACGAATTAAATGTTCGCAACAACTGTAAATTCAGAGCTTACAAAGAGCTCCTTATTATCTAAAGTTTGTTTTGAGAAAATCGAAATTCGAAATGATTTGATTGAAAAAAAGACTACAAAAAGGAGACAAATCTTGAGCGAATTGCTTGAGCTTGAGCTTGAGCTTGAGCTTCGGCTTGAGCTTCGGCTTGAGCTTCGGCTTGAGCTTTGGCTTGAGCTTCGGCTTGAGCTTCGGCTTGAGCTTCGGCTTGAGCTTTGGCTTGAGCTTTGGCTTGAGCTTTGGCTTGAGCTTTGGCTTGAGCGAATTGCTTGAGCTTGAGCGAATTACAGAGGGTTATTTCAATTCATTTATTCTATTCCATCATCATTTTTTAATCAAAATCCCAAATCGACAAAATTAACGAGTTTTTTTTTGAGAATTCTGAGAATTCTGTGAAGTTCAAACTGTAAATTTTTCATTTGGTTGGCTTCAATGATGCGATTTTCTTAAAGAATCCCATAAAAACCTCTCTTATCTTTTCTCAATAAAAAGCATTGCTTCGATTTTCTCACAAAAAATAATATAAATCGATCAACGAGAAAGGAAAATAAATGCAAAATTTGGCAATAATTTCGTTTTTGTTTTGTTTTATTCGATGGCTGTCAGCGGATTGTCCGATTGGTGCTCAATCATTGGCATCTGATTCGACGATGTGCCTCGCATTAGCCACAAATTATGGTTAGAATTGCGAAGACATTCTAACATCTTAATAAAAGCTTTTAAAAGCTTTCAAAACTATTTCAGATTATCAATTCTCGGTCGCTAATGCTCGATGTTTTGCCGAGAATGGCCGCCTCTCGCATATTCAGAATTCATTTGACAACGCGTTGGCAATAAAGATGATACAAAGCAGTAAGTAAAGCTTCAGCTTAAGAAAACACTCCAAATTTCATTTTCATTTCATTTTAGGTGCCACAAACGCCGGATTTTTCTATATTGGTCTTCAACGAGTCAATGAATCGTGGTGGTATGCGGATGATGAATATGGAATTGATCCAGTCACTTATTTCAATTGGGCAAAGGGTGAGCTCTTGAGGATATCTTCATCTTCTTCCTTGTCTTTCCTATTTCTCTTTGGGGAAAAAGCGCACCGATAGATCAATGGTAGAGCGTCTGGTAAGCAGAAGGTCTAGGGTTCAATTCCCCCTCCCTTTCAAATTGTTTTCCATTCATTTCTTGATTTTATTACTAATACCGTGGTCTGATCGTCAAGCCCACAGTTCTGAAGATCCGGGTATTTCCCCCCTCTCTTGCTTGTCTTGCCTATTTCTCTTCGCGGAAAAAGCGCACCGATAGCTCAGTGGTAGAGCATCTGATTGGTATGGAGAAGGTGGATGGCACGGGGTCGAGGTTCAATTCCCCATCTGACCCAAGTTCTTTACCATTCATTTTTTGCCTTCAGCTGTAAGCATCTTATCTTAGCTTACAGCTGGAGATAGGTGGAAACATAAATCTACCAGACTTTAGGCTAGCTATTAAGTTGAGAATTTGATAATTCTATTGGACAAGCTCAGGCTTTTCATCTTTTTTTTTGATCATCTTGTCTAGGTCAACCGTTGAAAGATGGTGGCGATTGTGTGATAATGAATCGCGTGGACGGGAAATGGTATGTAGCTGATTGTGGTCAATATTTGCCGTATTTTTGCGATGTTCCAGCGTTGCGTGAGTTTCTTTCATCGTTTACTTCAGTAAAACATTTAGATACACCACTTTATTGCACAGATAAGCTAAACGTTGATATCGTTTTTATGATCGACGCAACGGGAAATCAGAATGACACTCGAATGGTCGCGTATTGAATTGTTGATTAAAACAAGAAACTTTTCAGATTCACGATGTTTTATTTGGTTTTAATACCGTTCTCCCAACACAATGGTACCAAGATCCGTTGAGTTGCCAGTCCGAGAATCGATACGATAAGGAGCAAACGAGAGTCACCGGTGAGCGTTACTGTAATCATTCGAATCGTACTTAAACTTTCCCTGAACCAGTAAAAACACACTAAAACATTTGTCAGCCCTTTTTTGTCGTCTTTTTCTCAGCACCAACTCTTCAATTTTGTCTATTTTAACTATGATTCGATGCAGAATCTAATTGCGCATCGAATGATACAAAAAAACAACTTAAAATCTAATACCCATGAAAAGTTAATTCCCAGCTTATAATCCTTGAAAAACTAAGAACTAAAGTCATGTGCAAAAGTCTTTTAACACTCAATTTTCTAAAAAATTTCATCGATTTTCTTTGTTAAAGTTCATAGCGCGCTTTTAAGCTACTAATAGTTTTAGTTACACAAATATATGTACAATTCATTTACGTGCTTTCCCTTCATTCGAGAGAGTCACAACGCGGCCCATCAAAAGTTTGCTTTTGTGTACTGGCGAATTATCTTGATAAAGAAAACAGCCTGGATTCATCGAAACAGTCGCAAATGGAAGTAGACATCTGTCCAATATCTCAATATATTGGCGGGAATCCATTGTTGACTTTACGAGGACAAGCGGACCTGTTGAACTTTTACACATCGCATCTAAACAAATCACGTTGGGCTGCATAAAAAGATTATCCTTACAGAAACACATGATTGATCCTCCGCCTGTTTTCACCGTAGGTTGCAAGTACTAGTACGATAAGACGAATCGATTACAAATGAGTGAAAGGGGACGGGGGACTCCAAGTGAGAGCCTCACTTGTCCTCCGAGGCCATCCCAAGGATCGCCCCTTCTCGGCGATAAAAGGGATAAGCACAGGGGAGATCGCATTTACATAAGAATAGACAAATCATTCAATAATAACAATAGTAACTAAAATAACAGTTTTGTCCAATATCGCAATATATTGACGGGAATCCATTGTTGACTTTACGAGGACAAGCGGACCTGTTGAACTTTTACACATCGCACCTAAAGAAATCACGTTGGGCTGCATAAAAAGATTATCCTTACCGAAACACATGATCGATCCTTCGCCTGTTTTCACCGTAGGTTGCAAGTACTTGAGTTGTTATCGCTTTCCAATTGGACGCCGGATCAGATGTTTTCGATTTGAAGGAAAAAAATATCGAATTCGTTGTTTCATCAACGAAAATCACACGGGGCTCAATTATCGACTGTCCAACTTGAATACGTTCGAGCAATTTGAAGAGGTTGCCTCCTGTGTTTGACTGTCATGATAGGCTTGAGAGTAGATTTTCTAGTATACAATGCTGCTTGAAGCAAGCGTAGATGTAAGATCTAGCGGGAAATATTCTTGTTTGAAGTTTGCTTGAAAAGAATGGCTCCATCATTGAACGTCAAACTCGGATCCTTCTTGAAAGCTTTCGTAAGGAATCGGTCTTCACTCTTTGTTGTAATCCTCGGTCGTCCCTTTTTCATACATCTGTGCACATTTGCAGGCGCATTCATTTTTGCCTTAACAAGAGAAACTGTTGTGGGCGTACATCTTAAGAGGCGAGCAATGTCTTGTCGTGGCATTCGTTGCTTCCTTGCCTCGACGATCATTTCTTTATCCAGAGTTGACAAATACGTTCCTGGCATCTAAAAAGAGAAATTAGAACCAGTAAATACGAAGCGAACCAAAATAATCAAAATAATAAAAAAGAATTCGAAAATAAATCTTCGCAAGTGTTAAAAGACTTTTGCACCACGATTTTTGATATTTTGACGGGAGTGGGACAAATGCGACCTTTTTTTTTGCGCACCCGGACATTTGCGCACCTTTTTTTCCGCACCTTGCCCATTAGCGCACCTTTTTTCGTGTTTTAAAAAGCTCTAAAAAGCTAATATTAACCAATTTCTATTCCAAAAGTTGTTTTTTAGGTAATTTTAGGGCGTAGAATCGAAATTTTGGCATATTTGTTTAGATGCGATGTGTAAAAGTTCAACAGGTCCGCTTGTCCTCGTAAAGTCAACAATGGATTCCCGCCAATATATTGAGATATTGGACAGATGTCTACTTCCATTTGCGACTGTTTCGATGAATCCAGGCTGTTTTCTTTATCAAGATAATTCGCCAGTACACAAAAGCTCAAATTACCTAGAAAAAGAACTTTTGGAATAGAAATTGGTTAATATTAGCTTTTAGAGCTTTTTTAAAACGCGAAAAAAGGTGCGCTAATGGGCAAGGTGCGGAAAAAAGGTGCGCAAATGTCCGGGTGCGCAAGAAAAAGGTCGCATTTGTCCCACTCCCTTTTTTCTCGATGAATAAGTGTTGTATAGCGATAACGTTTGTGTAAATAAATTGTGCATATATTTGTGTTAATATTTTAATAATAACTAAAACTATTAAAAGAGCGGAACTTTATCAAAGAAAATCGATGAAATCGATGGATTTTTTAGAAAATTGAGTGTTAAAAGACTTTTGCACATGGATGTAAGAATATGTTTCTAGGAATTGTTTACTATGATAGTACATGGGTTTCGGCTAATTCTGGCCCGAATTTCTGTGTGGATCGTTTCCCTGAGATTGTTGATAGTATGTATACAACGGGACAACAAAGCGATTTCGTCTTGGACATCTCTGTGTGAGTTGTTTGTGCTTTGTGAACTGATTGCGCTATCTCTGTGTGAGTTAAATAGGGCTACGTTTTCATGAACACATCTTTTTTTAGTCCAATGAACATTGTTGAAATGTTCATGAGTGATTGCGGTTGTCGGCGAAACGCTGCAAAGTACGGGACTCGACAAATCATGATTTGGATTCCGATGAGAGATGCGTAAGCGTAGATTGACCAGTTGATGATGATAAACTGAAGCTATATGTCGCAGCCGCTCGTGATTTTCAGCCGCTAGTGATTTGAATCACCATCGGCTAGCCGCTAGTGATTCAATCAAGCCGTTTCCTGTGAGAAAACGAAGAATTAAGTGTACCAGAGCCGCTAGTGGTTGAATCACTAGCGGCTAGGCCATGGTTTCAATCACTAGCGGCTAGGCCATGGTTTCAATCACTAGCGGCTAGCCGATGGTGATTCAAATCACTAGCGCCTGAAAATCACGAGCGGCTGCGACATATATAACTGAAGCTATAAGTATATTCAGCTATCGAACATCACGCAATATCTCATTGGGAAATGAGCTTGCTACTTGGGAACATTACTTGTGGCCAATTCGAGTATCAAAGAAAACGGCGGTAAGGTGATTTTCATGCAAAAAATGGGGAAACACACTCTTTCTCGTGCACTAATAGTTTCAATTCTAACATTTAGACGTTTCCACTTTGGATTGATTCATTGATGCAAGAGATTCAAATGCCAAGCGATCATCCCGAATTCATTCCCACTCAAGTTTTAACATTGTGGCGTTTCTTATGCAAGTTGGTATAAAATAGAAAAATAGGAATTTATGATTGAAATTTGTGAGGGAATTTGGTGTAATATAATGTGAAAAGAGATTTAGAAGAAAATAACTGTAAATACTGTAATAGTACCCCACCCCCCTCGTACAGTCGCGTAGTCGCAAAAGTTTTTTAGTATTTCATTTTTTTCAAAGCGCCCGTACTTTTAAAAAATAGTGTTTTTGTATCAAAAAATAGCCCTGAATTTCAGCTATTTTTTGATACCTAAGCGAGCATTGTAGCATAAGCCAGTGTCGAGAAAAACTCGTTCAAAGCTAGACTACGCAACACTCCGCACCGTCATTATGGCGATGGGGTACTAATTACAGTATTTACGGTATGTTAAAATTCAAAAATTTCTACTATTTACACATATCAATCTTTTCAGTCTAACCGGCTCTACTGGCGAAACCCCACCGGCACCTTTTATTTAAGATTCGTTTTATTTGAATAAATCTATTGAAGATTAAGGAAAATTTGACAGTTTTAAACAAAAGAAAGATCAGTGAGTCAGCTGGATTCAGCTAGACTGAACCAGAAACTCTCTGTGACCAGCTTGGTAAGCTTGGTAAGCTTGGTAAGCTTGGTAAGCTTGGTAAGCTTGGTAAGCTTGGAAGCTTGGGAAGCTTGGTAAGTTTCGGTGCTTGGTAAGCTTGGTGGTTTGGTAAGCGTGCGGTGGCTTGGTAAGTTTCTGGAAGCTTGGTAAGCTTGGCAAGCTTGGTAAGCTTGGTAAGCTTGGTGTTTGCAGGTAGTTTGGTGTTTAGGGGCAAGCTTTGGTTTGCTCTTATTGTGCTCGATCTATTAGAATAAATTTAGAACTAAATAAAGGCAAAAGTAGTGCTAAAAGTTTTGCAAATTTTATGCTTTTTTTCAACTCATAGACTACATGGGAGTGAATGCAGAAAAATGGGAAAAAATTTCCAGAAAATGATGTGTTATCGCTTTTTCCAGAGAACGTTTTTGCGTTTGATAGAAGTAAAATTTCTCGATTTCTCCCCTCAGAATCTCTAGTTTTCTCATTTCTCAGCAAAAGAATTGCAAGAATGAAAGTTTTGCTTTCATTTTTCTTTCTATTATTGGGATATTCGTGGGCGGGTTGTCCGGTGGGAAGTGATCCGATTACAGCCACCGATGCCGAGGATCCGAATCCGTATTGCCTTGCGGTGGTCACGAATAAAAGTTTGTTTTTATATAGAGATAATTATTAATGTTTTAACTAGAATTTTAAAGATAAAACTTTAGGTTTTAAATGATATATTAGGTTGTTCGGATATAAACGGGCGTTTTAAACTATCAGTAATTAGTATGATTTTAGTATAAGCTTTAAACTTAGGCAATTAGCAATTTGCATTTGATTGAATCGATTTGCATAAAGGCAATTTACATTTTAATTTACAATTTACTAAATCAGAGTAGTAGACAAAGCCTAAATCAGAGTAGTAGACAATGCCTAAATCAGAGTAGTAGACAATGCTTAAAACAGAGTAGTAGATAATGACTAAATCAGAGTACTAGACAATGCCTAAACCACTGCCAATGAAATTTCGTTTTTTTCAAAGGAAAACGAACCCGATACTCGGGTGATTTGTTGACTCAAAACTCCGAAATCACAAGACGAGTTGGAGAACCATTGCGTTTGAATGGCCGAGTCGAAGGCTCGCAAAACTTCTACCTGGAATCGATTTGCATAAAGGCAATTAGCAATTAGCATTTGATTGAATCGATTTGCATAAAGGCAATTAGCAATTAGCATTTGATTGAATCGATTTGCATAAAGGCAATTAGCAATTTGCTACTTATCATTACTGATAGATTCAAGCGATTCCCATTTAATAGTTAACGAACAAGTGATAGCCGCTTTTTCGTTTTTTTCCCCGAAAACAAAAATACTACGGGAATGGAGGTAAAGTAATGGAGTAAACTAATCACAAAAATAATTACCTACGATTATTTCTTAAAGCTTTAAACTTCTTAAACTCTTGTAACCCCACCAAGAACTGATCATCCGCATTTGAGGCCGACTCAACCATGAAAACGACATCAGACATCAAAAAAGCTTTTGCGGTATCCGTGCAATACATTGGACTTTCTAAATCGATTTTTACAAAAATCTATAATAATTTATTAGGTTGTTCGGATATAAACGAGCGTTTGCACTGCTTAACTCGTGAGGACTGCGTTTGCACCTTTTTCCATGAATGTCCGATTTCACGGTCGGATTTGGTCGTTCTCCTGGTCCTAGTCATTTCCGTTTTCGAATAGTATTATCGAAATGAATCCACTTCTCATCTCCAGTAACGAGAGAACCAAAAAACCATGATATTTAGCGTGGCGGATGAGGATTCCGGCAATAGCGACCCGTGAAGCCTTTTTTGCACTGCTTAACTCGTGAGGAAGTCATTTCCCGCATCTGATCGTCTTTCCAATGGCGTGGAGATGCTCATCAATAGTAGAATTTGAACATAGAAAGTGTTGAGCAAGTTCACGCGTCGTTTGACATGGATCCGATTCGATTGTAGCCCTCAAAATATCGTTGTCTACCGCTTGAGGTCGACGAGAGTGTTCATGGTTCTCAAGACTTTCATCACCATTCCGAAAGCGTCAGAACTAGGCTCAGCATCGGCTTTACATCGACATCGACAATACATCATTCCCAAATGCTTTTACCAAATCTCGATGGAATTCCGCGGCTGTTTTGCTCAGTTTAAAATCGTAAAGTAGACAGACGCGAACTTGATGTTCGAAGTCGGTCATCTAAATAATAATAATAATAATAATAATAATAATAATAATAATAATACTTTATTCAAACGATAAAGTGAAAGAAATCATAGAGAAATGCACAGTGATACTTAATATATATATATATATTCATACTTTATTCAGGACATGAAATAAAGCGTAATCAGTCAGACAATACACAAATCTACACATAAATACATAGAGAAAGATGAGATATTTTACTCGGCGATGTGGAGGCGGGGGAGAAAAGAAGATAGATAGAAGATAGGCTTCTTGCTTTAATAACCCCAGGCCATGAATGGGCCAACCCAGTGGAAGAGTGAACTCCGCTAGAGAAGGGATCTCTAGTCAGCTCTAGAGAAGAGACCTCTAGTCTGGGCGCACGGGCTAGGGAAGAGAACCCTAGGGGCTGGAACCCCACACCCCTCAGTTTGGAAGTGATAACTTAACCAATACACCATGAGGGGCCCTAATACACCATGAGGGCCCCATGGTGTATTGGGGCCCCTCATGGTGTATTGGTGAAGTTATCACTTCCAAACTGAGGGTGTGGGGTTCAGCCCCCCTAGTGATACTTAATCATACAATACATACTGAAATCAATAAGCCAATTACTTACGGCAAAGAGCCACTAGATCTAAAGCATCGATACGTTTCTTGAATATGAAAAGCGACTGAATTTAAAGATCTAAAGAAAGAAAAAGATCTTAAAAATAATAAATTATCCGTTTAAAAAGATTCCAAATACGCACAAAATAACGTATTTTTTTTAAATACAGAAAGAAATTTTTTAAAAGCTTCTCTCACAACAAAAAGTTTAGCAACGCTTGTTTATATCCGAACAACCTAATATTATAATATTTGACAGAAATCGATAAAACTTTAAATACTCAGCGCTGGCTATGGCTGAACAAGCTGTACAACTTTCCGTGTACCACAGGGAATCGGTTTACAACGCTTGTTTATATCCGAACAACCAAATAAAATAGAAGTTGAATGGACTAAAGAATTCTAAGAAATCGCTAGACAAAAAAAATCAAAAATCAAAAAAATCGAATCAAATTGTTCTCTAGGTTTAAAATGCTGTTTAAGAAAAAGTAGTAAGAAAAAGAGTTTAACAGGATGTAGAATTCGTTACGCTTTCACAATCCCCTGTTTTCTAGATGATAACTACGAGCGAGCCTATCGAAAATGCTGGAACTCGGGCACAGGTCGTTTAGCTCGTTTGGGAAACGCCTATGACAACAATTTGGCACTCTACAAAGCAGCTGCTGGTTTGGGGGGAAATGAAAATATCAAGGATTTTTCTGCTTTAGCTTCAAATCAACAAAATTTCTTCTACTTTGGACTCACTTATTCGAATGGATCGTGGAAATATGCGGATGATGAGCTCAGTGATTTGCCTGTCACTTTCACAAAATGGGCACCAGGTGGATTTCGATGAAATTCTTGAATAGTTTAGGTTTAAGGGGGACTTTTTGAATGGTTAGTCAAGTCTCTCAACTGCTTATAACTTATAGAGACAATAGATTTTAAAAGAAAACATTTTAGGGTTTCAAATGAGACTAGATATTGATTGAGAGCTAGATTGGATTGATTAGTCTCGAGAAAATCGAAATCTTTTTTGTGTCACTTGATTTTACCCTTTTTAATCTATCATATTTAGATTTATGACCTGTTATAAAATGTGGTTAATTCGCGAAATTGCGGCAAACAAAAATGCTTTTAGGACCTAAATGAAATTCTTCACCTTCTAAAAAAAATTGAGCTATTTCCATAACTTGAGGTTATGTTCTTAAACTTTTGTCCGGCACTGTAGATTGGATTGATCAGTCTCGAGAAATCGAGAAAATCGAAATCTTTTTTGTGTCACTTGATTTTACCTTTAATCTATCAAATCTAGTTCTATTTAATCTCATTTGAAAGCTTGAAATGTTTGAAAATATTAAAATCAATTAAAAATTGGTGAATCTATTGTCTTTTTGTAAATCTAAGCATTCAAAAATCGAATGGTTAGTCAAGTCTCTCAAATGCTTATAACTTGAAACAAAGACAATAGATTCATCTATTTGTAATTGATTTTAAAAGAAAACATTTTAGGGTTTCAAATGAGATTAAATAGAGCTAGATTGGATCGATCAGTCTCGAGAAAATCGAAATCTTTTTTGTGTCACTTGATTTTACCTTTAATCTATCAAATCTAGCTCTATTTAATCTCATTTGAAACCCTAAAATGTTTTCTTTTAAAATCAATTACGAATAGATGAATCTATTGTCTTTGTTTCAAGTTATAAGCATTCAAAAAAACGTTGCAAAAATTGGATTTAGGTGAACCATCGAATCCGACGAGTCGCTCGTGTGCTGTGTTGAATGTCGTCGATCAGATGTGGTACTCGATGGAGTGCAGCATTGAACTACCGTATCTTTGCGACATCCCAGCTATTCGTAAGTTTTCATGGTTGATTATAAAGTTGTTAAAAGGTTAACTTAAATATTATCCTTTTAAAATTTGAAGACGATACTCCTCCATTCTGCACGGATGGAATCAACGCCGATGTCTTTCATGATCGATAACTCGGGAGATCACAATGAGACGAGAATGGTGAGGGGAATGTTGGGCTTTGACAACGGAATGTCAACTGGATGTGATGGTCAAATGACGGGCTATTTGACGCAGAATTTAACGCTGATCTGAATCTGCTTTCCATTTCTGCTATCGAGCACTCTGTCAAAAGTTATAAGGCTGCAAAGTTTTCTATGCGATTTCAATGAAAAAACAAATGTCAAAGTCTTGTTTTTTGAATTTTAATGATAGCTATTATAATAGTAAAGATTTTATCAGAAGTAGTTTAAAATAAACTTGAATTTGAAACGGAGAACGATTAAATTTGCGAGGAAAAAGGGAAAAAGCCGAAGGGCGGACTCGAACCAGAGCCCTGGAAACTATTCCTTTGGCTTGTGTTCAAACCCACTGCCACTTGGCCACGACTGCTTCCTGGGAGGGAAGGGAAATCTGCTTTATAAACTCGGGGGAGGAGTTGATTTTTGAAATCCCATACAAAACTTTACAACCTTTAACTTTTGACAGAGTGCTCGATAGCAGAAATGAAAAACAGATTCGGAATCGGCGTTGAATTCTGCGTCAAATAAACCGTGGTATATGTCATTTGGCCACCAGATGCAGCTGATATTCTTTGGTGAGTAAAATGACTCTTTTTTTTAGTTTTTGTAACAAAACTGGCTCTAGTTTGTTGAGCAAAATGAGAAATAAAGCAATTTTAGATGCACGACGTGCTTTTCGGTTTCAACTCCGTTTTGCCTAGTCAATGGTACAGTCCATCGAGCTGCGGGGATGCCGATTTGAAGAGGCAACAAATTCGGACTTTCAGGTAGACATTGTTCAAGTTTAAAACATGTAATAAATGTAAAACTATTCAGAAAATGATTTATCTAAAATTTCAGGAGTCGTTTACTTATGATAACACATATCTGCGGATAGGGACGCCGAATTTCTGTGCTGACAACTTTATCGATATGGTTGATGCGATGCACAATAATATCAAGAAACAACCGATCATCACCGATATGTTGTGTGAGTTTTGATGTGTATGAGATGTCGATTGGACTAAAAACAGATGTGTTCATGACTTCATAACTTCTAGCGCAATCAGTTCACAAAGCAAAAACAACTCACACAGAGATTTCATGGCGCTCTCTTTCATGGCGCTCTTTTCATCGGCGCTCTTTCATGGCGCTCTTTTCATGGCGCTCTTTTCATGGCGCTCTTTCTTCGGCGCTCTTTTCATGGCCTCTCTTTTATGCAGCGCTCTTTTCATGGCGCTCTTTCATGGCGCTCTTTTCATGGCGCTCTTTTCTTCATGGCGCTCTTTTCATGGCGCTCTTTCATGGCGCTCTCATGTCGGAAACGATATGTCTATTAAAGCAATCTTATCTTGAAAGAAACCTGAAAATGAAGATAGTTGGGTTCTTTTTCAGGGCCATTGATGTCGCCAAAGTGTATACGGAACGTCAACCTTGCGCCTGTCGAAGAACAAATTCTGCTTACAAGACTAAACAGATCATGATCTGGATTCCGATTAGAGATGAGTAAGTAAAAATTTAATTTGATTTTTAATTTTCTATTACCAAATCACTTACCGTATTTTCTCTAATACCCTAATACCTAAATTGCTCGGAAATCAGAACCCTATCGATGTGGGGTCGGAAAATGTAGCTGACGATGAGATCTTGCCGGTGATTCAAGTGTTGAGCTTCTGTGAAAACTTGGAAAAATATAAAATCGTCATCAACTCGGCTCACCGGGAAATATTAGGGAAATAGATCGGTCTGATCTACTAGCCTAACCTGGAATAATATACCGTCTTCTCTCTAATAGTAGTGTACCAAAGCGTCGCCTAAATTCCTCGAAATCTCGAAAAGCGCTTATCAAACCTTATCGATGTGGGGGCGGAAAATGTAGCTGTGACGATGAGATCTTGCCGGTGGTTCAAGTGTTGAGCTTCTGGAAAACTTGGAAACCGTAAAATAGTGATCAACTCTGACCCACTGCCTACTTAACTAGCTATTCTTTAAGATTTTTATTCTTGCTTCTTAGGTGCTAAGATTCAAATTGCCCAAATCTAGATACAACACGACTCGCCTAATTTCCCTCTCCGAGTTGTCCTCATGGGAGCACTATCTGCTCGACATTCGTGTCAACAAGGCAACTGCTGTAAGTCATAAGAAAAAACTGCTTATCTTGAAGAAGCATTTATATATCAGGAACATTTCTGTTGTGTTTAGAAATTCCCATTGTGGAAAGATCCATTGATGAACGATGTCTCTGTTGCCGGGTCCATGGCCCCGAATTCATTCCCACTCAAATTCTTCGTTTATGGCGTTTACTTTGCAAGTGAGCTTGAATCAATTGAAGAATTTCAACTCGTTTTTTAAATAACAAAGATCAATTTGCATTTATCTTGCATTTAATAACGTTTTTTAGTTTAACTGGCGCTGTCGGTGACACTCCGCTTCCACCATTGGTCTAGAGGAATGAAAATGTAAATAGCTTGAATAAATCATTATTTTGCAATGAAAATGAATTTCAAAAGTTTAAAAGGCTTTCTTATCTACTCAAATTGTCAGATTTTCCATTTATTATATGTGCTTGATATTAGATTTATTTAAAGTGAGGGGAGGGGAGGGGGGAGAAGGTAGAAGGGAGAAGGTAGAAGGGAGAAGGTAGAAGGGAGAAGGGAGAAGGGAGAAGGGAGAAGGGAGAAGGGAGAAGGTAGAAGGTAGAAGGGAGAAGGGAGAAGGTAGAAGGGAGAAGGTAGAATGTAGAATGTATTAATCGCGTGCCGGGCGACCATAAAAATTTTTTATTTACGGCAACCACCTGTTTTTTTTTATTTTAATATCGCTGATTTTATTATAAAAGAATAAAAATCACCCGGCGGAGCGATTTGATGTGTTCACAAATTTTTGGAGACGCTGCAAGGCTTGGAGAAAAACAAGATCAACTCAAGGACATTCAAAACTTGATGGCCAGATCGCATTGTTTTATCAGTTTGGCTGTTTAAGTATAACAACCGTAAATCGCTGACCTCTCCTTCTCTTTAACGGAACGAAAGGGAAGTCCCTTATGCTAGCGCCGTTTGCCAGATGGAGAGCGATTGTGGGCGCGCATAAAGAACATCAGTCATGGTCACCCGGCCGCGATTGTACCTTCTCCCCCTTTAAAGTAAGTACTCCAGATAGTTCTCATTCCTTTTGAGCACAAAGTACTCCAAAACATTTTCTAAACCCGCTCAAAGTCATTTTTTGTTCTAAGTCTTCTAAAAACATCAAAATTTCTGTAAACGAGCAAAAACTTAGCTCAGATTCTCCCCAGCTCAACTCTGAACTCGATTCCGAGCCTTATCAATGATTTCAAACCAATAAAAAGCTGAAAAATTCTCCTTGTTTGCAAGAGATTCTTAAAAGAATTTTCTTTTAGTGATGATTTTATGGTTGTTTTCCCTTTTGTAACAATTTTTGCTGTTTGCCCATCCGGAACTCAACCCTCACTGAAAGAGAATCAATGTCTGACGATCGTCTTGAATCAATGTGAGTTTAGTGGGCCTAGAAATGCTATGAATGCTATGAATCGAGCTTGTCTTGTCTTTTCTTAGTTTCCCATGTTGTTTACAAAAATATTCTTAGTTCTCACCGCACAAGACGGCGATTTTCGGTGCCAGAATGCTAATGGACGATCGGCTAGATTCGAGAACTCTTTCGACAATCAGTTTGCAGTGAAAGCTGCACAAGCTGGTGGGATCTAAAAAAGCAGTAGAGGGGATTGAACCCTCGATCTTTTCCAGGCAATTGCACTAACCACTGAGCTATCCGGTCCCTTGAGGGGGAATGGGGGAAGAAGAGAGAAAGAAAGAAAGAAAGAAAGAAAGAAAGAAAGAAAGAAAGAAAGAAAGAAAGAAAGAAAGAAGGAAAAAATTGCATGTAGATTGAAATTTTACGCATCTCGAACTGGTGGGAAAACCTTTTAGCCACTTCCTACGAGAGTTTCAACATCGGCATCTATCGCCTCAACCAAACATGGTTTTTCTTGGATGACAAATACAACTCAGCACCGATCAGCTATTTCAACTGGGCACCAGGTAAAGCAAAGCATATTGTTCAACTCTTAAACCTTTAGGCCAACCATCCTCTCCAAATCTTGACCTGGATTGTGTTTATTTAAACACCACCGATTCCCTGTGGTACACAGAAAGTTGTACAGCTGTTCAGCCATATTTCTGCGAATTGCCAGCACTGAGTATTTAAAGTTTTATCGATTTCTGTAGATTATTATAGATTTTTATCGATTTATCGAAAAATCGATTTAGAAAGTCCAATGTATTGTACGGATACCGCAAAAGCTGATATCTTTTTTCATGGTTGAGTCGGCCTCAAATGCGGATGATCAGTTCTTGGTGGGGTTACAAGAGTTACAAGTTTAAGAAGTTTAAAGCTTTAAGAAATAATCGTAGGTAATTATTTTTGTGATTAGTTTACTCCATTGCTTTACCTCCATTCCCGTAGTATTTTGTTTTCGGGGAAAAAACGAAAAAAGCGGCTATCACTTGTTCGTTAACTTTTAAATGGGAATCGCTTGAATCTATCAGTAATGATAAGTAGCAAATTGCTAATTGCCTTTATGCAAATCGATTCAATCAAATGCTAATTGCTAATTGCCTTTATGCAAATCGATTCCAGGTAGAAGAAGTTTTGCGAGCCTTCGACTCGGCCATTCAAACGCAATGGTTCTCCAACTCGTCTTGTGATTTCGGAGTTTTGAGTCAACAAATCACCCGAGTATCGGGTTCGTTTTCCTTTAAAAAAACGAAATTTCATTGGCATTGGTTTAGGCATTGTCTAGTACTCTGATTTAGTCATTGTCTACTACTCTGATTTAGGCATTGTCTACTACTCGACAAATGGTTCAACAATCAACAACCAGATTTTTGCAGTGATCGCTTCTCAACAATCTACTCGTCGATTATGACCGGAGGGATCACCAAAAATCCATACCCAGATATTTCTATGCAAGTAGCTTAGGTTCAAAATTAATTTAAACATTCTTTAGCCCAATTCAAGTTGCGCAAAACTACACAGAAGGGCTAAATTGTAATTGTCGACGATTGGACTCAAAATACGGCGTGAAACAGTTAATGATCTGGATTCCGAATAGCGATCGGTAAATGAATGACTAATTCTAAAGAAAAGAGTCTAGCGTAAAGTTGGGAGTGCTCTTTTTGCTTGAAAAGTTTATTTCTATTATATTTGAGCCTTTGGCAAAAAAAGCAAAATGTTTGACCGGAGGCGGATTCGAACCCTCGAACACTTGAACTCCGTGCTAGCGCGCTAACCACTCAGCTACTGTAGGCAGGGTGCTAATGGATTAAATACGGCCTAACTTCGACATAACGAACTTCGATACAACGAATTTTAATTTCTAAAACGTCAAAATTTCTGCGTAGCTGCCCCAGCCAAATGTAATCAGTGGCCGTGCAGGGCGCAGAAAATTTGAGGTACTTTTTATGTGGTTCATTAGATCGAAGTTTTTAGTCTCGAGCCGAGTTAGATCGATTTCGATTCGACTATTCTAGTTTACTCTTCTAGACTCTTATTCTAGATTACTGTCTAGTTTAGATCTAATCAATGCAAAGATTTGAAACTTATTTCGACAAGTTTTAGCGTTAAATTTTCAGTTACGAAGCCTCATCCCCGGTTTCTCTGGATCAATTACCTAGCTGGCAGCATTTCCTCTTGCCCATCAAGTTCACCAAAGCTCAAGCGGTGCATAGAAAAATTTGAACTAGAAATAGAGATAGAGATCATTGAAAATCGTTGAAAATCGTTGAAAATTGTTGAATATTATTGAAAATCGAAAATAATAGACGTATCCTTTGTGGATTGACTCAAGAATGGTTGAAATTGTGCAACCGGATCGTGACAATTTCATCCCGACACTTGTCGAATTTATATGGCAACTTTTATGCGAGTAAGTCGAGAGATTCGAATAAAACTTTTCATTAATCCTATAAAGGTTTATAAAGGCTTTTCTATTAAAAGAAATTAAACTTATTAATAGATTTTTAAGCCATAATAAGCTTTTTAAAGTGTGCTTATTCAAATTAAATCAAAATTTCCCTAATTTGCTCAAAAATTCTTTAAAATCATAGTCACTTATGGAGAAAACGCTAATTTTTTAATTTCAATTTTTCTTTTAGGCAAACGAATCAGTCTGGGCCATTACCACCACCGCCGTTTATCTAAGAATCATGAAAAGAATAAAAGATATTTAATAAATTTAGGTAAAGATTGCATAGAACAAGGAAAAGATTGCTTAGGACAAGGAAAAGATTGCTTAGGACAAGGTAAAGATTGCTTAGAACAAGACAAAGATTGCTTAGAACAAGGTAAAGATTGCTTAGAACAAGGTAAGGATTGCTTAGAACAAGGAAAAGATTGCTTAGAACAAGGAAAAGATTGCTTAGGACAAGGTAAAGATTGCTTAGAACAAGACAAAGATTGCTTAGGACAAGGTAAAGATTGCTTAGGACAAGGTAAAGATTGCTTAGAACAAGACAAAGATTGCTTAAAATAAACTTGAAAAGAAAAGAAACTTTCCCAAAAAATTCTACAAGTAAAACAAGTCATAGAATTTATTTTTAGAACTTAAGCAAACAATGTATGTTCTCATTGTTTCAAATTTCTTTTTCAGTTCACAAAAACCAATCAAACATGAGAATTTTAAACGAAAAAGAATGGCAAAAAGAGAGGAAAAAAGAGAGGAAAAACAGCTGAGAAAACATCAAATCAAAGTTCAACAACAAGAATTTTAGGAAATTCATGAAATTTTATGAAAAAACCACTCAAATCTCAATGAAATACTTGTAAAATTCAAAGATTTTACAAAAATTACAAAATTTTCGACTTTCTTTACAAGCTATGACTTGTTTTCGCTTGTGATTTTGTCAAAAGTAAAAGCAAAAAACGAGATTTGCTAATTTGCTCAACTTTGAAGACATTGAAAGCTGTGTAAACAATGCCAAAATTTACCAAACTAGCCAGTTTTTTTTTTGGTAAATGACAAGCATTGGGTATAAAAGTGGTTGAAATTTAAAAGAAAAAGCATTCATTCAGCAGATTTCCTTTGAGATTCCCTTCGAGATTTCCTGAAATTTCCCGAAATTTCCTGAAATTTGCTTAAACCAGAGTTTTCTCTTGAAGAAATGGCTCGTTTAATTCTTCCCGTTTTCATCGTCGCTTTCGCTGGTGAGATATTTGAAAGTTTTTTTGGAGAAAAAACACTTATTTAACAGAGTTTCTCTTTAGATTTAATTAAATTTAAAAACATCAACTTCACTGGAAAAAAAAACACTTATTTAGCAGTGTTTCTCTTTAGATTTAATTAAATTTAAAAACATCAACTCATATCCTCAAAAAACACTTATTTAACAGGGTTTCCCTTTAGATTTAATTAAATTTAAAAGCATAAACTTCACTAGAAAAAAAAACACTTATTTAGTAGTGTTTCCCTTTAGATTTAATTAAATTTAAAAGCATAAACTTCACTGGAAAAAAAAACACTTATTTAACAGAGTTTCTCTTTAGATTTAATTAAATTTAAAAACATCAACTCATATCCTCAAAAAAACACTTATTTAGCAATGTTTCCCTTTAGATTTAATTAAATTTAAAAACATCAACTCCACTGGAATTTTTCATATTCTAATTCAGATATTTTTATTGCAATATCAAACTTATCATTACAAATCTACATTTTAAAAAATCCTCTTTCAAAATAAACGTAAAAACGTAAATGAGATTTGATTGGAAATTGAGCTGGCAAAAATTGATCACAAAGTTCAGGTGTTGCTATGGTGTTTGGATGCTCGGATTTGTCGTCGAGTTGCTCGTATTGGCAAGTGAATTTCTTCTGCAATAACACCAATTACACATTGGCGCAAAGACAAAAATATTGTGGTGTTACATGTGAGTTTTTTTTTTTTTCTCAAAGAGTTACCCAAAGTTTCCTAGGCAATCTCTGCAATGCGACGACGGGAAATTCGACGTGCGGAGACAATGCTTCATCAGCTAGGTGAAAGAGTCAAAGACTGATATTGATAAAGAGCTGAAAGCGTGGCCAAAAGTTTTCTAAAACGCGTCAAAGCTACGATAATCTTACACAAACTATTCTTTTCAAATTAGCATTTATGAAACTATTCAGCTGCACCGCTTGGATCGCAAATGGTTTCTGTTCGTCGTCTTTCTACTCACTGAGCACTCGTCAACTCTACTGTGGCACGAGTTGTTCGCTTTGTTAATCCAAAGAAAACTTTTCCAAACTTTTCTCATTTTTGTTATTGTACAAAGTTGTAAAGCCAAAAGCTGACAAATAAACAAAAATATTTTTCACCGGATGCAATAAGATTTTGCCTTTAAATGATCCCAATCAGCAGGGGTCTTCGGGGAAAAAAAATCACCAAAAAAAAAAGAAATTGGAGAGATAAGAAAAATTGAAAGGAGGTTTAGCTCAAGCTGGTTTTAAATTCGAGTAATTTTTTGGTGAATCCAACAAATTATCGATGTTACACATCGTTTTCGTCTGTTTATTTGTTTTGGCGCAAGCAGGTTGCCCGGATGGGAGTGTCGATAATGGGAATGGAGGGTGTTTACGAGGAGCCAAAACTGGTGAGTTGGCAAAATTGCTCGCCAAAAGCGTCAGAGCAATTATTGATTGATTTCGTATAAACTATGAGTTAAGCTTAGGCTTAGGCTTCGTCTAGAATTGTCTAAAGCGAAACGCGCTGTCGTCAGAGCTTTCCATTTGAGCTTTTTCTCTTGACATTGAATGTGGCCTAATGTGGCATTGAAATGCGATTTTGAGTTGTATTTCCTTTTTAATTACAAACGCAATTTATAAAAATATTTATCTTTTTATATTTTTGTCATAGATTTTAAAAGAGGCTAATTTTTGGGAGGGCAATGAAGATTGCGCCGAATGGAATTGCCATTGACCAGAGTCTTCGTTTTGTACGAGTCTGGTATCAAAATGTAGCCCTTCAATTCGGCTACACGATCGTATAAAAAACGTTTAGAAAAACTGTTGTTTAGTACAAGAAAAATGGCCGCAAAGTGAGAGCGCCGACTGTACATCGCAATACAAGCAACGACGTACCGTCTTTTGTATGGGTGTGTAGTGCTGGTGCTCTCAATTTGCGGCCATTTTTCTGTACTAAACAACAGTTTTTCTAAACGTTTTTTATACGATCGTGTAGCCGAATTGAAGGGCTACATTTTGATACCAGACTCGTACAAAACGAAGACTCTGGTCAATGGCAATTCCATTCGGCGAAATCTTCATGGTTTCAATTTTCAAGCTAATTTTTCCTGAATCAATCTGATTTTGAGAAAGCGCTTGATCCAGAGTTCTTAAATTTTCCCAAAATAAACTAGAAGTGCGGCGATTTCTTTCGCAAATTCATCTCAAAATTTGGCTTTCACTTCTAAACGTCTGCTTCGTCTCGAACAGTAAGATTATCAGCTTATAGTGAACAGGGAAGATCAGTGAGCATTCAGTTCATTCACTTATCGATATAATTTCAAAAACAATAGAAATTCAATAAACAATAAACAAATAAAGGTTCTTTTTTTGATCTAATACGGTTCCAATACGATTCCAATGCGGTACCAATACGGTTCCAATACGGTTCCAATACGGTTCTTTTTTTTGATTTAATACGGTTCCAATACGGTTCTTTTTTGATCTAATACGGTTCCAATACGGTAAATTTCTCCAAAAAAAAAAACAAACCCATTTCAGCGACTCCTTTTATCTACGCCGAGTCAGGGTGCTCGTTGGCGGGCGGTCATTTAAGCTCAATCACGAGCGCTTTCGTTAATGAAGTGATCAGAAGTTATGTGGCAGGTGTAGTGTTAAATATAAATTAAATAGTAAAATAATCAAAGTGTGCCAAAGAGAAACAAAGTATACTTTAAAAATCTTTCTAGGCATTAGCGGTCAATCGTTTCTGATCGGTTTACAGAGGAATTGGAATGGATGGGCGTGGAGTGATGGGAGTTCGGCACAATATCTCAACTTTGATTCAGGTAAATGACTTGATAAATTGATTTTTTAGCAATATTACAAAAATCTAAAGCAAATTCAAACACGTTCAGGTGAACCCGGCAACGACTCTTGTGTGTTGATGAGCGCTTTGAGCGGAAAATGGCGTACCACAGCGTGTCATACGACGAATCCCTTCGTTTGCACTCTTTCAACTATTCAAAGTTGGTTGAAATTGGACACTAAAACATTAGCAAATTGAAGAATTGAGTGCACGAGTGCACTAAGAAAAGTTGTGTTTCAAATTTTTGATTATAAAATATGTAAAGAAAAACTCTTTAGTGGCACCAAGTCGACCAAGTTGCCCATCCGAGTGGACGTACTATGCGAGCACAAAATCCTGCTATTTTGTGAGTAATTTATTAATGGTTTTAGAAATAAAGAATAGAAAAAATGCAATAGAAATTGCAATTACCGTAATAATTCTAATAGAAGACCAGTCTCTAATAGAAAACCAGTCTCTAATTGAAAACCCAGTCCCTATTAGAGGACCACCCCCCGGCCCCTTGAAGCGGGTTTTAAAACTTCTTTTAGGTGAATGATGGATTTGGGTCCAGATAGTAATATTTTTGCCCCCGCAGTTAAATTGGGGCGGTGTTTTGAAAATTTTTAAATTTCTTTTTGAAATTTTATGGCCCCCCCGGGTGGTTTTTTTGAAAGATTTTCTATGGGGCCGGGCCGGGAATTTTTTTTCACTTTTATTACTTTTTTGTTTTGGGCCAAGGGCTATCGTTTGAAATTGTTTTTAACATTTTTTTTTTTTTTTTGTGGGGGGACCCTTACCTCTTTTTGCCGATCAATTTTGGGGGTTGAAATTTAGAAGACCATGGTCTTCTATTAGAATTATTACGGTAAGTAGAATCACATTTTAGAAAGGCAAGATGAAATCGTGGCTGGACGCGGAGAGCGATTGTGTCTCTCGGGGTGGACATCTCGCGTCGATTCACACAAAAGACGAAGCCGACTTTGTTACAGGTTAATAAATTTTTGTTTATTGTAATTGTATTTTCGAGTGTATTTTCAGTATTTCAGTATTTTCTACTTAAACACTCTAGGCATGGCTCAGATTGACGCAAGTTGTCAATTATGCAGTCAACTCAAGCAACGCTACCGAATGTGGATTGGTGGGCAAACGATTAATGGGTAAGAATGGGGGAAAAAGATCTAAGTTCTGTTATAAATTGAGTTTGAAAGGTGGAGAAAGAGTTTTAGAAATTGGGCTTGGACTGATGGAACACCGTACGATTATTCACCGTATGGCTTACCAGCTGATCGGGATTACTTTATGATGGTAAGCTGAGGCTTTATACTCCTCTTTAGTTTCTTTATAGTTCCTTTATAGTTATTTTATAGTTCCTTTATAGTTCCTTTATAGTTCCTATTTAGTTTCTCGATAGTTCCTATTTAGTTTCTTCATAGTTCCTTTATAGTTCCTAACTAGTAAAGAATCGAGAAAATCGAAGAACCAAAAACCCAGTCGATGGGAAGTACCTTATGCTAGGACGGTTTGCCAGATGGGCAGCGATTGTGTGCGCGCACAAAGAACGATTTACAGGGATTCTTCAAATGATACAAAAAGATATTCAGTTGTGAATTTGTACTGGATTTTCGATTAGAGCTCTGCATTTTATTGAGTCTTAGAACTTGAGAACAATGCTTTTATTTTCGACTTTACTATCATTTTCGTCTCTATTTAGGAGGAAATTCGATGAAAATACGATATTTTCCAGGTGAATACCGACAGTGATTGTCGTGAGGATCCATCAAGCGCTTACGGTAATTGGATACTTTCTGTGCAAAAGACTGTGCTCAATGATTTCTATATTTGTAAAATGGCGGCCAATATTTAATAATGAATACTAGAAGATTTACTTAATGCAAAAATGAAAATTTTACGATTATTTGTATAATAAATGTTTTTTTTTTTGTTGAAAATGCAATGAAAAATTTGATTTAAAAGTTTATTTGATGGAATTTATGCAAACGAAAAACGGAAACACACTTTTTCTGGTGCATTGAGCCCATTAAACTTTTCTATTTTCTAATGGAAATTCGTTTTTTATGAATATGACGAATTCAGTGCATTGGAAAGGGTGCGTTTACACATTTTTCACCAAAAAATTATATTTTTTATCTTTTATCTGGTACATTTTTCATGTCGTTTTCGCACTTTACTTCTTTCTAAATACAGTCGAACCTCTCTATAACGTAACTCACGGGACGGCTATAGCTTACGTTATATAGAGTACCGTTTTATATAGCTTAACGTCAGCCGGGACCGGTCACGCCTTACGTTATATAGAGGTTTACGTTATATCGAGTTTTGTTATAGAGAGGTTCGACTGGATTTCGAAATATTTATAAACTACTATTTTTGGTGACTTGGCAAAAAAAAAAACTCAATTTTCTAGAAATATTTCTTTTTTTGGTGGCGTTGAGGTTTCTCTATAGATAAAGTGATTAACGTTTTTTCCTAGAAGTTCGATCGTTTAAGAGAATTTTCGAATCTGGATAAGAAATCTTTTTTTTCCTTTTCCCTTTTCACCATTTGCTATGAATGAGAAACAAGCGTCAAAGCCAAGGCGTTCGTTTTTTGTCAATTCAAAAGTTTCAAAGCTTTAAACACCTTTTTTTATTCAATTAACTTATTTTCTCTAATAGTAGTGCACTCCAGCGAGCCAAGTTGGTGACAATTTTACAGCTTTCAAAGTTTTCACAGAAGCTCAATACTCAAATCTCCCACAAGATCTCATCGTCAGATACCCCACATCGATCGGTTCTGATAAGCGCTTTTCGAGATTTCAAGGAATTTAGGCGAAGCTTTGGGTGCACTGCTATTAGAGAGAAGACGGTATATTATTCCAGGTTAGGCTAGTAGATCAGACTGATCTATTTCCCTAATATTTGCCGGTGAGCCTAGTTGATGACTATTTTACATTTTCCAAGTTTTCACAGAAGCTCAACACTTGAATCACCGGCAAGATCTCATTGTCAGCTACATTTTCCGACCCCACATCGATAGGTTCTGATAAGCGCTTTTCGAGATTTCGAGCAATTTAGGCGAAGCTTTGGGTGCACTACTATTAGAGAAAATACGGTATATCGATTCGTTTTCTCAAAATGAATACTCCCAATCGATTGCCCGATCCCGAAAACTCTTGGGTACAAATTTACAGCTTTCTTCTTTCTATATCTTCTTTCTATACCAGTTACAAAGCAAAAGAAGAACTGTAAATGACTTTGTGTTCTTTGTGCGCGCTCACAATCGCTCTCCGCCTAGCAAACCCTCTCAGTAGAAGGTTTTCGGACCCCGGGCCGTCGACTGAGCCGATTTTCGATTTCTTTCCGTCACTATGCCCAAATTCTTAGGATCAACTTTTGCCTTAAATTTCTCTTTATTTCTGCTACAAAATCCACTTTTGCACATAGAAGTTGACTAAAAAATACATGAAATTTCGTAAAAAGTCATTTTTTTACGCGCTCCAGACGTTAATTCTTGAAATTAACTTAAAATTCGCATATTTTTACCCAAGGACATTCATTTTTCTAAACCGAAATCAACTTTGAACAACTTTCCGATACGATTCTTTTAATGGTGTCAAGGTTTTGCTCTGACATTTTGGGGGGGGTGGGACAAATGCGACCTTTTTTGCGCACCTGGACATTTGCGCACCTTTTTTTTTTGCTGGAAAAGGCCTTAGGAAAGGTCGTAGAGCTTCAAAGCGGAAAAGCGTTAAGTTGCGTAGTTTTTGCCTTTTAGCCAAAATTTAACGTGTCAGCGAGGTCTGATTTGTCGAAATTCGGAATCTACGCATACGATTCCCCTATATGCAAATATTTTCGAAGCTCTAAGGCCTTTTACAGCAAAAAAAAAAGGTGCGCAAATGTCCAGGTGCGCAAAAAAAAGGTCGCATTTGTCCCACCCCCACATTTCTTTTTCACATTCACAATCGCTTGGAAAATCTTTTGATTTTTAAGCTTTTTTTTTTCTTTGGTTTATGGCTTATTTTGTAGAAAAATCTTAATTTTCCAAAATCGCATTCAACACTTTTCAAAAAAGAGCTTTTGTAAAAAATTTTCTGATTTCAACTATCAAAAGGGTCGACGACCAACAGAAGCGAAATAAATGCTTTTTTTGGTTTATTTGATTCTAAAGTTAGCAACTTCTATTATGACATTTTTTATAGTAAAGAATGTTTTTTAATAAGTTTTGTTTCATTAATATATTAGGTTGATGCATAAGTCTTTTCGTTTTTTTCGTACTTTTGTTAAAAAGTAACGAATTCACGAATTAATCTATAGTTTGCTCTATAAAAAAAGTGTTTTTTTTGTTCAATTTGCATCTTTTTAAATGAATTTCGGTTCACTTTCAAGCAAATTCGAGAGTGAAAAACGCCTTTTTCGTAAAAATCTATAAAAACTCTACGGAAAAATTGGCTGAATGAATTTCTCTGAAATTTTGGCGAAATATCAAACGTTTTTTTTTCTCTATCTTTTATCTATTGACACGAAGATAGGTTTTCTTTAGCTAAGGTGTCTAAACCGCATCATCGAGTTAGCCCTTTTTGACTACCCGACTTCATACTCGCAAGAAAATCCAGGCATTAAATATTTTTAAACCCGTTTTAATGTTATTTTGCAGAAAAATAATTCGTTTTTCTAATGAAATCAACCGTAGTTTAATTGATGCATTTGTTGGCTTGAAACGGCAGACGAAAAGGAACAAAAACACTTATGCATCAACCTAATAGCTTTTGAACGTATGGAAAATATCTTTAGCCAAAGTTTCGAATTGCAATCGCAAAAGTTGCACCAAAAATTTCACTTATTTGTATTTCACGTATTTCACAGTCCTGTAGAAACAAGTTGAATGTATTTTGAAAAACTTTTGACATTTTTATGTCGAGAAAAGAAATCGATAAATGTTTGTTTTCAAAATATTGATGTGTAGACAAAACTACATCACACAATTTTGCCAAGTTCTAGAAGAAGAAGAAGAAGAAAAAAAATGATAGAATCACGGTGTGAACCTTTCTTTTTTTGACTACCTTCATGAAATTTCTGATAACGGGGTCTTTCGGGGTTTTCTCCTTTTTTTTTTTTTCTTTTGAATCTTAAACCTGATCAGCTACGCAACCCATCCTTGGCGCTAAAATGTTTAAGCCTGCTCATTTGACGAATTGATTTTTTGATTTAGAAATAGAAAAAAGATAGCTTGAGATATAGCAGGATAGTCTCGAGTTTCTTATTTGTATCCTTATCGATATCTTGTTATATCCCGATCTTATCCATTATCAGCTTTTCTCTAGGATTTTCTCAAACTTTATAAACTTTTTGCAGGAATTCTTTTCTATTACCATTGTATTGTTTTAACTTTTCTACAATAATTGACAATGCCTTGTGGTAGATTGGCACTAGTCTATTTGGGAAGCCTAATTTTTTTTCTTTCGAAAACACTTCTGAGGTAGTTTTATGCGGAGATTCCGAAAAACAAACGAGAGCTTGGCAAAAGGCGTTTTAAGCCAAGTTTCGGGGCTCGAAAGTACGCGCTCATACCGTGTGATGAGAGCGATACATATAGGGAAAAGGTCTAAAAATGGTCTCTCAAAACATTTTATGAAGCCAAAAAAAACACCAAAAGCATAATTTAACCTACTGATTATGTTTCTAATCAAATTGGAACAAAATTTTGACGATGTGGTCCCACGCACGAGTCAAAATCCCAAAAAAAAATATTTTTTCAATTTCTTTTTACCTCTACCAGTCAATTTAAGTTAGAAAATGAATATTTAGTGGTTAGAAATGGTTTTGGCTTTAGTTTTGCCCTTGAAAATTGCCCCAATATTCGATACCTTGGGCTTCCATATAGTAAGTACACTATAGAAGCGCGCACTTTAAAGCCCCGAAACTCGGCTTAAAACGCCTTTTCCCAAGCTCTTGTTGTGTTTTTCGGAATCTACGCCTAAAACTACCCCAGCAGAAGTGGTTTTGAAGGAAAAAAGCAAGGCATAGTAAACTAGTACCGGTAGATTTACTCATTTCTTCTAGCATGCAATCGTTTCTATTTTTATTTCTATTTCTATTTCTAATTTTCTTTCAAGATTTATTTACGTAATCAGTTAAAATATTTTAGAATTCGGAAAATTTCCCGGCAGCACGAGCCGATCATCGAGGTGGTGGAGGCGTTGTCAAATGGCGGGCAGCACGAGGGGAAAAACGCGATGAAAGAAATGAGCGCTGAAAGGAAATTGACAATGGGGTCACCTGGAGAAGCGAATGGGGAAAAGTTGGGTGTGGAGATGAAAGAGATGAAGGAAAAGGAGAAAGGAGGGCCACAAAAACCCTCTCCATTTTCGGCTCTTTTGGGAAGAGTGAGGCCTTCTCCTCCATCACTCCTCACAACCACATCCACTTCCGATTCGTCCACCCTCTCCCCATCGTCTTTTTCTTCTTTCAATTCTGCCACTCCCCGTATGCGAGCCCGACCACCGGTACACCCAAACGCAACAACGACAACAATATCAAGTGGGTGACATTTTGCGTGATGTATTAGCTAAATTTTATCACTCTCCAATTCTTTGATTGATATATTAATTAATTTTTTTTATCATTCTAACCCTTGAGCCATAACCTTCGCCATAACCATTCTATTCTATTTGTACTCTTATTACTTTAACTAAGCTGAGCATGGGCATAAACTGATCCTTGTTTTCATCAAAAATTCACTGCTTGAGCTAAAGTTGAAATTTTTTTCATGTTTTTTTCCCTAGACCCCTGAAAAAAGAGCTCTTATCGCTTTTCCTTTGATCTTTTAGATGTTCATGAGGGTATAAAAAAAGAAAGCTTGGCTCCAAATTTAGCGATTGTTTGTAGCTAAATGGATGGGCGCAATTGGCTGAATTTGTTGAAAAAGATCTTCATGTTGCATCTATTTTGAGTTAAATTACGATAGCTTTCTAATGCACTCTTTAGGAAACAAATTAGTCGAAAGAGGCGATCTAATAGCCTGCCAGAAAGAGTGCATTTTGAGCAAAAAGTGCAGAAACAAGTCTAACATCTAATAGTCTAATAGTCTAATAGTCTAACATCTTCAGAAAGCCTAAAGCAACACCGAGCAACCTTTTTGAGTCAATGTTTACAGCACTAATATGAAACGATTCATCTACGTTATATGCTTTCCCCTTTTCAAAACGGTTGAATATCTTTTTTTTTTCTTTTGTTTACCAATCGAGTCATCCCTTCCTGTGCTTATCGATGTCACTCTTTCATCCACTGCATTGATCATTTCAATATTTTCAACAAAATTCAATCATGTTTGGTATCATTGAGTCCCTGATTTCAACGATTTATATCATCTTTTTCTATATTTTCTTATTCGGGGGAATTTTGATCCTTTTGATGACATTTTTGGATCCAGATTGGTGTAAGAAAAAGCTGCATCGAAGTTGGTTATACAAAAGATTAAAAACCAAGATAAAGTGCACTTTAACATTGCATTTTATTCAATTTTTATATTCAGATGACGGTTTGGGTAACAACAACGAAAACACTGTGGCTCTTCAGCAAAAGATCACAGAGCTCGAGGTCCAGGTGGAGGCTCAGAATGGGGAATTGGTGAGATTATTAAAATACGAAAATCACTAGGAGTTGTTTTTAGCTTGTGCTCCGAGCCTCAATGGCCGATGTTCTCCGACGTTTGGCCAAGCTGGAGGGTGATGGAGTGAGTGAGAGCCAAACTTCGACCCATCGAAGGAGTCCGCACAGGACAGGTGATATAATTGTTGAATTGAACCACAGTCTAGTTTTTTGGTATTATCAGCTCTCTAATAGTAAGCGCCTTCTTGTTTCCAGTTACTGCAATAAATGAAACTTTGTCGATTTGTTAAACTACGATTTTTTTTCCTGTCATTTGACTAAAACTGATTGATTTATTAACCGAATGATGCATTTGTTTACTTTCAGTGCATCAATCCCCCTCAAGATCATCGATCAGTTCTGCTTCAACCACCACGACAACGAATCCGATGACTCAATCTCTATATGTTCCCGCGGGAGTTGATGAGGTTCAAAAAAAATGGAATTAAACGGAAAAAGGACTTTTTACAGAACCATACTTTTCGCCCGATCTCCACCCTTGTCAACGTGTCGATGGGCAGAAGTCCGAGAGGTGCGTTAGAGGCTGTAAATTTTGTCGATCATATCTGCCATAGTGAAACACCAAAATCATTGCCATCTTTTAGGCTCTCCAATTCGAAAGTGGATGTCCTCTTATGATATGAAAGATGCGCAGAGCAATCAAACGCAGGTACGGATTATTTAGAAAAAAAACAACTAAACTATTGACAACTGAATACAAACAGTCAGAGGGTGAGCCGATAAATGGCACGCCGAAGAAGTTTCGAAGAAAGGTACAGCACGAAAAGTTCATTGTGGTCGAATGCTACAATTTCTAGCTAAACTTAAAGAAAATGGTGTCATTTCATCATAGGTCATTGGTTGTACTAAAAAGTTAAAGCTCTGGTGTTGGCTTTATAGTTTAAGATAAAACCCGTTTAGCCCTCTTCAACTTTCTCTCCACTTTCCCGAAAACAATCCGCCAACTCGATCAACAAGACTGCTTCGACGCAGAGGTAAAGAAATCACTCTATTTTTAAAACCAATCATTATTTATTAAAGCTCTTTACTTTTAGCCTTGTTTCGGCAAATCTGGGAATTCCGAATGCGTCAACGGTTGGCCGAGGAGTGAGGTTTGTCGATCGAATTGTTCGAGTGATTGTCGTATTGTGTTATTTGTAGTACTCGTAGCCCCTCCTACAACAGTTTGGCATCGTCGAGATTGTTGAGAAAGTAAGGGTTTTGTGTTGATTTAAATTACACAAGCATGACAGCTTTTAGGTTGGTGTAATAGCATTTGAACACAAAAAAAAAAGTTTAAAAAAACCCATTAACTCAATGATTTTGTTTACAGTACAGTGCCAAAGGAGCCAACATTCACTCCATCAACTCACATTCTTCACGTGATGGTGAACGGGAGAACGGTTGCGGTGCCAGTGCCTGAAGAGGTGACCGAATGGAATTTGCATCAAGAACAACCACCCCCGCCCGGCCTATCACCACGTATTGATTGGGTGTATGGTAAGTTAAACAAATAACGGGATCTAGTTAAAAAAAGCGCCGAATAGAAAACGTTAAAAACAACGCCGTCAAATTTCTCACAATCCAAAAAACCAAGCTGGCTTTTTATACAAAGTTTTATACGAAAAAAAAATCCTTGCTTTCTTGGCTACATGATGGTGAAAAAAGTTTTCTAATATTCTAATCTAATATTTCATAGATAAAATTAGCGTTCAAAATTTGTGTCGATTGAGATCGGTTAACAGAATATCTTTTGAGATTAATTTTGAGTGCTAATTTTATGATAAGCAGTTGGTTAACTGAATATCTTTAGAGATTTTGAGTGCTTTTTTTTATCTATGACTTTTTAAAAAAAACTGTTTCACCCATCATTTAGCCAAGGAAGCAAGGGATTTTTTGGTATACTTGAGCCGGTTTGGTTTTTTGGATCATGAGAAATTTGACGGCGCTGTTTTAACTACATCCCCAAATAACTTATAATTTTCTTTCATTTTTTTTATGATCTAGGCCTTTCAATCAAAGAGACCGGTGATTGTGTGCATCAACTGTTGACCGCGGAGATTGTGTATCCGGTGGGAACACTTGCCGTTCTCTACAATCGAGAGGATCATTGTCAACGACATTACACCCAACACACATCGGAAATTCGATCGTGGGTTTTAAAGGTTAAAACAGTTACACGATTTTTCTTAGAATTGCTATGCATCCGAATCGTCGAATCGTCGCCAGCGGGCAGACTTCAAGGCATACATTAGGGCGATCAAATGGAAGAACAAGATCCCCGGTCTCTCCTCCACACGACTCCGAAGTGGCCTTGTGCACCGGGGAGACACAAGCTCATGTCAGGTACGTTTAACTTCTAACATTTCTTTGAAACTGACTTTCTATAATTTCTATAATGGTATTTTTCTTTCTAGATTGTGGGACTCTGTCTCATTGACAACCCTACATGTGATCGGGACATTCGATCACTGGTTTGAGCGATCGATCTCATCGCTGGCTTTCTCTCAGGCTGATGGAGGGGGTATACGCCCTACAATCAATTCAAAGTCTACAAATATTTAAGCTCTGCTGGCTTGTGTCGACGAGGGCTATCAGCACATGTTGACCGTTTGGGATTGGAATCAAAAGAAGAAAGTTGCCGAGGCAAAGGTTTGTCCGTTGAGTCGATTGAATCGTGTGTTTTGTAGAGTGCAAGCGATTCAACGACGGGTCTCCACTTCCATTCCCATCAACGTAACTCGATCATTCAATATGGCAAAGGGCATTTCTCTTTCTGGACACTTGATATTCGGAAACAGACTCTCGACAAGATCAGTGCCACTTTTGAGGTAAAAAACACCAGGATTGGGAATAGACTTTTTTGTTTAACAGTAGGAAATAACTTTTCGAACGACAGGCAAGAATTTTAGGGCAGAGATCGACCAAAAGCTGTTCTCTCAATTTGTTTCCCCGACGAGTCAACGGTTGTTGTCGGCGATTCGAACGGTTCAATCTCGCAATGGAACGTGAAAAGTGGGAAAATGATGCGTATTCAGCAAGGGATTCACCCGGGTGGAGTGCTCGTATTGGGTAAGCGAGAAATATTATGGAAATGAACTCTTGTTTTCAGCTATGATCTCTGCCGAGCAATTCGTGAGTGGTGGTGTGCAGAAAATGCTCTATCCGTTCGATACGACCGATTTTGTACGCAGCGGAGTCCCGATTGTGGTATAAAGCTTTAAATTTTTGTAGTTTGTGCTCGCAAAATCGAAAAAAAACATTCCTTCTGGTGTACTCATTTCAAAACAAAACGTACAACCCGAGAAAACCTGATAGTTAATGCATCAGAGAGAATTTGATTGGTATTTTAGAGCACAATAGGATTGTTCTACTGGTTTCTAGACACCTAGGGTCTGCCTTATTAGCCACGAAAGATCAGACAAAACCAGAGCTAGAGCAGAAGCCAGCTTGAGGTCTGGCTTCTATTCTAGCCAGGACAGGCCAAGACCAGGCTCTGGTGGCTCTGGTGAGAAAAAAGCGTTTTATAACAACTTTGTTTTAGAACAAAGTCCCGATGCAGTCTAACTACAATACTTTTTTCTTAAACAAAGCAATCTATTAGCTAAACTTTAGCTGCCCGAAAACTGCATCAATCTTCGTTCACTTTCGGTTTGTCGTGACGGATCGATGCTGATCTCGATTGGCGACAATAAGATTTTCCACGGTGATCAGCAAAATGGTTTTCAATTGGTTGTCGAGGTTGGTTTTGAGAAATGGTTGGCAATTATCGTAAAAACTCTAATAGATGCCCACCCCCTGACCCCACGAAATATTGACTTTTGACCTTTGACGAAAATTATTTCACTTTTAAATGCGTTTTTCGTACGTTTTAGGCCAAGGGCTATCACGTAAAGTGGTTTTTATGAAGAAAATTTTCGATTCATCTGCAGCCTACTACTTTTTCGGCTGGCTGATTTTGGAGGATTGAAAAATACAAGCTCATCGGTTTCGATAGGAATTTTTACGGTATCCTTTTCAGGGAGACGATGAAGAGATCTCATCAATCAATGTGAATCCCCATACACCCCGTCTCTTATGCACATCGAGATCTGGGTTGGCTAAAGTGTGGGACACAGAGGAGCGGCGATTGATATGGAGTAAATATTTCGAGGTACGAAAACATTTGCAACTTCTTGCCCAGCTAGGTAATTGAACAGGAGATTCAAGACTAATTTTCATACAGAAATTTGATTCCAGGACGGAATCACCGGCTCTTCGTACTCCCATTGTGGGGCCTACATCGCGCTGGGGACCGAGTCGGGTCGAGTGCTTGTCGTTGATGGGAATTCGAAGTAAATTTATAGCTTAAAATCAGTTATTGTAGGCTCTGGAGCAGATTTCATCAGACACTTGCAATTTTTTTTTTAGAAGCCTTCTTTTCGACTCCAAGTACAGCACCCAGCCGATTGTGACAGTGAGATTCTCGCCAACATCGAACATCCTCGCCGTTTCCACAAAAGTACTCAAAAGGAAAAGTAAACATTTAATAACTAGTAGAATTCTTTTAGGAACCGTCGGTTCTTTTACTCCGATCTTCATCCTCAAAAACTTATTCGAATCACGCGCGAATCGCCACCCTTCCATCACCCGTCAATTGCATCGATTTCTCTGAGGACGGGCAAATGCTTCGATTCACCACAACTATCGGACATTTGTTGTTTTGTAAGTTGCTAAGTATTTTCGTGAAAATTCTTTGCTTTAGTCTCACTGCAAGGCGATTCGGTGACAACAGCGGACGCTCGACAAATTCGTTGGTCCAGTGGGAACTGTGTGGCGAGTTTTGAGGTAAGAACAGACAATAAAGTCTTATTTAATACACAAAACTAATGAAAATTCGAAACTAGATGATCTTCAGTTTGTGCAGCTCATCGAGCATCGATTTAGGCTTCGATCGGTGCCTCATCAACAGGCAGTGTCACAGCGGGGTGTTTGGGTGGAAACGAGAAAAATCCGTTGGTTGTATTGGGGCGGCAAGATGGCACAGTTCGACTCTATTCGTCGCCGGTGAAAAGTTGTGAGGCTGGATTTCACGAGTTGAGAGCTGGAGCGGCTCCGATTACACAAGTAATTTTGAACTTGAAGATCCTTGAGAAACCCGGTCTTATCATTCTAGCCGAAGCTGAGGTTTTTAAAAAACAAGGAGACTTGTTTTCCTAAGCAATTAAACACATTTAGCTCTAATCGTTTGGATTTGAAAGACAATGAATTAATTCTTAATTTACATAGGTTTCCTCTAAAAACGATTCCCTCTTCACCACTGCACAGAATGGAGTTTCAGTGTTGCAATGGAAATGTTGATCTTGGTGTTGATAGTCAAAGAAAGACTACTGATGATAAATATTATACGGTTTATTAAAAAAAAACGCACACAGAAGTTCTGGGTTTCATTCAAAAACGATGTTCAGATCCAATTTGACGTTTTTTTTTGCGATCCATTCATTGATGTTCAACGAAAATAGGAAAGGCCAAACTCATTCGGATCTTTTTCAAAAGAAAAAAAAAATGAGAGAAAAAGGAATCCTAGTGAATAATTAGTTCCCAAGTCCCGGTTAATTACCGACCCGGTTTTCAATAGAAAAAAAAAGACACATGAAAAACGCAAAAAGAACTCAGAGGGAAATGAAACGAATTCGACCCAAATTTTTTTCGGAATTTCTTTCTCAATTTCGATCTCTGCATGAATTGAGTCATTTTTTTTTTGTGTTCCGGTTTTGCAATTTGGGTTTAGAGAAGAAAGCCCACAAATGGCGTCATGCAAAAAAAAGAAATTGGTAAATTGACTAGATTGGTCTTCGGAATGAGCATGTAAGTAAAATTTCGTTCAGTAAGCGATTTTCCTAGAAAATTCACAAATTTTCATTCGATTTTTATTTTTAAAATGCGCATCGTTATCAATGTCATCTGTTGTCAAATTGCTTTTCTTTAGGCAATGGCAAGAAGTCTGAGTCTCATAGTTAGCTTCTGGCCTTTCCTAGCATGACTTTGCTGCAGATCTGGCTCACGAAAATTGCCAGAATGTACAGAAGTCCAAGACCTGGTTTCTGATTGGATTCCGGTCTAGCCAGGTCTAGCAAACGATTCTAAACAAGGATCGTGTTGAAAAAACGCGGTTTAAGATGTCTTTTCTAGACGTCATCAGAACATGGAGCCACTTTTTGCAAGAGAATTAACCGTAGTGAGTTGTGTTTTGAAATCAAAACACACCCTCCCACACGCAATTCCTTATTCTTTCATTTGGGAAAGAAAAAGGCTTTTTAGGGAAATGAAAAATGTCCTATAGATTCGTAGCATAGCTCTTTAAATGGCGCATGGATTCACCACAAGTTGAAACACTTTTTTTTTTTGAATAGAACAAGTTGATTTTGTTTCTTCCAACCGCTTAAGCCGACTATAAGTCTAAGCAAGGCCACGTTTTGAATCACCTAAAAAATAAAAATAGAGCCATAGTGAAATTTTGTGTTTTATCCCATTAGCTGGTTTAAGTGCTTGAAAAACAAAAAAATCATGGCAACCATTTTTTCGATTTAGTTTTACAAAAGTAAGATTTTTTCCAATTTCCAAAACCAACAACTCAATCTTCAACCTTTAATCTTTCGACAAGAAATTGCAAGTTCCAGTTTTTTTTTTTGAATGGAATTGAATATTATGAGATTTTCATCATAAACAAGTGAACATCTCATTGTTTTCCCTTTTTCTTTTTCATTCAATCACTCTCGCATTCTATTTTTCTTTTTCCTTTTCAAGAACCCCATTTTTCTTCCCATTTTCTAAATGAAGAGAAAGGGAATTTTCTAAAGGGAAAAGCTGCAAAAAAGAAAAAAAAAACTTTTACCTTTTCACCCCCCCCCACTCAAATTGGGTTCTCCCTGGGAGTAGTCTCGTGTTTTTTTGCATTTCTGTGTGCCTTTCATAATCCATTGATCTTTTCGAAAGTCAAGGGTTTTTGGGGAGGTCTTCTGGGAAATTTGTTGACAAGCTGTCTGCAACTATTTCTTTGTGAGTACTTTCTTGTGCTCAAAAGTGGGAACACTTTTGAATAAAACAGGTTGTTTTTGTTTCTTTCAACCGCTTAAGCTAATAATAAGTCCAAGCAAGGCCAGATTTTGGTGGGCAGATAAGTCGGCAGATTTGTTGGCAAGTCTTGGCTTCTGCCGTAGCTCGGATGTTGGTCAGGCGAAGCTCAGGCAATGGATGTTGGTCAGGCCAAGCTCCAGAATGTTGGTTAGGTCAAGCTCCAGGATGTTGCTCAGGCCAAGCTCCAGGATGTTGGACAGGTCAAGCTCCAGGATGTTGACCAGGCCAAGCTCAGGCAATAGAGTCAGGTTGACAAATCCATCAGGCAATAGAGTCAGGTTAACAAATCCATTTGATGTACCTAAAGTTCTTTCGTTGTTTCCCCATTCCCAGCCATTTCCTCTTCAAATATTCATGAGTTTCCGCAAGAGAAATAGATACTTTTTCCCCGAAAAATAAAGACACAGCTTTTTCGAATCGTCGATTTCATCAGCGTCTCTTTTTCAAATATCTAAATTTTCATATGCAAATTGTACTTAAAAGCATTTAAAAATGAATTTTAGAGATTTTAGAGATTAAGAAATGATCAAATCTCAATTTTAAACATTTTATTCAATTTGATGACATTCAAACTAATGGACTGGACTAAATCATGTAAAAACTGATATTTTATAAATAAAAATATTATTTTACCATTTCTTTTACACTAAAATCTCAATAAAACACTAAATTCGAGGGAAAAAGAAAAGGTTTTCCCGCTAATTTTCCTATGATTTTCCTAATTTCCCGCTATGATTTATTTATTTATTATTTATTTGTCTTGATGAACTCGTATAGCTGAATACTTTCACTTTTATCAATATTTTTTTGTCCAAGTGTGTAAATCCTTGTTTTCACGTCTCGTGGAAACGAATTCTCGAGAAAAAAAACGAAAGAAAAGAGACAAATGGCTGTGTCCACTTATACCCATGCTTTAAAAAAAGAAAGAAAAAGAAAACAAGAGTTTTCCGGATAAGTCTAATTTCGTTTTTATAAGTAAAATCTCTGAATTAGTGCGCTTTCTTTGGCTTCAACAGATTCAATACAATACCCGACTCAAATGTGGCTTCTTTCGGATTACTGGATCCAAAGATAGACTGCCAGCACTTGGCATACTTTGAGCTTTCATAAACGCTCACTCTCTGGCATATCTTAGATATTTTCAAGACTTATAGTTAGCCTTTTATCTGAAATTTTCATTGACTTTTCACATTTGCTCTTCTATACAATTTCTTGCTTGATGATTATCGAACATTCGAGACAACCCCTTTTCCCAAAAATCTAACTTTGAGCTCAAATTTCTTGGTGTTCCGTTTCTTCAATTTATAAATTTTAAATATGTTTAAATGCGCTAAATCTTTTTCTGTCGATTGTCATAAAAACTATTGAAATTAAAGAAATCGAACACCAAGAAATTTGAGCTTAAAGTTAGATAGCAAATGGGGGAAAGGAGCGGGGGAAATTATCTAGAATCCTCTAGAGCTTTTTTTGTAAATCGTGTCTTTAAAGTTTGGAATGCCCTTCCCGACAAGTTTGAGAAGTTGCGCTTGATCTCCACCGTATCTGATTTTAAAAGAGGGCTACTTCTATACAATTTCTTGCTTGATGATTGTCGAACATTCGAGACAACCCCTTTTCCCAACAATCTAACTTTAAGCTCAAATTTCTTGGTGTTCCGTTTCTTCAATTTATAAATTTTAAATATGATTAGATGCGCTAAGTCTTTCTCTGTTGATTGTTATAAAAACTATTTAAATTAAAGAAATCGAACACCAAGAAATTTGAGCTTAAAGTTAGATAGCAAATGGGGGAAAGGAGCGGGGGAAATTTTCTAGAATCTTGTTTGATTTCTTTGATCTTCAAAAGTCATTTATCTTCATTTAAGCATGAATAATCCATTTTTTAAAAGAAAATAAATCAAGAAGGGTTTCGTTTGATCGTTTTTTTATTAAAACGAATTCTTGGCTTTCTTGGATTTGACCTGAAGAAAGCCAAAAAAAAGAAAATCTGCTTTTTTTTTTCGTAAATCTCATCTAAAAGGATGTTTTTCTGGCTTTTGTTTTGTTTCTGACACATTTCTCATCAACATTTTTTTATTATTATTTCCTTTTAAGGCAATAGGGAACAAGTTTTTGAGAGAAAAATGTTCAAAACTCGTCTAGATTCAGGGAAGTTTGAAGGACATTTTTAAATTTATCTAAATTAAAACTTCAAAAACTGCTATTTCTAAGCAATGATCTTGTTTTTGTGAAAAATTTTGCGAAATTCTTTTTAAATCTTTCACTAGAACTCAACGGGAAGTAAAAAAATGAGGCAGTAATTAGCTTTTTTCTGGTTTTAAATCCCGGGGTTGTGATTTCTTTGCCTATTTTCCTTTTGCCTTTGCTTTCGCCTTCGCCTTTGCCTTTATATGTAGTAACCGATTGTGAATTTCAGCCGATTATGAATGAGTGGGTCTAGGTCCAGTGAGTGACTAGGTCTAGTGAGTAACTAGGTCTAGTGAGTGACTAGGTCCAGTGAGTGACTAGGTCTAGTGAGTGACTAGGTCCAGTGAGTGACTAGGTCTAGTGAGTGGCTAGGTCTAGTGAGTGGCTAGGTCTAGTGAGTGGCTAGGTCTAGTGAGTGGCTAGGTCTAGTGAGTGACTCGAATGATTCGTTGCCTGACAGCTCAAATGTTTTTTTGCCGAGCAACTTTGCCGATTTCTTGTACGATTCCTCGTCCTGCCAGCACTAAATTAATGATTTTTGGTAAATGAATTGGTCGTAATCGAATTAGTGGGTGATTATGAATGAGAACGATTATGAACACGTCCAATCATCAAGTCTTTGATATCATTCAACGCAAAATCATTCATAATTATGTTAAATTTTTTAAATTAGAAAGATTGGATAAAAAGAAAAACAAATTAGAGCAAAAAAAAAGCGTTTGTTCGAGAGAAAACTTTGAAGCCCCATAATTTTTTTTCTTTTTATCTAATCTTGCTAATTTAAAAAATTTAACATAATTATCAATGATTCTGTGTTGAATGATACCAAAGACTTGATGATTGAACGCGCCTAGATCCACTTATTCTAATGCTTCAAATTCATAATCAGCTACGGGGATCCCACCGATTTTGAATGAAATTTTGAATGTAGCGCCCGCGATTTTTAACTTTAACTCACAAATTTGGTATCAATCGACGTATAATTTAATTTAATTTAACTCACTACAAAATTATATAATATTATCCTCATAGATT